GATCGTTATGCTCCACGCCAGAGCACTTCGCGACGAAGCAGTTTCGCGTTTATAAAACGGAAAACAACCGTCGTACATACTGTTACAAACAATCATCTTACATACTTCTCATCAATGAGAAAGTGTGTCCAAACAAGTGTGTCTGAAATTGATTTATTGGTCTGGACACCAATGAAATTTCAATGAAATGCTAATGAAACCCACCCCTGAGGAAATCAACAAAGTCATGCATATATGCACTTCCATAGGCATATGCTACCTACTTTTCTATCCCACGTTATTCATTATGCATCACCATTAACTTTATGCAGCCGGAGGCTTGTGTGCAGTCTAAGGTCACATGCTATCGTTCTGTGAGGATTTTTGTCAGTAGTCATCCAATAGATGTAATAAGAAAGATAAATGAGTCCCAGAGTCTGTAGTCAAGCTTTTCCTTACTTATCTGGAAGAGTTTTCAACCTCACAGTGTGCTTAACAGCTGGCTTAAAATAGAAAAATGCAACCTTATATAACATGTACAAGTCTGTATTGAATGTGCCGTGAATCTAATGTATCTGGTGCACATTAATTACACTGATAATCAATGGAAAATACCACACATGTTCATAAATTATAGGGTTTATTTCAAATAGAATAACCTGAATTAGAGAGAGAGACAAAGAGGTCTGTTCCTTGTGGGAATATCATGTAACACGAGTTAAGCAGGATGGAGGATGTTAACATCCACTTAGAAAAAAGATTGCCTCACTTAGCGTTTTAATCCATAAATACAGACGCATCTGCAGCAAATAGTCGCCACAGGTTTTGCCGGATATTAAATGGGCCTTAGAAACACTTCTTATCACGTTCACTCATGAAAATAAATATATAGTACTTGACTGTGTACAGATGTATATACAATAACCGTTTCCCAGAAAGATGTATAAATATAATTACCTCCTTCAAACACACCCCTCGGCAAATATTTTCTAAATTAGTCCACTCTGATTTGCCCATTGTGAAACTCCACCACTAATTATACTAAAACGACTAAAAACTGTAGATAGAAATTTCCCTGTCATTATCATCGTGACTTTCATTTTGCTACCGCGATGCTCCCGATCCCACAATGCAGAAAGTCCAACATTGGACCAAGCGACTGTCAGCCCCGCACCTCTTCATACATGTGCAGCGGTGCAGCCGTGTGTTTGTAGTGAACATAGCAATTGATACGGGATGGACAGATATGGGCGAATACAACCTGTTATTGCAATGGAGTTGCTCCAGTGATTGATGCTCTCAGCCCACCGTTTCAGCCGTTACAGGCCACTGTGTAAACACCTCTGGCAGTGGATAATGGAAAGAAAGCGATGAAAGAGGAAATAGATGAGTCACAAGCAACCTTGTGCTGCTCTGGAGTAAAGCTTTTTAGTTACTCACGTCGCTTCCTCTCCTTTTGTTACTTCCTATAAGCTGCACATTTAAATTCCAAAGACAAGCTTATTGGGGTTTGCGTTTATTAATCTTGCAGACAAAGGGAAATTGATAAAAGCAACTGTTTAATCACCCTTTAATGTTTTTGGCAGGGGATTATTTGAAACTGAATTTGAGAATGTAACTTATAAATAGTGAGAAGGACTCCAACATCCTAATATTTAGTTTATAAACTGCTATTTGATGTTGTCCTTGATTGTTAAATCTATAATACTACCCAAATATGTATTAATTGAGTCATATATATATATATATATATATATATATATAATTGGTTATTTAATTAGGATTGAAAAGGCATGAACTAAATGGTTGTTGTAGTCCATTACATTTGTTTTAAAGTGTGATTTTAATAAAGTGCATGGAAATATAAACATAAAAACCCCTAATTTCAGTCCATTGTTCTAAAACATGGATACATTCAAATTAAAATGAGTCAAACTCACGAAACCAATGTTTCGGTACCCTTTGCCAGTGGCAGAAAAAGACGAATACATCGAACTGACACAAAAAACATGTAAATTGCTGATTTGTCCAATTTGTCCAATCCAGTTGATGCTAACATCCAAAACAGAGACGATGTGAAGGTGGGAAACATTGAACCGGCTCAACATCATCATGTCCGCGGGGCGTTTGTGTGCAAACCATCATGCTGATGTTAGCATAGCTGTTGTTAGCCAAGCTGATGTTAGCATAGCTGTTGTTTGCCAAGCTGATGTTAGCATAGCTGTTGTTAGCCAAGATGATGTTAGCATAGCTGTTGTTAGCATAGCTGTTGTTAGCCTAGCTGAAGTTAGCATAGCTGACTCACAGAACGGCTAGCATGGCTGCGGACTCCTCTGCTCCCATGCATTGACACAAATACTGCTTTGATATTACTACACCGTTAGCGTTACTATTTAAAATACCTACTGACACTGTATTTTGGATTTCTTTAAACACCTGGCTGATCTACTTCGGCCTAGAAAGTGATGTCGTTAATGCTAAGCCAATCACATGTAATATGCTTGGTACTGCATTAAATACACTGCTGTCGAATGAAACAATCACGTCCCTGGTTCTCATAGAAATGGGGATAGAAATATAGCCTAGTCCTCTCCATCACCAACTTTTACAACATGCCAACTTTCGGAAGTGAGTAGATGGGACATCGGCTCCCGCTGGTGACAAAATGTTCCCGCTCCTTGTTCTCGGCTCCAAGCGGGATGGTCTGCTCACATTTGCCCTGCTGCTGCCTGTGAGATCCTAATCTGTCGTTCTTTCAAGCGTTCGGTCAGTAGCCGCGGCGATATGGTGCAACGAAATCCCCTCCAGCGAGTTATGGCAATCATTTCTATCACCCGGTGAGGCCGTGCTTGTTGAAAGGCCGTCCGCTGTGTGCCGGGTTAGATTCTGAACGTTCCATTTTCAACGCGCACGCACAGGAGAAACAGCCGCAACACAGGTGTGCGTCTGTTTCGAACCAGTGGATGCGTTTCTTAAAAGCACTCCAACATCACTCAGAAGGCTTGAAGAGGTGACAGACAGGGGAGCCACTCAACGCCTGATAAGGGCCGGTGTTTAGGGCAGCAGAAGGCCTTGGGGGGGAGGGGGGGTGGTGCCAGAATCGAGAGTGTTTTTTTTACTTTTCAAAGTTGTTCCTTTCCTTCGCTCACGCTGTGCACTCCATTTGCCGTGAACACCGGGGCACAGAGCAACGCCTCTGACCAGCCACATGCCGCCTCGCCATGACGCCGTGAAGGGCTCAGGCAGTCAAGTAGGATGCACAGCGGAGAGCGCCGGCTCCAACGCCAGAAGCTGAACAAAAGGCAGAAATGTGTAAACACTCATGCCTAGGGGTTTGCGTTTGGCCTTTCGTCCGGCAGGTGCCCTTTTATACATTATTTTGCAGCGTTAAAGCCGATCTAATTACTACGCTTTCCCTTTCGTAGAGAGCACTACTGTCTGGAAGATAATGTTTATCTTGTTGTTTTGTCCGGTAATTTCATTTTTCACAGTGAAAGCAAAGAATCTGGCCTAAAGGTCTTTATTTGGTAGTAGCCTGTAGTTGACAACAATGTGTATGTGCCGCTGGTGACGCCAGTTCAATCTCCACCCAAGGACCAAACTAATCCTATCCTCAGCGTCGTTACTCATCCTCGGTAATGCTTAAGGCCGAGTCAACAGGGATAAATGCTTTTTGCTTGGAGGTTCAGGGATCCTGGAGAACTTTTCTGCTGACGGGCAGATTTTCAAAGTCAAAAGTAGAAGAGGGGGAGCTTCCGTTGGTCCCTAAGTTGGTTGGCATATTGAATAATTATCTCGGATCAAAGTCCTTGGAAAGCAGTTTCAACAGCAGTGAACGTGCTGTTCAGGAGGATTCCACTGCTCTTTTAAGAATCTTCATGGTTTCTTGACGGTTATTGAAAATGATGAAGAGGCTTTTTACAGCGTTGTAAATGTTTTCACTCTATTTGGGAGTGATAGCGGTATGTGAGAAATGATCAAACAGAAATCCTAAATCGGTGTTCTTTTTTGCCAAAGCAGTTGAAGTGAATTGGTGACATAGATTTCTAATGTTAGTGTTAAACTACCCCAACAACAAAATGGACAATTTCTCTTGAATCCGAGTCCCTCTTGCTGGAGAGAAGACCATTTGTTTGCTAAACCCATAAGGACGAGTTTCTAAGTGACACGATGTTGAAATGCATCGGGATGGAGAGGACCTACAAGTGGGTTGTGTGATGTGTGAATTGTCAAAGTGAGGGGTGGAAATATCGCTGTGGCAAAATATCTCCTCCAGCACAGAGTAAATAAATAAATAATAATAAGGAAAAAGGCCTTCGGTTGTTTGCATACAGGTGTACAGAATATGTGATTCATTACATCCTCAGAGTGCAACAATAGTGAGAGGTTCTCACGGCCGACCCAAAGATGATGAAAACATCCCCAAAACTCTGGGAAACATGAAATGAATTCTATTAAAAGTGCTAATTTATGCTTTTCATCCTGATGTTTTTGAATGCACAACATTCGAGCCCTGACACAGTCTAGCAGAAAAACAGCGGAGAGGCTCCTGCCATTCCTAATTAATCTTGTTAATGAATTCCAACCTCGAGCAAGCAGGATTTGTCAGTTTTACCCGACAGTGTAACAGCTACTCCCTGCTTTGGGGAGTTTGGAGGAAGAAATAGCTCTTCTCTGTTGTTTGCGATGGTTGAGAGTGAACACCGTCAACAAATGCCAAGTGCTCTAAATCCCATTTCATCCCTGCTCTTATATCAGAAGGTCATAAAAGCCCCCCTAGCTGAGACACTTGTGTGCTTTGACACTGCACAGAGGAAAGTCCATTTAGTTCATTTCACCTGCCGGGGCACTTAGAGGGACGCCCATCCCCACCTGGGGAGTTGACAACCGTGGGGTAAAAAGAAAGGAAAGTGATATAAATGTCTTTGAGTTGCCTCTCCAGTTCTGTGTTTATTGGTGATACCCTGTTGTCTTCCCTTCAGTCTAAAAGCAGATTTTTGTTTTCTTGTTCTGACCCGCAGGATCATCACGAAAGCACAGCGCCACTCGTTGGTGTCTGCAGGATATTGCTCAGGAATCAGTCGAAAGCTCCGATGAGGAGTTCTTTGATGCCAGAGGTTAGTATTGCATTTTATTTTACAAACTTTCTCTCCAAACCGTTATTGTCTTTAGAAATGATCCAAACCTCTGTTTCAGCATTTGAAACGGATCCTTTTCCATTAAGTGCGCAAACGTGTTTTCACTGGAGGAACTAACATGTGGTTCATTTCCACGGGTTCTGCTTTTGTGTCCATATTTATTTATTGACCAGGACACGCGATTGAGAAGATGTTTGTTTACCAGTCTTTTACTGTCCCAGAGGGAGTGAATCCGTGAAGTAATTATCCCGACAATTATCCTCCACAAGTGGTCATCCCGAGAGATTCTTATCTGTGTTGTTTATATTATGAGAGCTTCCTATTTTACATTAAGTCAGTCAATAGCCAGGGGTGTGTTGAGAGTTTCTGGTGTCCAACATTCTTTCCTATCATATGAAAACATGACGAGATTTAAGCTCAGTGGGAAACAGATTAAAGGCCGTCTGCTGAGATCCATTTCCACTTTGGTCGGTGGAAGGGAATTTTAAGAGCTGCAGTATGAAGTTGTATTATTTGTGTATTAGAATGCGATTACTACATTTATTCAGTGTTCGTTGTCATTCACACTCCCTTTTGTTGTTGTAATTTCACTCTTCCTGTCTCAATCTTTTGTTTGCTTCCCTCCCTTCACTTCCTGTCCCTTGCACATTCAGTTTGCCAAAAAAAAAGGGCACGTTCACTGCAGATTCCTTATCACAGCTGTCGCCGAGCAATGCTGCACGTTGCTCTAAATTCATTTTGGGAGACTGTTGCGGAGGCGCCTATCAGCGTCGATGGGGGAAGATAACGTGCATGTGCTGAATGTGAGAAGATGTGCTTACTCACATTCCTCCTGCAGGAGATTCCACACTTATATTATTATTATTATTACAGAGTGTGAAGGGACGGAGAGTAAAGGTGTCCTTTCATCTCTTTTAACTAAATAGAATGGGCAGACGCTGCGCGCTGTTGTCTTGCGTGCCAATCAAACGTACAAGTACTATGCAGCGGTAGTATGTTATCTAGTTAAGGAAGCACACATAATTTGGCAAAGAAACATTTCCTTCCGAGTTCCTGAGACAAATGATACTACTAATGTTTCTACAGTAAATATGAAGCTGCAGACGGCAGCGGTTTATCTTAGCTTAGCATAAAGACTGATGTACTTGACAACGGCCTCTACAGGCACATTGAAATGCCCCCAATTAATAATGATAATAATAAAGGCATTTTTCATTGGTTTAATTGATACACAACACAACTCAAGTGTAAAAACAACATGTTGTGGTGTGCAGGAAAGTCTCGTAGACACAAATAATCCAGACATCCCCTCAAACAAAACATCAAAATTGTTGTTCTTTTTTTCATGTCTCTAATTAGCTTATTTGCTTGCTTGACCGAACATTTCGCAGCTCATTTTTGCCATCACTCCACACGGGGTAGTGTTTTTTCAGATCTGGGTTTTCGAGAAAAACCTTGGATTATTCTTTCAAGTTGCATGAAAGCATGTCTGTCACAAATCAACAAAAGAAGCTCCATTATAGAAGCAGCAACATTGAAACGTGAACTACAATGAAGCCAAAGAAATGAAGGACATTTCAAAGGAGATGTCTGAAGATTGTTATTTCGTTTCGCCGTTGCCGTGTGACTTTATTGTCTGAGCCTGTGGACAAAGTGGAGCACAGGGAAAGGCAACAGAGCAAGTTATTCCAAACATAAACATGCTCAGTATGAATGACACCTCCCTTAAAAGGGAAACCAGAGCTCCTCAAGCTCCCTGCAGTCACTCGCTAACCGCAAGACTGTGCCTCTCCATCTCAACCTAAATATAGCTGCTCTGGTCGCTTTTATTTCTTCTGTGTACACTGGATATATGTTTTCTTTAGCCAAAAGCCATTTCAGCCTTTTATAGAAAAAGCAGTGGGAGTAACTGAAAGAATTACATTGACTAGTGACCAACGTGGGTTTGTCATAATATAGGCCTACACCACTCAATCCGTCACAATAAGCTCGGGGGGCATTAATGTGGTTGTGATGGATGCCTTCAGCTACACTGTCTAACCCAGTGCATCCAGAAATCTAAGAAAATGTTTTATGGCTGGATGGAATTTGCACACATTTGCTAAAGACGAGCCCTAACTGTTATCTTGTATCCTTTTGCTATACCATTTATTTTCATTCATTTATCCTGCCTAAATTCTCAAAAACAATCTCAAGGGTTTCTTCCTCCAACATGGATTTCTAGTGTTTTAAGTGGCTATACCGAGTGGCTTATACTATTCAATGTACTTTGCCAGTACCAGCGTGCAGTGAGCTCCTCGGCTGCTGAAGAGCAGCGCTTTTCAAAGTGCATCCTCAAGTGGAGGTCACAGATAGTCTTCCCTCTATAATCCATCTGATTTGATTCGAAGGCAAACAGTGACCGTAGGGTTTGTAAAGATGGTTTTTATCATTCAGAGTGTTTCAGGGTGCTGACAGCAGTTTAATTTCCTGTCGGGCCAAGTCTGTCACCTGACCTGACCTCGCTGACCCCTGGATGACCGGGCTGAAAGCAAAAAGGCCATAAAATGGGGATTGTATCGGTCTGCGAGAGCCTCTTTATGAAAGATGCCAAGCTTCTGCTGATATGTGAAGGTCAGCATCTTCAGGCCTCTTCAACACAAGTCTTTGAATGTGATAAATTTACTTAAATATTATATATAATGACTTGGTTAAGAATATGTTTTGTAGACCGTTGGTCCACTAAATCGAACGATCCCAGCAGCTACAAACCTCTTTTCACATTTATTTCTACACATGAAGCTGTGCACAGCAACAGTCTGTGACTCACTGCAGCGGTCTACCAAGTGCTTTATAATAGCATAATTGAGTAATCAACAAAGCAGTGTAATAAAAGTAAATACATTTAAAAGGTTGAATCTGGGCATTAAGGATAAAGGGTGTTGTAAGACGTACTATTTCTTTTCTGGATATTTTATTTTGTGATCTTGAATAATGTATACATTTCACTGGGCTCATGAAATAAAGTAAGGAAGAAAAAATAAAACCCGACGCCTTACGTCTTACTGTAAAACAGTGAAACGTATGTTAAAATCCAGCAATATCTGTGTGGGATGTTTCTATGGAAACAAATTGCTTTAATAGTGCAACCTCTTCACAGTATTGTTTTCACATTTAATGATCACTACTTTGCTTAAAAAGCTCATTTGGACCAAAGCCTCCACTTCAAATATTTATTTCAAGAGATTACAGAGAAACGCTGGGCCTCAGCCAGGAAAGAAAAGAGAAAAGGTGTTTTGAATTCAGGAGAACTGTGTCGGTTTTTGCGTTTTGTAAGAAAATCATATTTAGATTACACATTTCTCGGTTCAATCCCTTAAGCAGAAATCATTTCTGAACGTACATATGAACGTATACATGGCCGTTTAATAGATCCTTCATTCAAGTCTTCTTCTTGGAAACTTTCCATGGGAATGAATGGGAATAAACTGGACATTTTGTGGTAATTTACCTGTATTTTACTTGTCATATATGTCAAAACAACATATATATTTTTACCTAATTCATCGGTGAGTATTCTTTCACTGACCAAAAAAATGTTGCATAAAATGTAAAATGAGTAAGGCTTCTCAAGCCTCTGGTTTTGGTGTTCATCCCTAAATCCTTCCAGGTCTACATTCTACTCTCGCTGCTAAAAGGTTAGCCTGCGGCACACAAATGCATCTGGTATAAAATGAACATGGCTGCAGTTTAGAAGTGGTGAAAATGCCAAGACGTTCAAAAACAGCGTTTAATGTTTACGTTTCTGGCAGACAATGTTCCCAACCAGCTGCATGCAGGGTCCCGCTGAGCCAGGCTTGCATGGTCTTGTTCTCAACTACATCTAAAGTCCCCCCGTTATATGCTTTTGCAAAAAATGTCAAGAATTCCAAGAATTCCTCAGCTTAACTTTTCTTAAAGTTTCCAGGAATTTACTGGAAATGTTCTGCCCCTCTGCAACCCCAGCCATTAGTAACAAAAAGGAAAAATCCTACCCCTCTCCTACTCAGCATGCTACATGGCATCGTCATCCACTGCAGCATCACTTAGCACGTTAGCCTCACGCACGTCTACACCCACATGCAGTCCTGCACGGATGTGAATCGTCTCCCTTCACTCATCAGGACTGATGCTCGAGCAAAGGCCAATGCATTTGTCACATTATTCATAGATGAGAGCTGTTGACTAATTTGCTGTCTGTTAATCCAGATTAGGTATTTGATGAGATGAATTTAAATAATGAGCTGAACTGACCATGAAAACAAAGCCGTGGTGTTGGCTACTCCCGCAGTTTAATTACATGACAAACTGCCAAAGGAAGTAAACTGTCTGTATGCAAGACGGGCATCTTCGCTGCACTATTAGTGCGTTAGTATGAGCTGGTTCACCTGGGTCCCCTGAGACACAGTCAGGATTAACACCATTCTCGCATTGTGTCATTGTTGTTTACATCCAGGAGCCCATGAGCTTAGCTTTTTGGAAATACTAGAATTTTTTCCCTATAACACATTTAATTATTAAATGCATTACAACAACATCGTCAACTACACAGATTGTAAAATAAAAACAGATGGTTCAGCTTCCCGTCTCTCCTGCCATTGTGTCTCTCACTCACCTAAACAGCCTATTCAGTGCACCTGTTAGTCACACCCACCTCACCTGCCCAGCCTACTGCCCCCACTCCTCTCAGTAATTATAGTAAATACACAGTAATGGTGAATATAGTTTTAGCCTTCATATTGTGTTGATGTAATCAATTTTACAAAATGATAATTTGCAAAAAGGTGTGTGTTGATAGAGAAATGGTCATTTTGATACAACTAAACATCTGCTGCAGTGGATTGGAGCCATGTTATGCTTAATCACAGCTGTGTTTTATTCTGCCCCTGCAGGCGGGGATTTCACTGATTTAATGTTTCTTTGTGAGTTGATCTGGGAAATCGACTGCTGGAGTGTTTGATTCAAATCAAGTTGTTGGTGCAGACCAACCTGTAATCTTCTGCGCTAGCATAAAACAAAGAGATTAGTAGGAAGTAGGAAAAGCAAGTTTGAATAACGACACATAAAAGTTCTATGAAAGCAATACGAATCTAACAACATTTGTATGTGAAATCATGAATAAACATGTTACATTAAGTGAGAGGCTGCGCTGCAAAGCACCACTTGTTTAAGAATTAAATGCTAAATAATACATTTTATTTCTCACTCTATCCTTGTGAGTTCTACTCATGGTGTTTCGATGCCATCCATCTTCCGTAGCCTACTTACCTGAGAGGCTGTTCACGCCGTTGTTATGGGATAATCCCCAAAGCAATCTCCCCTTCATGGAGCTTGGTGTCGGGAGTTGAAACAGATTAAAATAAAACCAGAGGTGTTATTTTTGATAATTCCATTCAACTAATACACGATGGTGAGATCGAGAAATGAAGTATGAGACAGTGAATATACCATTGAGGTGGTAAAGGTCACCCAAGGACATTTCCTCATCATTTCCCAGCCGAGGCATGTATTGCTCTCTTCCACTCTCGACGCCGTGAGCCAACGAGATTTAAGAATGTGACTCAATTTCGTTTATCTCCGGGCTGTACACTTCTATTTCCCTTTGCTTCGTCGTTCACCATCAGACTGCGTCATTCTGTCCTGTAACCCAAAAGCAAGAGATAAGGTGTTGCTCCCATGTCATTGTCTGGATTGTTTATGCATTGCTTTTGCTTTTGCTTTTTTTCAGGGTAGGTACTGTTTTACTTCGCCTCAAACACGTTATGCTCCTCAGAGGAGCTTCTGTTTTGGCTGCGAGCTCCAGGAGATGATTCAGTAATCTGCCTCTTCTGGGTGTTGAGCTGCTTCTCTTGCATTCTCCTGCTCTCTAAAAAACAGACTTTCTTATAACCTGCTGCGCGTTGTTCTCGATTCAATATGACCATCTCGTCTTTTTTGCTCCTCTCCATTTTGCTTTTTTGAATCTGCAATTGTGTGCACCGTTGCCCTGTCATTATTACATTTGGCTCAGCACCCTCTGACCGGAGGAAAGATAGGCCACCAAAGAGGGAGTGGAGGCGGGGGAGAGAGAAGGAGAGAGAGGGAGAGAGAGAGAGTCAGAGCAGATAGCGAAAGACAATCTGTGACCAGTAGATCGTTCGCTGTGTGATCTGCATGGACAGGCAGTGAAGACCCACGTCAGAGTCTTTCAGAGCTGCCAGGCGGGAATGTGTGAGCGAGGAGACACGTCTGTCAGGTAGAGAGGTCTCTCTCTGCATGACTCTCCCCGTCTCAGACGGAGGCGTTTAACACAGCGAGCTCGTCATTTTGCTTGATATTCGCCACGGCAGCGGAGCTCGTTCATTTTACCACGACGACGCGGTGGTTCCATGTTCGAAAGTGCCTGCATGCCAACACTTGGCAACGCTGGCTGTTTAGACTGCTGCTCGGGATCACTTGAGTGAAGCTCAGCTGGGAATGACTCAATATCACTCCAGTTAGGGGAAATGATTTCAGCGTTCAACATCATCTCCTCGGTTTTTTCAGTTTTACTGAACTAAACTAACTAAACTAATCTGTTTAACTGTCAGACTTTGTGTTTGTGAACGGCGTTTGGGGGTACAGGCAATCACAGAGCTGATGGCCTGAGCTCCGAGAATAAAAAAATAGCTGCATGGAGCAGTGTTTTGATGAGTGCTTTCACATAAGTGCTTTCAAGGACAAGGTCACGTTGTTCCACATTATTCCACTGATCCAGAAAGAGAGTGCAGTATTATTAGCCGCAGTTTTCATTGAATTAGAAAAAAGTAACTTTTGATTAAGGCTACAAGGCATTTTTGCAGGAAACAGTAAAATAAACTGCACAAGGTACCTCTTAAAATGGAGTTCAGGCCCGTTAGACATAATATTTACCCGGTAATGATCAAACAGTGGCCAGCGGCGTGGCTGAAGGTGTGACAGTGCTTCCCGTTGGAAAGACATAAATACTGATCAATCTGATAGGCCATCTTAATAAACATGTCACATCACAGTCTCCAGGGTGCAATTAATCTGTGTTAACATCATTCAGGCCAGATTTACATGCTGCAAAGGCAACACATTGGCGATCCCATTTGTGTTCAACCAAGACGAGCCCTGCGAATGTATGTTTTCACTAGAGTCTGTCGTTGGCCCTGTTAGGCCGTCAGGTTTGCATGAGCAGCCACATTTAGACAAACCAAGTCCAAGTGGCTCCAGTCCGAGTGGCGCTGATTGTGTTCTGGGTACATCGTTACTTACTTATTTAAAGGTGTGTTGTCCGTTTCACTGGAGCCACACAACTAACAGGAGAGTGAGGCAGACGTCGGGCACCTGAGAAGATGTTGAATCTGGCAACAAATCAAAACGCATGCGTAGCTGTAATCTCCTCTACGACCAAATGAAAAGGTTTCGATTTCATTAATATGCAGAGAGGTGTTTGGGTTTTTTGTCTTTGCTGCGCCGTTTCTTACGTGTCTTTGTTTGTGTGTGTCTGTGTGTGTCCCAGCAGATGTTATGGAGGGGAAGAGTGCCATACTGCTGGGCATGAGTCAGTGGAACTCAAATGACCTGGTGGAGCAGATTGAAACTCTGGGACACATGGAGGACCAGTCGCACGGTACACTTTGCACACACACACACACACACACACACACACACACACACACACACACACACACACACACACACACACACACACACACACACACACACACACAAATTAGTAATTACACTCATGACTCACTGAATGATGGTAATGGGGGCTAGACGGAATTGTAGCTTCTATTTATAGCTGCATGAAGTCATTTTTTTTATCTCTAGGGGGTCAGGAAGAGTAAAAAAATGATATCGAGGTGTAATGTGTACAAGAAAATATCAGCCCTCTTCAAACTCCATTTGGGCCCAGAGTAGCCAGATAAACGCTGCATCTGGGCTGCCGCAGTGTATGTCAACAATACTTTTTGGTTTCTTGCAAAGTGAACTGAAATGAGCACAACGCTTTAATTTACTTTTGAGTCAAATAGTGACGGCTCGGCTACCCACCTCCTGGGTAAAATATATTTCTAAGTAGTTGAAATGAGATAATCCAAAGTAAAGAGATTCCATGTACCGTGCTTGTAAAGGGGGAACCTTTTTTAGTCAGCTTTAAATGATAAACTAAGCAAGCCGATACAAAAGATGAATATGGTTTCTGAGATTTATTATGCAGATATTCAACACATTTCTAGCTCAGCGCTAAAATTCACTTCAAACAAAGAGGATTCACTTCTATTTTTCCGTAAAACAAAACCTGACAAGATGACAAATGGGTTGAGAACAGATAGGTTTGGATGTTAAGTTTCATATTTGCTCTATGTCGTTGCCCAATCCATTCCTCAATATTCCTTCATGAGGCATCGAAGAAGTAAAAATGGGATCAACTTCCGTGCTCAATTAATAGAATTTCCTCTCTTTCCTTAATTTCAGTTGAATGTTATTTTTACGCATCCTCAATGCACTCACTTAAAGATGCAGAGGATTGAAATAGCAACAGCTGTTCTTTACTCTTTTTTCTCAACCCCAGACTTTTACCAATATACAGTAACTGTGACAGAATAAGCTCTCTCTGTAATTCAGGTAATCAAAGAACATCTATACCTACTCTGTTAGTGTCTTATAAGGAATACATCTTAATAAAAGAAATGTAGACCTTTGTCTTTATATAAAAGAATATTTATGACCCAATTGGAAGGAAGGGCATCATATTTTGGCTTTAATACAGATCTACAATAAAATGATTCTCCTGAATTATTCCTGCAAGAAAGTTATTTATTTTTAATTTATTTACCAAAGTCTCTGGTGTGATAACAAAATCCCAGTAACTGAATATGTTATGGCCCAGAGGTTTAACAGCACAGTATTTCGCTGACACAATAAGAGCACATCGGCTTAAAATATCATCATATACTCTCAGTCTCCATCAAGGTTTTAAAGCATTGAGTGAACCTGCTACTCATCAATATACCAAAAAAAAATAAAGAGAGATGGATAGTCAAATGTTTGGACACACTTTCTGCAGTAGTTTTTTTTGGCCAAAGATTTAATCCAGTGTCCCTATCGCTAAAGACAACAGATGTAGCTTAAAAGTGGATGGCAGCAAATAAATTGTCATTATATTTAACTATATAGAGAAACCTCAATAAACAAAACATAGATTCAATACCAACTGTGCTCTACAGCTCCACAGTCCTCTTTGGCAGTTTTTGTGAGGTTTTGTTTACTGAAAAATGGACCGGATTTTGCCATAAAGGTCAGCGCTGAGGTCTGACTAACCGGGTAGATGCATTTAATCATTGTGCTTCACTGCGAGTGTAGTCTGGTCTGGGACAAAAGAAACATCGCCTGCAGGGATGCTGTAGCTACTAAGTCATGTGGCGGTAACTGAAGGAGTGGGTGCACTGTGAATATTTTACATCCCCCTCACATCCCATCAACAAACCACTCATGAAACCAGTAAGGACCTGTGAAGTGGTCCATGCCAGTACCCGTTAAAAAAAGGAAATAACAGGTTTTCATCAACGCAAATAGCTGCCCCATTGAAAATGAATTTTTCCCCTTCATGTCCATAATGACACAAGATTATTTTACAAAATCAACAATAAATGTATCATTCTAATCCCAATACAGAATATTAATAGTCTTATTATTTAAAGGTAGACTCCATCAGTGCTCTTTTCCTTATTTTTCACATCGGAAAGCCCACTGAGCCATTAGCTAAAAGCAGTGACAAAATAAGGTCATCAATAATGTTATGAATTATTTAAATAACTTGCAATACAAGAATATTTTCATTTACCCACAAAGGAATGAAGCCGCTTTATTGTCTCTTTTCAAAGGCAATCACACTTTATTTACAAAAAAGTAATTTTACCTCACAGAACACCAGAGATGTTTGCGTATTGCTGTATCAACCAAGAACAAGGCTACAAATACATTTCTCAGACAGAACTTTGACTCAAATGAAGGACAGCAGGTTTATGTAGTTCTTGCGAGCTTCAGTTACTGTGAATTCTTCGGCTCCCACATCAGGTGTAAATCACAACAAACGAGAACTTTCACTCTCCACCATTTGTGGATCACTGACAGGGTGTCTGGTAATAGAACAGGTACTCACATCAGTGGTGCTCAAGATGCATCTGGGGACTTGTTACCGTAAATGGAGTGTGTGATATAGATGGTGTCTGCAAGGGTTTAAAGCTGGTGTCCACACGCTGTGGGAGACGCTGAAAGTAACTTGATTACATATTAACACACTGTCCGCTATGTAAAAGTATAAGTGCACACGGGGTCTTAAAGACCATCTTTCTCTACTCTTAATAATGTACGGCATTAGCATGCTGGCCAATCTACTTGATGAAATAGAAAAGGGGGCAGCGAGTGGATGCGCCTATAATCAATGCGTGTGACATACAGCAGGTCTGAGTTATGGTAATGCATTCTCTCTCTCTCTCTCTCTCTCTTTTTCTCTCTCGTAGTCAACAAAGTCGAACTCGCCAAAAATAGAAACACCCCCCCAACACGATGCTGCATACAAATGTTTACATCTGTGGGGGCACGGGAAGATTTGACAAAAGCTGTGAACATCGGGGCACAGCAACCAAAAAGTCCAAATGAAAATGATCTCAAAAGCAACACCAACAATAGCTGCTGCAACAAAAGAATCATTACTTCAATTTTGGCCCTGACAAGGCAACACAACAAGCTGTAAACACATCAGAGGCACATTATCATCTTATAAAGACGAGATGGAGAGTTGACCCCCGAGCAGGTAAGGCAAGTTTAGAGCAAAACCAAAAACTGCTGCTGATTATACGTGCTGAGAGTGAATAAAATGATCAAAACAAGGAGTAAAAAGACACTACCGAGCTCCATTGAGCCGAGGGGAAGTGCAAGACCAAGAAGGTCTTAAATGAGACACCGCGGCTGCAGCCACTCATAGGCATCATTACCTCATTGCGTGTGATCCATTGATAGTGGTTCGTAATGACAGGTGAGAAGAAAAGGAAACCTTAAAGGGCCGACGGGACCGCTCATTCTGTGTGGCAGTTGAGCGCCGACATTCGCCACCCTTTCATCTATTTTTTGGCTCCTCAAAAGCGCCTCTGGGTTCATAACCTCTCTCCCTTTGCTCTCCATTATGCTCCCGTGCCCCCTTTTGTTCTTTCAGCTTCTATAACCATCCGTATCCTCCCGCAGCTGCTCCCTCACTCCCCACCATCGCCTCACCTCATTGCGTACTTCTATTTCTCCCCCCTCCACCTTCTTACAATCATTACTTATAAGCTATAGGCGACCGGAAATACTAATACACCCTCATGGGGGCAGCGATGAAAACCGTCATCGCCATATTGATGCTGTTCACTTTTCATTGGCATTTTCCCCCCTGCTTCATTTACTTGCTGATACGGTGTGATGTGAGGATGTAGCCGAACACAAAGTGAACCTTGGAGAAATTATCTATTTTCTATGGAGCATCACAGCTCTTTATTCTACATGCACACTTGAGCTCTCTTCCTAAACACGTGCAGAGCGAAAGAGTAACACAGAACATACATTTAAGAGAGTGATAGGGAAGATAATGAAAACAAGTGAGGGAGCGCCAGGAGTATCACTGCCTCGTTATTTATACAGCCCTTTGTTGTCAAAGGCTCTTTCTTCATTCTGTCTGCATTTATTTTGCTCTTTTTGAATATCTGTGTGCAAAAAAGACTGCATGTGTTAGCGTGCTGATCTCATAAGAAGTAAATGAGTAATAAGAAGTCAGAAATGCCATGAGATCCCACATTGAGCACAGTTAGTCACACCACAAAAACACTGTCTGCGCCAAGAGCTCCAGCAAGGAAGGAAGTGTAAAAAGGAGGATGAGGGGGAACAACTGCATGTAATTATTAAAAGAAACAAACACGTATTAAAGGCCACGCATTCTCTGCTTCACTGCAGATGGCTGACACCTTCCTCTGCCCTTTAGTTTTGATGATTGAGCGTGAGTGTGCATGTGGAGGGGGATTGTGAGACACATCAAATGTCCTTGGAGCTGCACGCGTGGATGTGCCATCCTGGGGGAGTTGGACAATCTGTGCAACTTCTGAAGGGTTAAGAAATGGCCTCATGCTCCCAGTAGTGCTAAAGACTAGAGGTAAGCCAGTCAAAGAGATCAAGAGGGAGAAACTGGAATTGGCCTCCAAATGCAAAACAAGTCCTGCTTTGGGGGGTCGTCTCATTGTTGATCCTCTGATCAAGTTACAAAGAGTCAATTGGCTCAAGTTTAAAATGATAAAGAATTTAATAACTTACAGAAATAATAAGCAATACAGTTACAAAGTGAAATGGTAGAATGGTAGAATAGAAGTCCCCTCGTCCAGTCTCATATGACCATCAATATTGGTTCAGAGGAGGCTTCATCTCGCGGGGGGGCGTGTCCCTTCTGCTGTTATTGTATGTGATTGGCTGCTCCTCCCTCCTGAATTCCTTTCCTGAATAATACTGTGTAACTCAGTTCTATATGATCCAAGGTGAAAGGAGAAAAAACTCCCAAAAAACCCTCTTTGGGGAGAAAATTGAAAGAAAGGATCATAAAGCATCCGTCCTCAGGTCTTAATGTTACGTTGTGACTGGATGTTAAAGTGTAGAGTAATTATATGACTATGAATTGTGTTTGATTCATATTGCAATTATTGCATCTAACAAGCTAATGTAATAACTAATAACACACAAACTACAATTCTAACACCAAACATTACTACATGTAGTGTAACTAGATGTGCTCTACTGCTTAAATCCTCTGGTGCACCTGTTGTTAATTCCATCAACACCAACACAGCTGAAACGCATTAACATCCCCTCTGCTACTTACCTGAACACATCGTTATCAGAGAAGTGCAATTGAATTCATGCCATTTCCTCATAAAAGATTGTTCCTTCATTTTTTGGAGCAGTAGATAGAATTGATTTAACTGTATTCATTATCTTCTCTTTTTCCTTATCTCTTAACTGAGTAAAATATCTTCTGATAGCTGCTGCTGTAACTTTTAGCAATATCTCTTGTGACATTTCTGGGTATGTTTGTAAATCTGTATAATTCAGTCTTTTTGGTAAATGTCAGATTATTACTGAATGAGCCTCTGCCACCTCACTTCCTATTCCTATATAATTATGTGTCTGTGTGTGTGCGTGTGTGTGTGGGTCAGCCAGCCGGTTTGTCATGCAGCGGAGTTGGTGGCGTCTCCCGGGGTCTTTTCGCAGCAGGGCAACACGACAGACCCTAATTCCAACAGCGGTGGACAGATGGCGGAGCTTGTTAGCAGGCGTGCACCGTACAAGGGGTCAGAGGTCGCTGATCAGCCAGTCAGGAGGCAGCAAACCTTCAAACAAGCAACCTACCTGTTGCTACGAAAACAGCACACACGGTTTCCTATTCACATTTGTTTTCTCCAGCATCATAACAGCCATAAAAAAATATTTCTTCACTCATACATCCCCATGCAATGGCGATGTCCTCGTTTTTTTTCGAGCTAGGGACCTTTGTTAGATTAAGTGATGTATTCCAAAACATTCTCTTCATTATCTTTTAAAAACATGAAAAAATCCTTACAGTGAGATAGTGCATTTCTAGTGTTACACTGACGATCCAGAGGCTTTTTTGGCCTTGTGTGTTTATGTTGCAGCGTTCATCCTATCGGGACCATATGGGTTTGGGAGTAAATAAACACATAATATTTTAAACATGCTCCATGAAGCCTTTAAGCCTATTTTTGGTTCCCTGTTTTTGTTTTTATAACATGCAAATTCTAGCACGTCTTGCTGAGTTGAGCTTAGATTTAGATTTAGAGGCAGAAATCCTTTGCAGGAAGAAGCCAACCCTGCTCCTCTCTGTGGACATCTTTTCACACTAAGGAGTTTATTCACTGCCTGACAGTCAACATTGAGGACATATTGCCATTTCCATACTCCGCGGGAAGACAACTCTTTCCCGATGATGATTGTTGAACATTTTGCCTCTACCTCTCATCCCGCTGCTTTGGTTTTCACCCGTCTGCTCAATCGAAGGTGGTAATTATGGTAAAAGTCGTCAACACCTCAGAACAAACAGGAAACAAATACTTTGCACTCTGGTGATAAAAATAGAAGTCACCTAGTTCAGGCAAAATACAATTGTATATTATAGTTGTCCAAATGAAAAACTTGGATCAACATCAATATCTCCTCCCTTCTCATTCATCTGTAGACTTCTCTCTAGAGCCCTCTGATCTTCACAACCTTCTTTTTCTGGAGGCAATTTTCTCAGCCTCTCCCTCAAACATAGGTCAAGAAACATCTGAGACGGCATTATCATAGCCGATGCAGTGTGTGTACCTGGCTGACTGCGCTTTAAACCAATGCAAACAGCCTCGGTTGCTGCTGAACAAAGCCATCTTTATTAACTTTTCATGTGTAAAGGTTTGAGGAAAGGTCATTCGTTGGGGGAGAATGAGCGCAGATTAACTAAATACCACTAAGCTTCGTGAAGTACGTCTTGACGGGCAGGACTCAGACCTCTGACAGGAAGCTTGTGGAAACAAAAAGAGTGACAAAAATCTGCCTCTTAACTGCAGGGAACCGGTTTACAGCGCTGAGCCGATCCAAACAAAAAGATCTTGTCAGTTTCCTCTAATATCACACAAATGTCCTAATTGTTGGATTCATGAGCAGCCCAGCGTGTGCGCTGCTCTCAGAACTGATGAGGTGAGCGAAGCTCTGCTATTTGCTGCTATAACTCATATGATGGTTTCTGTTAAGAGGTTCGTGCAATGCTGTTTTCTCAGTGTGAAAATGAAGACATGGCTATTTCTTAAAGATTTACCCCGACTTAAAGTGCCCCGTACCCACTGGGAGAATTATCACCAGCTGCGACAGTCTCGCTGGTATTGTTTTATCGGGACAAAACGCAGCCTTGGAGACACTTACAGGAGCGACCACACAGTCGCATTTCATTGCTTTCCGACGTGTTTAGGACAAGGACCGATTCCGTCACCGCCATACAACCACGCAAGGTGTAGTCGTGAAACTGTACAGGTCTGTGGTGAAACAAAGGTTGTGTTTGAATATGGAGCAAGGTTGCCAGAAGTAGGCGGTTGGAAGTGGAGAAGGGGCATTGTATATTATACATAGAGTATTTACATATATATATATATATATATAATCAGCCTCTGAATAACCTTTTTGTTGTATTTTTGCTGTAAAGATGGTGATTTTAACATTGGGGGTCCATGGGGATTGACTCGCCCTTGGAGCCATCCATCTAAAAAACAGATATTTTCAGCACATTGCACAGGTTGCCAATTGTTTTTTTCCTGCTAGCTGTTAAATTCCGCTTCACAGTTTTTCCCCCCCTATAGTTCTTAACAAGATTTCCGGGAGGAACTTCTTCTGCCCAACCGGAAAAAAAGACCTTTCCCACATTGATTTCCTTTTACTTTGTGACCAAAATAGTGCAGCGTGCCGAGTCCCTTGTGTGTGTGCTGAGCTGTCGTAGACAAGCTGGCAGTCAGAGGCCGGCTTTGGGCTGGCTGAGGCGTAGAAGGGAGAAGACATGCGGAAATCTGCGAGAGCCTACCATGACAGGTGGTCCCAGAGCGGGAAGCCAAATAAACGCGTAGCCCTGCCTCCAGTCTGGACAGACAAAACAGTAAGAGAAACAGAGCTCAGGAATAGGACGGGTTTGGGAGCAGAAGAGCCCGCCGGGCGGTAGAAATTGTAATGTGTGTGACAACGATTGGTGTTAGAATTGTAGTCTGTGTGTTAATAGATATTAGTTATTACATTAGTATGTTAGATTAATAACTGCAATATGAATTAAACACAATTTATAGTCATTTAAGTAATGTAATTACTGCACATAACATCCCAATATAAAGTTGAAGCCTGGGCGAAGGGTCTTATTCCTTCCGTGATGGGTTTTGGGATTTTTTTTTTTTCCCCTTGTTGTTTTTGAGCAATAAATGAGAGGCAGATGTTTGATTTTGTACCATATAAACTGAGTTAGACATAATAGTAAAGATGTGATGAACTGTGATGATTTAGGATGTATTAGGATTAAGTGTATAAGTGTATTAGCTCATTAGATGATATCAATATTATACATGCTATGTTATGTTTATAACTTTCAGAAGCCTCCTGAGAACCATTCTTGATGGTTTTAAGAGACTGTACCAAGGCACACAAAATATTATTCATACCATATTTCACTTCACTGTAATTATATTATATATATTGCTTCTGTTAGTTATGAAATGCTTTATAATTTTTAAACTCCAGCCAGTAGACGCTTCTTGACTTCTCCCCTCAGCCGGGCCGAGGGTAAAGGTTCAGAAAATCACAGATGACACAGCCTGCAGCTTCCGCAGAGGGTAATGAGTTTGGCCAAGTTCCCATGAAATGCCGAGCCGCAGAGAGAGAGAGAGAGAGAGAGAGAGAGAGAGAGTGATGCTTCTAGTCATCACAGTTGCAATGAAAATGTCCTCAAACCTGCACAGTGCAAAGTGCACCGTTTAAAACAATTAATTTCCATGAGAAAAACAACCACCGTCCAGCTGTTTACTGCCAGTATCGACGTCTTCCCACCATTTCAGCCTAAGGTTACAGACTATCGCCCAGTTTTGAGTACAGAACATATTCACCAATCCATATCCATTTACACCCGGTGCTTCTGAGTGGAGTGTCTCCTGCAGTGACCCTTTCTTCTCCCTTTTCTTCCTTTTTTTTAATCTTTCCTCCTTCCTTGCTTGCTTCCTTCCTTCCTGCCACTCGCTGTTTCTACCCTTTACTTGTCCAACAGAGGGCCTCTACCAGCTGGGTGGTCCACGCTGTCCGCCTCAGAGCAGCATTGAAGGCCTGGAGGACACAGAGGTGGGATCATTATGAACAACTTTCTCAGTTCATCCTCCAGCAGGACACAACACGCAGAAGCACGCAGTTATTCATCATGCTAATATGTGGCCCATCTTTCCCTGCGTCTAGGTCTCGTTTTCAAACGTACCTGAACCTGTATTTTTTGTCGTTTTTTTTTATTATTTTTTTTTAGATGAAATGCAACACGCACGTGCTGCTGCTTGTGGTGCACGGAGGAAACATCTTGGACACAGCAGGTGGAGACCCGAGCACAAAGGCGGGCGACGTGGCCACGCTTTCCTCAGTGCTGGAGAAGGTGACGCAGGCGCACTTCCAGGCCGTCGCCGAACACGTCAAGATCAAGCTGGTGCCGTGTCTGGCCGTGTGTGCCGAGGCCTTCTCCCTGGTGTCCAAGTGAGTGCTGTTGCCAGAACAGAGAACAGCCTCTTCGGCCCGCTTTCAACCCGTCCTTTCAACTGGATGAAATCCAGACGTGGTTTAAAAGGGTTTCGGTTTGGCCACATACACACTGCAGACAGATGAAAGGTCCTTATAAAGTATTTCTAAGTGCTATAAATAATTCACTAAAAGTCTTAAATCGCTGAAGCCACGGATGAATGCTCAACTGCCTTTTAAACAAGCAGCCGGGATTCATGTATGGCTGTGATGTCACAACTATACAGTTGGCTGGGGAGTCAATATTTGGTCAAAGTGGCGCTTCGAAGACGACAAAGGCGCAGCTGCTGAATATCAGAGCAGACTGTGCTTTATTTTTTTTAATCAACAGGCCTTTTAATGTAGCTAACAACTATCCATTAGCACACACAAATGCATGGATGGGCCATGAGCGAGACTTTATGACACTCATGTTAGGCCTTCTGGATAAAAACAGCCGTTGCTGCCTTCTTCCGCTCCTTTCATGTCACAGCGAGAAAAATGAATAATTTCACTGACACCAGCTGCAACACCCCATGAGTGGCTACTTCCACAGGCTGCTTATCGGACTTGTCCTACTTGGTAGGACTTAAGAGTTAAGTCGTGTGGAGAGACGGTCCAATTAACACTTCCTAAGCATCTGCTTAGTTCAGCCGGGGACATACCAAGTTAATGACCATTGTGAGATTTGATTTGGCTCTTAGAAGAATCAGAGCAGCGACGAGCAAAACATATTTAATCTTCGTTTTGAATCAGCAGCAAAAATAAAAAAACCCTAATGAGGAAGAGTTTGGGCGAAGGAGCGGTGCTTCAAGGAGCCGTGTCTTAAGTGAGAAGCGTCAGGTTTTATTGGCCGTGCTGGTCAGCTGCGTGAATGTGGATGGAAGTCAGTCAACTGGTGAATGAGCATGAACGAAACGGCTAATGTGAGCAAGTCGGGGCTCTAAGGGACACTAAGTCCCTGCTGCAGAGGCTTTTTTTTTCACAGAAAACTTTCATGTGGTAAAAACACAGGTGTGAACAAGTAAGACTACTATGTAATGTGCATGTTACGTTATGTGAATTACATTGTGCAGCTTCCTTTTGAGGGTCTCCGTTATGTTTTGTATTAAACATCTCAAGTCATTCTCACAAGTTTCACAAATAACCTTTGACACAAAAAAGACTTTTGACAGTTTCCAGGGGGCAATCAAGGAATCTGTCCAATATGAACGCCCGGCTGCAAGAACGAGCAAAGAGGGAAAGATGTTCGTTTTGATAAGGTGGTGAAGGTCAAATGAGGATATGGGCAAATACCCAAGTAGATATTGCAATGTGAATTAGTATGCTGAAGATGTCTCTCTGCCCCCGAGAGCATATGTGGCCATGTGGAATATTTGAATTGTAACCTTTTTAAATGATGTCATCTCTAATTGTTACTTCTCTGCTTAAGTCCCGTTGGTGGCTTAAATGAACGACTAAATTGCATTATACGGTTTCATTTTGCACTGATCCTAAAGTCTCTGCAAGGAATCCTACGGTATCTGCTTATATAATTAGCTACATTTACTTATGTTTCAGGTTACATTTAAGGTGTCAATTTCAGAGTTATAGTTAATTCTGGATGTTCCAGAATTAACTATAACTTTGAAATGATAAAAGGGGACTATAGTAACTGAGTGATGAACAAATCTATGTAGTGGATCCTCATGATGAATAAGATACGCTTTATGGCCATTAAAAGTCACATGTCTTGTTCCTCGCTGAAAGTAGCGTTTTGGTCTTGTCTTGCTGTCTGTGCAAAGAACTGCCGACGCATAACTGATGATTTCATTCACATTCAATGAAGCGCTCTATTCTGTGCAGGGGATGTTTTTGTCTGAAGAGTCACTAATCACCAGGACTGAGACAAAGTGTTTAGCAGTCAGGTCCGAGGCTTCTGTCTGGTTTTGTGATTGGCGTTAGGCCGAGTGAAGTAGTGACTGGAAGCAAGTCCAGTCTGAAGACACTTGAGTCCTGTAGATTCCCGACAGCTTGACATCTGCGCGCCTTTCGCCACATCCGGGGATTAACTATTAAAAACCTGCCCATGGCCCACTGCCCACGGGAGTCGAGCAGAGCTGAGTTTTTGCGATATGTCTCGGTCGTGGACTCAAACATACATATCGAAGGAAGACTCGCTTGTATTAAAATGCCATGTCACAAAGGACCAAAGCTGCCTCATGAAGAAACAATGACATTTCGATGACATTTCTTTTTTATTATAGCCCCAGTTGTTACACTGCATTTCTATACTTTTTTCCAATATTTTAATAAAGCCATCTAGTCTGAGTCCTGTCCAAATGTAACGTATTTGAACTGATCCCACAAATCTGATACAATCCTTGCTTGACAACGCATTGACTGTGATTGGGCAGGTCAACGGGCGCCAGCCCGTCATTTTGTGTATCAAGAAGCATCCTCCTCATGTCCCTCGTCAGTGGTTCACAAACCAGGAAAACTGAAGGGCCCCCGACCCCCCAGCTGAGTTGTACACTTTTTGTTTCGAATTAATTGCATTATAATAAATAAACTATATAACTACTAAAACTATAAAATATTAGTTTATATTACCTCACTTTTCCACATCAGTTCATTATTTCTTTGCAGCTTTTACGGGGCAGGACAGTTTTCCAATTTTTTTTTGAAGACCTCAAGGTGCTTCTTGATCAGGGTGGTGGGTTTCCAAGTGTCTTGTCAATTTAGTGGGCTTCACACTGTCTGGTGGCAACACACTGAGGTCTCACGCCATGGCCGACCTTAGTGATTTGATAGCCCAGTGACAGATTCGCCTCGTTATATTTTCGGACATTTACCTTTCGTACAAAAAAAAAAGATTCACGTTATTTCTTCACTGTTTGTTATTGGGTCAAAATCTCGCTCAAGGAAAAGTCTCCTTATAAAATCGGGTTGTTGGGCAGCAACAGGCCCCACGTTACAGCAATCAAACTCTATTGTCCTCCTAGTGTAAGAATCCACAGGGTCACCCTCACATTTCACAACTTGCAGGAGCCGGTTCCCCCCACGTCTCCGTTCCTCCCTGTTTATAGGCTCCTTTCCATTATGTTGTCTAATTGCGTTAACAATCCGAGCTTCGTGGACACGGACATTGGGGCTGAAGCGAAGGACCCTTACTGGTATTATTTTAAATATTTTATATTTTTATTGGCTGTACTCACTAACTACTTATATGTATCTATTCAAAGGGAGATCTAATAAGAACAATCTGAGGGTGAAGTTAATATCTTTTTCAGCTCAACACAACACTTTTTCAACTATGCCAGTTAACAGTTTGCTCTAATTATAGTGTTGGACTCGTGGGTGTGCGGGGCCTCATTTAATTGCACGGCAACATAAACACCGGAGCGGGCGGCCCCTGTGGAAGGAATCGCTGCTGTGTGGGTAATTCACGCTCATTCTGGCTAACAGCTTGGCTGAAAGTCACACCACGGGATGGAGGTGGCAAAACCTCTCGGTGCCTCCAAGACAAACTTTCACATAAACAAATCACTTTTGCCTCAGTGCTTCTGACACGATCCCTCGTGTACTGCAGGAAGTCCCCATAGAGAATGAACTTGTTCCTCAGCATGTGTTGTCCTTGTTGCCGTTGGTGCGTAAAGCCTGCTGTGCTCCCCGATGGGCTCCGAGCGCTCATTATTGACTCTGCCTGCTAATGAACGCACCTCTGAGTGTTGGCTGGGAGCTGCGTGTCAAGACAACACACACGTGTAATCCATAAAACGCACTCACACAAATCCCACATCCCACGCAAAAACAGTCGGAGCACGTCTAATTGACAGTGACAGAGAAAAGGCTCCCAAATTGATTTTCTCTCGCAGTCAACACACTTTAAACAGTCTGAAGAGAAGAGAGACACTTTTAAACTGCTGAAAACTCCATCTTAACAAATAAATGGGTTCCTTTTTCAGTCGGTTCATTATCATTTTACCCGATCGGTTTTCTATCAGGCACAGGAGATGGATAAGGATGACGTCATCTTGTCCGTGTGCACAAATAGCAACCCCAGTGTGATAAACACTCATTATTCTGACAATTGGCGGCAGTGGGACACGTTATTTCTAGACCCCCTCTAATTAAGAAAACTGTTCATTGTAACTGTGCAAACTTTTGCTGTGCTAATTAAGCAGGAATCTGACAGACTTTGTCTTGACAGAGTTTTCAGTTTTACATTATATAAGGGGGAGTGTGGCAGGGAAGGGTAGAAGAATCCATTTCAAGGTCATACTGGGTGAGATCAGGCTGGTTCGACGTTTAATCGGCTCACACTGCGTTATCTTTCCCCCAATGTTGTTAATGGATCTCTATCACCACATTACCGTGAAACCCCACGGACGACTTCTGTAAGTCCCTCAATAGGTAATAATATGGTAATTATACCCCACCTTTAGGGGATATTGGGTGAGTCTTTCAGAGTGGTTCATTACTGGAAGAGAAATAAAGTGTAAAGCAGGAGCCACTTCAGGAGGAACCTGACCACCAACCATGTATAGCCGACTTTTTGCCTGATAACGAGGAGTTTTGATGGTTTGTCGGAGCGAGCTTTTGCGAAGCACATGATTTTGCAGAAAAATCAAAAATTACGAGGAACCATTTTTTCTGAACAAAATATATAACCGTCAGTCCACGAGGATGTCACATCTTCAAACTACCTCTCACACAAACAAACAAGTAATTTATGTGCGGACTTCAGCATGCAAAACAGTGTCTGCTCCGTCTCAATACTAACAAGTGATTTTATAATAAAGTAATTATTCAACACACATAATGAGTGTTCACCTGGTATTTGTCTAGCACTGCAGCGGGTGTTAAACCTCTGTTCCTCTTCTGTGACTTGTGAACCATGTTCAGAGGTAGCGCTGTGTTTGGAGTATTAATAGAAGCTTTTTCAATGAGCATGTGTTTGGGGAGTATTCGAGCAGCATTTGTTAACAATAATTTAAAGAGATCATGGCCAGGATGCTGGCATTTCCCATACCTTAAAACTCATAAAACATACCTGGGTTTATATTATGAGCGGAAAACTGCTGCCATCTCTTGCTGAATATATTTCAAAACAGCAGCATCCCTCGAGGAAGTGACATTTCTGTTATGCAAATAGCTGCGTGCAGTACCGTCCCAGTGACACAGAATACATTATGATGGTTCCTTTCTTTCGTGCAAATCTGCATGGAAGTGTCTAAAAGCGTAGAATCAGTCTCGAAGAGCTGCTCTGTGGAGCATCGGCCGTACGAACCTGGGGACCAACACAAGTTTGAGCATGTTTAGCCCCGCCTCCTTTCAGTTCATTGACATGTTCCTCTACTTACTAAGTAATTTACTCAATAATAATTACCACATAATATGATGTGATTAAACAAACAAAGACCCCATGTATATTATCTCTCAAATACTAATGTAGTTACTCCCACAATTTAAGTTGCGTAATCACAGTAACATGTGGAATTCTTTCACTATAATTCTTTGTACAGTGTGGTAAAAAAAAAAGTAATAATTGCCGTCTGGTTGTAGTCTGGTTTATAGTTTTTCATATTTTTCAATCCATCTGGCTGATGTAAATAATCACATCAGCCAGATGAAGACAGATCACTGTCTGCTTTTGTGTCATTAATGTGGATTATGTAGGTGGCTCTGCCCACTCAACTAACGAACACGATGTTCCGCAGCAAAACAATCATTTGTCTGTTTTTGGGGTTTCACAATGCCTGCAGCGGGGTATTTCCCATTTGCCACCAAAGTGGGCAATATCTGCTATGAACATGTTAATGGTGGAAATAATGGCTGATGATGATATTGAAGCAGGAGGTTTTATCTGGATAATGCAGAGTGTGTTAGCGCTAAAAATAGGAATATAATTATAAGATTGTAAGCAATCAGCCAAATGGCTTATTCTGAATTCACAACAGGACATTCACAATCAGTAAAAGAACATGTAATTGTTCTGGTCCCAGTTGATTTCTAATGGGAGAAACATATTCTTACATAGACAGTACACAAACTCCTTTGTTCCTTCCCCGGGATATTTGCACAATAACTAGCCGTTCATTAGCAGGTTGAACGCAGGTATAGTTGGAATGTGTGCAGAGCCAGTAACTCTCGTTCCTTCATATATATCTATATATGATATATCTTATATGGCAAATGTTATATTGCAATTGGAGATTGGGCTTGGGTGCCACGTTTAGCTTATGGAGTTTGACAATGTTGACGGACCTTTTCCAAATAGTTTGTGTCGCTCGGTTCGTGGGACTCGTTGATTAACAGTTCTGAAGTTCTGAGAGCAAAGGTACCGCTTCCTCTCCTTGCTCTCAGTTTTGGTGTTCAGCCAGACAGTAGAAATAATGACTGATCTTTTATTCGAGAATTGTCTTTGAAACAAGTGTACTTCCCAAAATGTTCTGTTATTTCAGTTTTATGTCAGTAGTATCACAACTGTCCGCCCTTTTACCTGCACAGAGGTTGTGCCCTTCTGTGTAGCGACTTGCCCGTTGGTCCGCACGTATTTTTGCCTACATGTGGCATCAGGCTTCTTCCTGTAATCAAAGCATCTGATGGATGATGACAGGGGGGAAAACACCATCTTTTACCGCTTCCCCACATTCTCATATTAAATGTCATTGTAACACACACACACATCCATTAATGTCTACACAGCAGTAAAGACCTGACAGCTCACTGTTGATACTTGTGAATGTTTGCTTTTGTTTTATTCCTTGAATAATCTAAGCTTTTCTTTATTTAAAGTAACATTTTATCATCAATTTTTATGGGATTACTCTCAAAGGGCTTTGTTGAGATGTAACATGATTATTCAATCCGTTGTATTTATTCTTGCTATGCCTTTTCCCCTTTTATCAGCCTTGTATTCTTGTCTTCCAGTCTGAACCCGTACAGCTACGATGAGAGCTGTGTGTCCAGTAGCGTGGACCACCTGCCGCTGGCTGCTCTCCCCCTCCTCGCAATCGCCTCGCCGCGCTACCAGGACGCCGTGGCCACCGTTATCGCCCAAGCCAACCAGGTCTATCGCAGCTTCCTGCAGTCAGAGGACGGCCAGGGATTCACTGGTCAGGTCCGTCTCAAACATCTTCTGCTTGGAGAAGAGAGAACTCTGGCTTCTACTCATTGAATAATGAGCTGTAGGCACTTTGATTGGATTAAAGATTGCTTTTCAGTGAGCTGTTTAATTTGTGGGAGCACAGGCTCCTTAAGGGGATCTAGATGTCTTATTATTTCAGCAGACCACATTTCACGTTCTTGTTCTTAACAACTACTTGGTAAGAAGCTGCGCTTTCGTGTGAGGTAATGATGCTTGACGAGACTATTGACCATTGACACAGAGCTACCAGGGAGCCCGCATTGTTAGTTACCCCACCCCCTGAAATAATTCTATTCTATCTACTTTTTTTGAAGACAAAATAGGGATTTCATAGAGAAGCTGATAGAAGGGTCTACAATATGAGTTCGGTGGATGTATCAAGTATTTTAATGTGAATTCAGCATTAGAAACAAAAAAGCTTAAAAAAGATGGAGACAGAAGCTAAAGACTATAAACCAAAGTTAAAAGTTCAACTCCTACATCATAGCAATTGAGACAAATGAAACCATGAAACTAAGGAATAAAACTGAAAGGTATTTATTCTCCTTCCATCCCCTCTTGCTAACAAGCACCAATAGTTTGTAGCTTCCATCTAGCAGGAGGCTGAGGTCCATCAGGACTAAGACCTCCCGCCACACGAACAGTTTCTTCCCGTCGGCAGTCGGGCTCATCAACAGAGCCCGGTCCCCCACTGACTGACTATGACATTCTACCGGTCACTCCCCTTCATACTGCACATGCCACTTTAACTGTAAATTATCACTTTGTCGTCACTCGTCACTTTGTTACTTGTTCGCTAGTGCACTTTATGCTTAATATTTAAACTTTTTTAATATTTTAAATTTTTAACTTTATTCCCATGTTTTATACTAACCCATAGCCTTATTCTTTTTTTTTTTACTAACCCATTGCATTAGCATTTCATTTTACTTTATTTTATTACTTGTTCACTGCTGTCTTGTTGTCTATTGTTACACTGTCTGTCACGCACCAACCGCCAAGACAAATTCCTTGTATGTTTGACATATTTTGGCAATAAATGTTTCCTGATTCCTGATTCCTGATAGTATTATTATAATTATCATCACCATTTAACCATTTAAGCAACAACAAAAAGACAGATAGCGAGGAGGTCAAACATCCCTCGGGATATTACAATACAGGTCATTTGATTGGCTTTTGCTGTAATGGCTACATTGGTTGATGGAGTTGTATACGTGTACTTTCCCACTTTATTTCTACAGCTTGGTTTGTGGAGGAGAATATTGAATTCAAGTACTGGAGATAAAAATCAAGCATCTCAGGTTGCTTGATTTTTCAGGTTCGAGTCCAGGCTGCCCCATGTTCCATGTCGAAGTGTCCCTGAGCAAGACACCGAACCCCTAATTGCTCCCCAGGCAAAATCTGAAAAAAAGCCATGGGTTTAAAGTGTAATGTAAGTCGCTTTGGATTAAAGCGTCTGCTAAATGACCTGTAATGTAATGTATGTGTGAGTGTGATGTAGACGTTACTTGAGGCGATGCACATAAGAAATGGAGAAGCTGCTCATAGCTGCATATAATTTAAATTGCAAACCCAGAACAACACTGTGTAGGAAAAAAAAGTACAGTTTCTCCTTTGTTTTGTGAAGTTTTATCAGCAGTTTGATTGATGACAACTGGCACAGATATTGCATAATGATCTGTTTGTGGCAAATGTTAAAAAGCATTGGTTCATTATATACTGACGGCTTGTGTTATTTATACACATTATGGAACTGTCCATTGTCCCCCTGATATGTCCTTCGCTAACTGAATGCAGCCAACTATCTTATGTTTCCGAGCAGGTATGCCTGATGGGTGACTGTGTGGGCGGCGTGCTGTGCTTCGACGCTTTGTGCTTCAGCAACCACCAGAGGCCTGGCAGCCCCAACGGCAGCAGCAGGAACAACAGCACCGAGAGCCTGAAGGTAGGAACCCGCTGCTTCACCCGTGACGAGATGATGCTGATGCTCACACCTGTACCGGGGAAGAGAACTGCTGGTACGTCGTTAAGATGTCACTGCACATGCAAAAAATGTCGCGGTTGTGTTTTATTTGGTCCCTGTGGTTAAATACTACAATCGCACACCCGTGCTGTCCACAGTCCGCCTACGTAAACAAAACACCTCTGCCTTGCTTTTAGAAATGTCGTCAGCACAATGGAGCGAAGGCCTTGGCGCCGTGTTCTCTAAAGTCTCTAATGCGTAATGATTGGAAATACAAGTCATAACGGAACTGAATGTTGTGTGAGGATCATCATTTCTGTCTCCGCTGGGTGATTTGATTGCAATACAATTTTTTTTTGAGCACATCTCTCATCGGTTCCTGTAGTGTGCGTGTTAGGTACTCATCATTTTTCAGCTGTCATTTGATTTCCTTTTCCTGCTGCTAAGCTTTGCTAGATCTCCACTTTCTGGCTGTTGCCCCCCCCCACCATCCCTTCCCTCCATCTGTTCTCCTCCACCTTGCAATCCACTCAAATCTCCATAGATTCACTCCTGCAGAGGGAAGGTTCACCTATGGGATCACGTGTAACGATCTGGTCCACCTACTCCTTTTAATATGGCGTTCCTCCTCCTCCATCTCAGGATAACTCGGGCCTGCTCGGGGAGTCCAGCCTGAGTTTGAGTTCGAGCAAGAGGCTCAGTAAGAGCAACATCGACATCTCCGCCCCCAATGAAGGGCACAGCCCGGGCGGGCCGCCGCTCAGCCGCAAGCAGAGCGACTCCTATGACGGAGACACCACGTCCACGGGCCAGCACAGCTTTTTTTCGAGGTACAACAGTATGCATGAATATGCCCGTACACAAGGGGGGCAGTATTTCCCTGTGAGGCAACATATCACTTTGTTTATGACCAAAACCTGACATGCTGTTTATATCAAGGTACATATACCTTTTAATATTTCTGGATGTATTAGGTAATTATGTAAAACCTTTTGTCGATGTTGGTCAAACAGCATCAGATGTACTGGAGTAGAAATTCCGTCTCAACCTGTTTGGAATTGAGATGATAACACACGTGCAGGATGCCGCCGCGGGCTCAGGTTTTCCTCAATTGTGTCCCCCTGTCTCGCCACTGCTCTTCATCAACATTTGCAGCTTGACTGCCCAGCCTGCCTACCTGTCTCTGCTGGACTATAAATAGCCTCTATGCCCCTGTGCCAGCAAGTTTATGTGTATAAGGGGGCGGGGGGCTGATTTTAGCCGAGTCGAGGTGGCTGGAGGGTCTCCAGCTGTCATGTTGACTCACTTCAAGCAACCAGTGTTCCCATTCCAAATCACACGCTCCAGTAGGCTGTAACCATCACAGCAATAAAGTGACTGAAAGTCCCATGAATTCACAGTTATGCCACATTGTGTCCAGGCGGTACACCTCGCTCCCTGCTCTTCTTCTTACACTGATTAATGGCGGGCCTTGTTGTCTGCTGGGTGACCTCTTCTTCTGGACGGGCTCTTCACCTCCCAGTGGAAATTCCCAGTCCACAAGAGGGGTTATTAAAGCTCCTTTCCTCACACATAGTTAGCTTCTTTTATCGAATAGCCTATTGGAAAGCTGCCTACGTCTGCTTCCCTCCTTTTCACAAGCACCTCTTTCTGCTGAGACTCTCACTGGAAGATGTAAATGGTCACAACACTTTTTATGAAGACCCAGGTGACGGCAATCAGTCCAGCAAGCATTAGTCTTGATGTCCTAGATGAACATTTCTTTCACCGTACTATGTAAATGGTAGTAAAACTAACCTCTGAAGTTGGGAAGAAGAACATCAACCACATTTGGAAATCTATTTAGTCTAAAGTGCTTTGAAAAAAAGAAGCGATTATGTGGCGCCGGAGCTACTGAGAGGCTTCATCCATTCTTAATGAAATGATGAATGAAATGGCTTAGTTTAATAGGATGACATCATTCAAATCTATTTTCCACTCTCAATAGAGGACAGGAAATTTGAAACACGTTGTGCGTTTCGTATAATCCCTCATGAAGCAAAGTCAACTCACATTGGCTATACGTTGACATCTACTCCTGATTCTATGAGTAAAAGTGTAACAGAAGTATAATATTTGTTATTAAAGCAATAAGGTACGAGAGGCTGTACTGCTGCATGATCCGTCAATGCTATTGTTCCTATTGAGACGTATGATTGCAGAATTTGGGTTACAATTTTAACATATTTAACTATCAATATAATTAAATAGTAATAATTAATTCCATAACATTTGTAATTATTTGCTGTCGTTTAACTTGCTGTATATTTCCTTTTTATTCGTTGTGCCAGGTAAAGTCAGACGCTGCATAGCGATTCAACTTCAGCATCGGCAGTAGACACAAGTGTCGTGTGAGACGGATAACATCTTATGTTGCGTGTGCCCAGTTTGATGAAGGAAGGTGTGGAGCTGCGTGGCGGCAGTGGCCCCGGTCTGGTGTTGAATCCGGGTCGATTTGACTTTGAGGTGTCAGACTGCTTCCTGCTGGGCTGCCCTTTGGGCCTCGTACTGGCCATGAGACGTACTGTGCTGCCTGCCGTCCAGGGTAAGACTCAACACACGGTGATTCTTAGCATCCACACTTGAGTGAACGAGCTCTCGCAGATAACAGTTCTTTTTAACTTTTAACTTTTTTATAACCCTGCACTACAAGAAAAGATATGTTTAATTCATACACTCTCCTCCATTCAGTGAATTGTATCACAGGAAAAGGTCCCCTGACTGCATCACTGATGCTAAAACAGGATTAAAATGCAAACTCCTTGAGGATTATTTGGCCGTAGTCCCTCAAAGTAATAAAAGTCCAAATAGTTTTGACTGTAAGTTTAGTTGCCCTACTTGTTTTTTGAACCTCCAAATGCTTCTCACACAGCTGCACTTATATTATATTATATTATATTCTGTGTGCTTTACACTGTTTATAATGACTTTGTTTGTCCTTTTGTGTTTTCCAAACCCTCAGTGAGCCAGCTGCATCCAGCCTGCTCTCAGATTTTCAACTTGTTTTACCCTTCGGACCCTTCAGCCTCCAGACTGGAGCCGCTGCTGCAGCCTCTCTTCCACAAGTTGCCGCCTTACGCTGTGCCGCGCTACCAGCGCTACCCTCTAGGAGATGGGCGCTCAACGCTTATTGGTAGGAAATGTGACTGAACCCTGGAAATCAATATGTGAGAGCATCTCCTCATGAATATTTCATTGGTTAATCTATTTTCAGGTGTAGTTGTTTATTGTGCATTAATAACCTTTCCTGCCCTATATTTTAAAGCTAGCAAAAAATATATTAGGAACTTTGACCCAGCGGGTCTAGATTTCAGAGGCAGAGAACCTGTGACCTACTAATGTAACTTTCCACAGCCACACGTGCACATAGAGCCTCAGTCCCATTTATGTGTGCTTACCCTACATATGCAGAGACAAATTCTGACCCAAAAAGTAATAAAGTAAAAGTAATTATGCTTCTTGTGGTGCAGTACCTTTGCCCTACCACCACTCTCTGAGGACCAGGCGTGTGAGATATTGGTCTGCTAGATATAGCAGAGTACTGCTCTAATCCCCCTTGAGGGCCTGGTTGTAGAGAGTGAGTCCTTAATGAGCCACTGAATTACTTGAAGCATGTTTTAGCACTCTTGGGACAGAGGGATGACGCATAGCCTGGAGACCCTACTCCTCCATGCACCTACCTCAACGAGGGAAAGTAGGGCGAGGACTAATCTGTTGAGCCAACCGCCCATGAGCATGAACTCAGATCAGAGGAGAAGGCTTTGTGGTTCGTTACACGGCTTTGAAGAAAATAAATCTCCGTTACTGAACACAGAATCATTGGAAATGTTTGACTCACAGCAGAAACAGATGTGGATGTTTAAACATGGAAGCGTATCGGCTACCCAAGTCCAGTCCAATCCAGACCAAAACAATGTTATGTACATATGTTGGCAATTTTACAACAAAAAAATTAAAGTCATAATTTAGTTTTTTCAGGTGCCTGAAACAAATACTCAACAAAGACTTGAGAACTATCATGTCTCCTACACCCAACCAAACCTAAATGAACATTCATTCAACAAAGAAGAAAAACTAGCGAACTAGCTCACACATTTTTGGTTGATTCTCTGACAAAGCAGAGATCTGACCGGATCATTATGGCCGATCAATGATCAGCTTGCCCTAGACTTTACTAACATGGTCACTGTAAAAGATGTAGAAGCTATGTGCAAATTAGCTCTGTAACATTGGGTTACAATGGGAAAATGTTGAAGCAATTTGTACCTTCTGTATGTTCCAAATGGGCGCGTTAATAACCGGTCAAATCTGAATTAAAGCACAAGTTAGAATTGAATGCTGGCAATCAGTGCTGTATTCAAGACCGCCTAAAGAAACAAAGACCAGAATGTAAAAAGGCTTTGAGGGGCTGAGAAACCAAGACCAAGGGTAGCTGAGGGGATGTGCAAATTATCTTTTGTTTTCCACAAGCAATCCCAGTAATGATGTTATGAAATAAACCAGACAATGCACAGACAATTCAATGCTAAATCCTTTGAGTGTCTTGCTTGTATGTGTCCTGTGCCACAAAAACGTATGACACATGGTAATAAATACCGCAGAGTTTTTATCCGTGTAAACTGGGAGGCTGAGCTGTGTTTTATTAATTCAATCAGGTTCAGCCACTCAAAGAGCGAGATGCTTGACGCTACTCAGAGCCCAGAAAGATGATGGAGTGTAAAGGCAGGCGCACAGCGTAGGCTTGCCGCTATACCGGGTTTTAATTAAGGGTCTGAATCCCTGCACCAGTGATGGGGCCTGGATGCTGTCAAATTATGTGTTAAATTAGAAAAACTTAGACAGGTGCACACGGACAGAAACAGACAAACAAACACGCTCGCTCACACAGACACACCGAAGGAAAAACAGCACGCATAACCCATGTCCTGTAATAGTGTAATTAGTTGTTATGAAGGCTTGAAAAGGCAATCAAATCAGGCTCCTGTGTGTATGACTTTGACATCAACACCCGGTGGTGGACAGTGGAGCTTTTATTATGATGCATGTTGCTAATATAGAGGCAACGAGCCCTCCTGCTATGTATTTCCAGCTATGGTCCAAAGGGGAATATGATCCTCCAAGACAGCATAATGAGCACCTACTCGTAGTAATTTATATCATATTAATCCCATGGCTAACGTATATGTAACGTGCTTTAACGTAAGGATGGGAATGTATCTCTTCTCGTTATTGTATTATCTCAGATGGGGGACTAGTGCGCATGGAGGCTGAGAGGCAAGGACACAAATCTCTTTTAGTCACCAAGACGTTTCAAGGCCGCGCTGCAATCGTCCGCCCTCACCTTATGAATACTCTGCCCGTTCTTTCACTTAGCACTGTCATCAGCGGTTTCCACCGCCGCTACCCATCTTTAAATCACAATCGTTTGGTTCTCCTACCTGTGGACTGGTGTGTACTGTAATTTTTCACAAATATTTTCACTCACATTTTTTCTTCTGTGATTTACAGACACAGTAACCGGCTTGTTTTCTTGCCTTTGCGTCTTTGTCACCATGTGGTCCTTTTCCCCTGCTTGCTCTGGCAGGTTTCTGATGCTCCTGCCTCTCTCTCTCTTTCCTCCACCACCTCTCCACCACCACTAGTAGCGGCTGGTGGAAAATTTACTGGGTAGCGCTATCCAATCAATTTGAGCGAACATCCCAGAATGATTAAATGCAAAACTGTCAAAATTGCAAATCTTGTTAAATGTTACTTAAACTGAGTGTTTAAGAAAATGTGTGAGTCACTGGTTCTCTCTGCCACAAGAGTCTCTCCCTCCGTTTTGGCCTCATCTTTTTATTTTTAAATTTATGCTGTGAGAGAACGATTGTTGTGTTTGTATTCCAGAGATTAGACACAAATAACAGATTCTATTGTGTGCGTGTGTGTGATTAGAGATTATTATTGGGTTTTGTGTAACATTCAATTTCAATTTCCATCATAACAGTCCAAAAAGAGGACTTCAGCAATCAACCTCACCTGATTCTGTGCAACACAAGGGGGGGGGGGGGGGGGGTTGGTCTTTCCTCTGTAATCTGTTGTGGATGCCAATCTTTGTCCACCAGTTTCCACAGGAACAGTAGTTTCTGAAAGTCTGCCTCATCTTTTACAAATCTGCTTAGATATCTTAACACCAGTAAAAAGCCTCTTGTGGTCTGTCAACACAAAGTCATCTGCCAACTACACCTTGAGTCAATGAATGCTGTCAGATACCAACTAACTTTAAATTAACTTGTTTGTGATGATATTTCAGTAATCAATATCCATCAGAACATGGAGGTTTTCTGGTTTTCGAATGATTTTTTTTGTAAAATAATGCCAAATACAAAAGTCCTATTTTCTGCCCCTGAAAAGCAGACCCTTTATACACCCAACACAACTATTCTAGTATTCCTGAAATGAATGCAGTGTGTGTCAGATTCCATCATCCTCATCATCCTTAGAGACCGGCTTCATTAACCACATCTGATCCTCCCTCATGCAGCTGCTCATCCGTTTTCTGTGGCGGTTACCGATCCTTAAAAGTGCAAACAACCCAACATGTGGTTGCATCTGGCGATTTATTCATAAACATTCCAGCAGGCAGCCGAGAAAGGGTTCATCTGACACTTTATACCTTACACAAAGGGAATAACCACAGACAGGGTTTGGAAAGAAGATTCTACACTTTGAGTAATTTTGCGGGTCTTGTCACAGTAGAACAGTAGCAGGTCCCGAGTCCATTGACTCCAGTGGGATTCATTATGAGCACAGAGTCATTTAAGTTTCTACAAGCCGCATATCATTCAAATATTCAGAAACTAAAATGGCAATTTTCCATCTTTTTTCCCAGAGATTTTTAGCTGGCGCCAACTATAACGCAATTAATGGTTGTATTTAGCTCATTTTTGTAATGCCGAATATGTCTGTTAGCCACGTAAAATATATCGTTACATCTGTGACGCTAATGTTTGTGAAGGTCATGGAAGTGCGAACAATCTGTTAGGAGAATACGTTTTTTTTTGGCAGTGATACAGTGATTTTGGCAGTGATCTGCCCAAACCCAGACTCAATAATGTGCTCTGGTTAACGTTAACAGGCCAGCAGGCACACCTGCTCCTATCTAATCTCAGCTCTCCTCAGACATGCGGCTCGCTGTTCGCAGCTCTCCGTTTCTACCTTACATCCGCTCCATCACATCAGCAGACATCCCATCGGATGTGTACGTGCTACATTAAATGTCAGTGAAGGACGTTTGCAGAGGCGGGGTCGTTGAGGCTTTTACTTGTGACATACATACAAATATAGATTACATTGGTTTGTAGTTTGTCACTGAGTTTAATCGATAGGACGTTGTGAGGCGCTCTAATGGGTTAGAGACTCGTTCAGACGTGACTCACACCGCACACAGTTTTCATAATATATCCAACATTGCTGGAGTGTTCTCATAGAAAGAGACTCAAAATAGGCCATGAGGCCGTGTTGCTTGACTTTCTATTTTGTAAAGCCATGTTGGGCCTTGTTGTTTAGTGGGATCTGTGTTACAATCAGTCAGTGTGAGTATCCGCTTCTCCCCGCGATGCATTTTTTCTTTCGTTAAAACAAACATCCACTAATATTCTTTCTACAATCTCTAATAAAAAAAAACTTCTGTGTAATAAAGCAATAAACAGTGTAAACCTGTGTAGAAAATTCCAGCTGTTTATTGTGCATGTATGTTTCTGTTTTTGCCTTTTATTCTCCTTTTCTACCAATATTTTCTTATTGATGTTTAATGCTATGCATATTAATTTGTCTTTTCACAGAGAAATATCCATGATAACATAGAAATATCCATATTGACATGTTATGAATTGTAAGGTAAGATACTATTAAAGTGAGCTGGGAGCCACTTCTCTTTCTAATGAATAAATTATTGATGAAATATGCTCCTTCTCTGCTCCACGACGGAGGAAATGGCAAGTAGATCCATGATGTCTGGTAAGACTAGGTCTCCTGGGAAAATTTAAATTTTAAACATTAGTGCCCAACAAATAGGAAAGACCTGCTCTCCAGTGCGAGAGGAAAACCCGATCAGGAAAGGAGGATTCTACTCAGCAGAACCAAGACGATGTTCAGAATCGAGTCAATACAATTGGATCCAACCTCATAAAGAGTAGTGGCAGTTTCCGTCATCGTACTCGGTGCTTCTCTTTGTTTTTTCCTTGATACAACAAATAGCAGGTCGATGCCTAGCAAGAGGCTATATTATCAGGAGAAATAACAGCATCGATTTTACGATTGAGGCCAGTCAATTGTTGTGTGATCAAAGCATTTCCTTTCTCTCGTCCCTCCCTCTTTGTCCTTGTCTTTTTTTTCCTCTCACTCCACACCCCCCACCCCCTCTTCTCCCCCTCCCTCCCTTGGCTCCCCTCTTAGCGGAGAGTATTCAAGGCCACTCCAATGTGTTTTTGGAAGGTGAGCAAACTCCTGGAGGTTCAGCTTCAAAGACGTCCTCCGGGACTAAGACTGAAGGAGGAGGGGGGGAAGAAGGGGGTCGTAGAGCCAGCGTGACCAGTGCGGAAAGTGAAATTTCCATTTGCTCCCTGGGCCAGCTGGGAAACACCATTGCTAACAGTGAGTGGGAGGGAAGAAGCGAGCCCCCGTTTTATTATTCAATTATGTCCTGTGAATGTATTCCAGGTCACGAGGTTTCACAGCTCTGAATTTAAACTCAGATATGCACATGCTTGTATATGTGTGTGTGTGTGTGTGTGTGTGTGTGTGTGTGTGTGTGTGTGTGTGTGTGCTTTCCAGTTTCCAGTAGCTGGTGGGGCTCCAAGAGGCTGGATTATGCTCTGTACTGTCCCGATGTGCTAACTGCCTTCCCGACGGTGGCTCTACCTCACCTTTTTCATGCGTCCTACTGGGAGTCTACTGATGTAGCAGCCTTTGTTCTACGGCAGGTGGGAAAGCCTTCTTCATTAGTAAGAAATGATCAAAAGCGAATTTATGTAGCGTCCTGAAACCAAGACTCAGCCTTAATTAGCATACTTTATTCTCAACAGTCGCAGGTAACTATCATCATCTAAAGGCCCTTTGAAGGGAGCTTCACAAAAAGTAGTAGGCTACCTGTGTGAATCGAAATTGTCTCTGAAAGTCTCTGACTGTTTTCTCAAAAGACCGACCTTGTCGAATCAAATACGTACAGATTCTCCAAACCCATTTTTTCTGGGAGTAGATGAAACGAAATGACAAAATATGGCACATCTCCAGTCTCTTTTTAAGGCCAGACGTTTGCATGTGCACCGCGTCTTTTTAGATGTGACCAATGTGGTCTGTTCCACGTCCATGGGGGGGGGGTTTGTTGGCTTTTACGACACGTTATTTTAACCAAAGCACTAAGATGTCATTTTCTGATTCAAAGTTAATATTCATTGCTGTAACATATGAGAAACCAGGGGAAGGAAGACACTTCTTCATGTTGAGACTTGGTCTGCTGGATGTCCTCTTGGCCTGTGGAGATGTTCCTGCTCGCAGTGAGCATTGCTGTTTGTTCTTGAGAAAAGGGGATACAGTCTTAAGCAGAAACAGCAAAACCAATTATCAAATATCTTGGTTATTTTATTTAAACTTATTTTTTTTTCTAATTAATATGAATTACTTATATATAATATTCATATTTTCTAGTATAGTTTGATTTCTCTGCTATAGAATGTTATCAAACAGGTGATATGAAACCCTGAATTAAACCTGAACGAATGAAAGAATTAATTAAACAATTACACAACAGAGACAGACATTGTTACAATATAACAGACATGTAGATGCATACCTTTATATTACCATAATATATGAGTTAGGTTCATATATGAATATATGAACCTAACTCCAGGCAGCAGCGCCTGCTTGAAAATGACTTTGTCCCTGCTGACGATCCGACGGGCAGAAGCGGCGGCGCATGCATGAGCAAAGACTCGGCGGTTTGACACATGTGGACAAGATGGTGGGGATTGTGGGTGAACTGCCAAACAAAGGGAAGGGTCACTATCCTAACTGTGTTAGCACTGAAATTAAAGCAGAATTTGGTCGTTCATGCTGGTTTATGAATAAATGTAAGACAGGACTTGATTCAGAAAAAGTCAAACATTTTAAATGAAATGTTGTGTGGGGCGGGAGGGCACTAAGTGTCCAGGTATTTCTAATATCTCATCACATTTCATCATAGTCAAAGTCACAGGACCCCGACGTTGATTAGAATAGTGTCACCGGTCTTTTTATGTCAGCACCAAGTGGGACTTAAACCTTGAGCAGAGGCATCGAATGAGCGCGCACACGGCGAGCTAATAAACATGACAGAGACATGAGACGACAAACATCTAATCTGAACCTTTTACTTTTCTCTCAATCCAAGCGTAAGTATGAGGATGTCTTCCAGTGTTACATAAAACAAGGAGCCTCTCTACCTGCAGTGCATCCGAGTCAGGCATGATAATCATCGATTCTTTCTCCGTGCTACATTCATTTGAGTCCTCCGAATCGCCCCTCGGCCCTCATTCTGTCACAGTGCTGCCTGTCGTGATGTGTGAACCCTAATTTCATTTCCAGGCCTGAAGTGTTTAACCGTTTGGTCTTGTCGGTTGACAGCTCATGGGATGTGGCTGTGTGAAGAACCAGGAAGCGGACAATTTGGGCACAGCTCCGTTCTCTCCCTCCAGCCCACGAGAGAAATGGCTCAGAAGGAGGACGCACGTCAAACTAAGGGTAATTCATTATCCTGTTGGATCATTTCGCATAGAGATACTTTTTTCGCTTAACATAAATGCAGATTCATGGCTACTCAGTTAACTTTCAATCTTTTATGTGAACACATTTGTGAAAATTTAAACAAAGATCTTTGGCTTGGACACCAGATAAATAACTTGAACAGAAGTTGCCCCTCTTTCTAGTGTTTTAGTATTGTGAACTGTGTGATCAGAGACCTACATTTATTTAAATACTCCCACACTGAACTAAAGCAAGCAGACACGCACAATTACTTGATGCTTCTGAGCCCCGCAGAGTAAAACCATCAAGGTCATACTGCTATACACAGAGTGCTTCTTTTATCTGCCATTTTCTAAAGCCTACAATTTAGTGGCTGCTTGCTTTTGACAAAAAAAAAGTCCCCTGGTCCTGAATACGATTCACTATGCAGAGATTTAGAGCCACTACGTTCTGTTTCAATTTGGGCGCAGACGCCTCTGTCCCGGCATAGAGATGCTATTCAAAGAGAGCAGGCGTGTAGTTGTGATCGTCCTCGCCCTGGTAAGAGGGGGTTCTCACGGCTGGAGAGGGGCTAGTCTGTGGCTATTTTATCTTGGGCAAGCGGTTATTTCGCAGGTGAGTGTTGTCCCCAACTCGTCTCTTCCACACTTTGTCAGTGAGCGGATTGCGGTGGTGAGATGCATCGGATTCAGACAAAACACCATGAAGAGTACCTAGAAAACTGCTTCTGGTAGACATAAATAAATATCACACAGTGGCTGCGATGTCTTTGGATTGTGCCCATTTGTACTCATATGGTTTTATATTTAGACTCCTCCCCTCTGCCTTAGATTTAGACCCTTTGTTAAATCCTCGCCAGAATTTATTGAATCTGCAAACACAAAATGAATTTACTTCTTAGCTGCCCATCAAGTTCATACGGTGCACCATCGGCATTCTTTAGGAGTCGTGTTCTGGGCCTGCTCCAATATTCACTTTTAAGAAATGTGTTCATCTTCTCTATCTCTAACTCTTCTGAGCTTTTGACGTCACCTCGTCATCTTCCTCATTGAAAAATGAGACTGGCTCTAGAGCATCACATAAGCACCAAACAAAAGCCATGACTGAACTGTGTCTTGTGCTCTCGCTCTCCGCTGTAGAACGTCACTGCCAACCACAGGGTGAATGATGTCATTGCCACAGAAGACGGGCCTCAAACTCTGGTTGGTCGCTTCATGTACGGCCCTTTGGACATGGTCACTCTGACTGGAGAAAAGGTGGAAAATAGCAACTCGGTTGTTTACGGCAAGCTGAGGTTTGTGTATACAACACACTCCCATCTCCAGGCCGTTGACCACCTCTGCCCCTCTTAGGTGGACATCCTGCTAATGACACAGCCGCAGTCCGGCCGATGGGTGTACTTTGACACAGATGTGACCAACAGCAGCGGCAGAGTCACATACACGATACCCAAGAGCAAGAAGCTAAGCCTGGGAGTCTATCCGATTAAAATGGTGGTCAAGTAAGCATCCGTGTGGCGTGCTGCATTTTCAAATGAGCTGATGAATCCCGTGAATCAGCCGTCTCTCCCTCTCCCTTTTCTTTCCCAAGGGGCGATCAAACAAGTGCGGAGGCCTACCTGACCGTGTTGCCGCGGGGCATGGAGTGTGTGGTCTTCAGCATCGATGGCTCTTTTGCTGCTAGTGTGTCAATCATGGGCAGTGACCCCAAAGTCCGCCCCGGAGCCGTCGATGTCGTCAGGTAACCGGCCGACGCCCCCCCCCGCTTCAGAGATTGAGACTTGTTGTGTGCACAACGAGCACTTTAAGCATTTAAGAGCGTCCTCTCCGGGATTACGCCGCTACTGATGGAAGACGAAAGACTTGGAAGTGTGTGTTTGATGCCATCTATTTACGTGCAGGCATTGGCAGGACCTGGGTTATCTGATCATCTACATCACCGGCCGCCCTGACATGCAGAAGCAGCGCGTGGTCTCCTGGCTGTCGCAGCACAATTTTCCCCACGGGATGATCTTCTTTTCCGAAGGCCTGGTTCATGATCCCCTTCGACAAAAGACCATCTTCCTCAGGAACCTCATACAGGAGGTAAGCTGCTGTGTTCAACCCTTCGTCCTGACATTGTCGCTCTTTTGCAGGCTCGCAGCATTGTGGCTTTAGGTTGTGCTGCATCAAAATGCCGCACTCCTCTCTGACTGAATGTTGTCTCTCTCGTCAGTGTCACATTAAGATCAACTCTGCTTACGGCTCCATGAAGGACATCTCTGTTTACAACATGCTCGGACTCTGCCCCTCCCAGATTTATATTGTCGGCAGACCTTCGAAGAAGTACCAAAATCAGTGCCAGGTCATTTTAAATTCGCTGTCTTTCATCGCTCTCGTTAGAAGGATTTCAAAACATTTCTGTCTGCCTATTGTACGTTTTGGTTTTCCGTCATTTGCCGACATATTTGAACTACTCTTCTTATTTTCTTAACCCTTTCTCTGTATGGCGTCTGTAGTTCCTCAGCGAGGGATACGCAGCGCACTTATCAACCCTTCAGTTCGGCCACAGAGCCAGACCCAAGAAGTCGGCTTCGGTGCGTATGGTGCTGAGGAAAGGCTCCTTCGGCCTCTCGGCCAAACCCGACTTCCTGTGTAAGCGAACTCACCTGCGCAGGACCATGTCGGTGCAGCAACCCGACCCGCCGTGCACGCCCAACCCCAAGCCTGAGCGGGCTCAGAGCCAGCCGGAGTCAGATAAGGACCCCGGAGGAGGAGGGGGAGGAGGCGGGCAAAGCACATGGGGGCGGTCCTCCATCCACCGAGGAGACACCACTCCCTGACGTCGAAAAAGAGACGGAGGGATTGCAGGAATAAAGAAGAGGAGAAAAACAAAGTCGCTTAGTGTCGAGGGCTAAGGTGACATTTTATGTTTAAATATCTGGGTTTTGAAGGAGCAGCGTGTAGGATTTTGTGGCATATTTCAGTGAGGTTTACATTTGTAAAATTGAACACCCCCCTCGCAATGCAACATTGCAACTTGTTTGTGTCTTTGATTAGACGTCCTCATGCAGCCTCCCACTGTACAAACCCGCTTTCTTAAATCATCATAATTTTAGATTATACAAACGGCAAAATAGATAAACTGAACTGAATTGGCGGAAGGGGTGCAGAAGACAAATATAGGAATGAAATGTGCAAACATCAAATGAGGTGGGGGTAGTTGACTGTGCACCTGTCCCTTTTTGTACATCATCATCATCGCCATGCGAGAAGAGAACGTCTTCATCTCTTCTGTTAGAACCTGGCTACGGTTTTCTTATGAGCATCAAAGCAGTGAAGATTGTCATAATCCAACTCTTGGAAAATGCCTCAACAGCCTGTGACGTTGGGTTTTATTTTTTCCCACTCAAGGATGAAAACGGTTGTTGAATAATGCAGCCATTCACCTTTAATCTCGCTGTGTGGTCTGTTAAGGCTTCAGGAGATCAAGGCTTAGCAAAACTTTGACGCAAATCCAGATTGATTTTGCTCGCTACGCTTGAGTGCCGACAAAGTCGATAAGATTATGTTCTTCGATGCCACAATGTACTACATTAAAATATTACTTTGTATTATCACCAATTATGATTAAAGTCTGAATGCACAGAAGAAGACCAGCAGAGCAGGAAAGTAACGAACAATGAATAATTCTTCTGTAGATTTAATATTCCTGTGGCAGCCTCAGTCGGAGATGCTATTATTAGCAGCAGCTCCCTTTGGACTACTGAATGTTTGTCCACGGTGATGATTAAGCCTACTGCTGAGCTAAAACTGCCCTTCCAACCCTGAAATTGACGTATTTCCATTTTGAAAATATTGTTTGTGCAATTATGGAAAGTAAAGTTATGTTGGCCTGAGAGCCTTCTAGAGCCGAACAAAATACGCTTATCAGATCTGAGACACTTCACTAATTTTCCTCTCTCTTTTGACAGCGTCACCTCTGGCACCAGGTAGATATGTACATTGGATCCTCTGCTGGTACCCCTTCAGCTCAGCTTTACCTCCTGCTTGGTCTTCTGCACTTTTCCGCCTGTTGGGCCCTTTTTTCTTGTGACCCGCTTGGTGGATTCTGTCGCTTAGTCTTGGTGCCTGAAATCTGAAGCGGTTCCCCAGGGATGGCCAGGATTTTTGTGAAATTCCCCGTCGTGTTAAAATGGTGTATAACTGTAAAGTAATGTGCTTCAGATAGTGGATATACTTGTTTAATTCTTCTAAAACACACACACACACACACACACACAGACAGTTTCAGAGGATGGAAGATGTGGTGACTTCAACACTCAACACAACAGATTCCCCTGTGCGATCAGACGTGCTGACAGGCGGTCGCGTTGACTGACTCCTACAGTAACCCTCCACCCATGTAAATACAAGACGCAGGTCATCCCTCTTTGGGCCTCGGGACACAGAAGCGCTGTGACATTTAAGTTCCAGCTGCACAGATCTGGAGGTCTGTGAGATCTGCGGCTCCGATGAGCCGACCTCGCTGACCTCGGCGGCCTCCATTTCACTTGCACTGTAAGATGCGCCTTACTGGCTGGTTGCCCCCCTTTTGTTTCCCTCCACAAGTCTGGCAGAAAAGGACTTTCGACAGCCGCCTCAGATCGGGTCCACAACCGCTGAGGCGCGACTCGGCCCCTGAGGTCCCACTTGCACTATGGAAGTACGACGCAGTCGCTCTCAATTCAGCGGCGGGCACTCGCTTCAGAATCAAAGAGTTCTATTTTACTGTATTTGTAGTTTGAGTTTTTTTTAGTGCAGAGCGTGAACTGTCGCTGTGTTGTTGGTTACTGTAACTCTGAGAAGATTAAACTCAAATAGTGTGTAGGTTTGACCAAAAAATGTTTACAGGTTGACGGAAACGGATGTAAAAAGTGATCAGAACTTGTTTATACACGTAATTAAAATAACGGCGTAATTGTCATCATTGGAAATGTTAGATTAGTTGCTTGATATTTGCAGATGCTTGTCAGTTGAAATTCCTCCAGAATGCCCTTGTATCCATTGAATTTAGCTGCACTGCAAACAATGGATTTGTGATTAAATTTGATGCCATCTTGTGCACTCGGGGTGGAATTGAATATGTTTAAAACTGCAAGAAAAACATATTTTTCTAAGAGGAAATATTGTAAATAGAAATATTTTGTGTATGTATGTTTTTGAACCTCGTTGTTTGACTCGTTGAATAGTTGATTTTGGCCTTAAACTGCATTTGATGTTGTGCAAAGATATTTATTTGAATTTGTTTGACCAAAGTGTTGAGTTTCTGACAAAGTGCATTGTATCAAGTTGGTATTTTTGCTTTAACCTGTTTTAGATACTGTATACAGTATGTGTGCATGTGCGATCGAGTGTGTGTCTTAAGTATTTGTCGTGGAGTTGTATTTACTGTGAACGTGGAGAAAGCTGTGATGATGAACATATGTATCGGTTTGGATTAAATCACTGTGTCGGAGGATTTCTTCGGCAAGGTTCTTTAACCTGCTGGAAAAATGGCTTTTGAGTTCTCACATGGTCTGAATAGCAGAGTGGATCATGTCAGCCAGAAGGGAGCAGCCTTGCCTTCTTCGTTTCCTGTCTGTACGCACTAGGTGGTCCGGTAATTAGCTGCTTGATTTCCACTACTAAGTATGTGTGATTAGCTCTGTAATTGCAGCGCTTCGAATAGCATTACTTGGTTAATGTAAAATGCATACCACATTTAATTTTACATTAAGCTCAATACTGAAAAATTGTCCCCAAGCATCAAAATGGGATCATCCCAATCAATACAGATGCTATAAGTCTGTATAACACATCATGATTTCTCCATGACATACACTGGAAGAGTGAAGTATTTATGCTGAGCGGCATTTCAGTGCACTGATGATGATCTAACGGTCAAATGGTAAATTTTCTGTGCATGTTATGATTTCATATTGTTAATCAATGGCTCTCAATTATCATCTTTATGATACTCTTAACTAAATGTTTACTAATTTGTAAACAGGGATGAGTAAAAATGTATGGTCTGAATTTCAATACTACACATTGGAGGAAATCACAGAAAAAATGGATATATTTTACAGTGTAGAATAATCTATTTAGCGATAGGTATGTGTTTTTTAATATATTTAAATAATACATTATCCTCTCACTTACTGTAATTGATGTTTTCAAATAATTAGTATTCACCAAGTCAAGACTTAACTATCGGGTATAGACTTAACTCGCCATTTATTAACAATTTCTTTGACTGAAGTATGCTTTGGTAAGTTGACTGACATATGTGAAGATCCTTTTGACCAATGAGGACGAAGCACCTGGTTTCATTATTAGTCGTATTGTTTTGTGCAGATCTCCTGTAGTGTTTATTGGACTCAGTCCGTCTTTCATTGTTGCATAAATAAAAATATTTCACATTCAAGGAGTTTATTTTTACTCCAGGGTATTATTTCGAAAGGCTTACTGCGTTAGAAACTCTGTGTTAGAAACCTCTCTGCAGCTTTCCCTTTTTTTCGATCACCATTCACTGAACAAACCTGACCTGAATTAATATCGGAATCAGCTGATCTGGTTCGATTGAGCACAGAGTACAAATATTAGGGCGATGGGCTTTTTCAGCGGCGATGGCCTCCTGCTGTCTCACTTGACCGATAAATGGGCTTCAACCCTGTGCAGATTGCTAGCAATAAAAACGTCCATCCATTGTCTCTCCGGCGCTACACCACAGGCAGCAGTACGGGCAGCACAGATCTTTAGTGGTAGACAAAGGTTGAATCAATTAGTTACTCTGATTCGGAGCAAATGTGACCTATTTAGACCCTCGATGAACACCATAGAAAAATGTATGTTGTACTTCGGTATGAATTACATTTTCAAAAAGCCAGCAGAAATCTCCTGTTCTAGAAACCCACTGAAGGGACAAAGAAAACCGCTCTATTCCTATAGTCAATTTATGTTATTCCAAGACTGTCAAGGGATCCCAGTGCCAACTTAATGAAATTATTCCTAAAAAAAGAACTGAAAAGATCAGCATTGATTGGGCATGTGTGTAAGTGGGAGACTTGGTACTGGGTACCAACAAAACCCATTTCATTTATTTATCCTAATACTTTATCCTCACACAGATTCATTTGAAACTCACTCGTGATGCGTCAAAAGCAAACATAAAAAAACACCATCAAATTTCCATCAAATTATAACTCAGTTTCTGTTTCAGTAGAAGGCTCATGTATGGGAGGGATATTTTGAGGATACAGGGCTGCTGGAAGTTTTCTTCTCGACAAATCAATTGTTTTATAAAAACCAATATCTTCATGGTGTCTTCATAATTGAGCTCACCAGAGTAATGTTGCCAAGTCTGTGGGTTGCAAACTAACACGGCCGAAGCTCTGCTCAGAAACAAGAGTCTGGATGGCAGAGCTTTGAGCTAAATGCTAACGTCACAATCACAATGCTAACATGCTGATAATTAACAGGTATAATGTTTACCGTGATCTCTATCTAAGTTCAGCATACAATCATTTGCTAATTAGCGCTTGAAATAAACAGGAGAGTTTGTTAAGACAGGAGCAGTAAACAATACTGGGTTTGGTGATTGCTTTATGACCTACATAGCGGCTCCAGTAGGAGATAACTATTTTAAAAGCTATATAATAAATTAGATTGTTTTATGTCATTTTTAATGTGATCAGTAAAGTTATGCAATTCATCCCTGGGCATGAAATGTTATGAAAAGAAAAAAAAAGAAGAAAAAAAACCCCAGTTGTTGTAATATTCCATGTCAGCATGGTCAGAGGATGAGTTGAGGTAGATCATTATGGAAATTATGTAAGAGCGAGAAGCACGTTCACTGTTTAACTGCTGAGCATGCAGCTGCTTAAATTGTCTAAACTTTTCTCAAAATATTTACTCCGTTTACCTAACAGATCCTGACGAAATTAAGGATTTTATCAAAAACCGATGAATAGTATGTATCTTGGGCCGGTTAAAAGAGTTTTATTCTACACCAGGAATGGGGTATAATGAGCTGGAATTGTGATTCTTAAAGCTAGATTTAAGCATTGTGCGTAAAAGATGGTCTGGGAACACTGGGAAGGAAATTGCTCCCCTGTGAAGGAAAGGACTGCTGGTTTCTTTTCCATTATGATTCGCGAAAAGTTGAAGTCAGCTGTGATTTAAAACCTAGCAACCGTTTTTTGGCTTAATTTGTGCCCTTATTCTCCCTGTTGTCTGTTCCTTTGCTCCAAAGAAATCAGTCTTCTTTCTCATTTGTTTTTTCCTCCCTGAAAGTCACTTATCATCGCTGAGTCGAGGCTCTTTTTGTACTGTCCACACCTCCTTAATCATCTAGAGTTGATTCGTTATGAGGGATTATCAGGGATCTTGAACATCTTTGTCACTCGTGACAAAACTGTCTCTTGGACCAGCATAATTATACAGTTTTAAAGTGAGGTTTAAGGGTGTGTCTCTCTCATGTAAATTAATATAACTGAAAAAAATTGCTTTGAAATAATTACTCCCACGACTTGAGTAATGAATATCTTACCGCCACACTTGCCTCTATCTAAAGCTACTGGGTATTTAAGGCCTTTTCAGGTTACAGAGTCGGAATCTTGTCAAGGATTAATGGAGCTAGCTCGTGAATCAATGTGTGCCGTTGTTGCAAGGTTTTTTTCTTTTGAGCGGATGATGTTGGAGCCGCGGCGGCCCCGTGTTTCTCTGATGCTCTTTTGTCATGTGATGAGCGAGTTAGATGCCCTCCGACACCAGCATGGTCTGTAAAGCTATTGAAAGAGTAGAAGGTAATGCCTGTGTAAGAAAGACACCATCATCCCTGTGAGTCCATTCAGTTTACTGTCTGCAATAGAGAACTAGTTAGTTACCTAGCAGCAACGTAGCGCTGACGGTGACCTCCAGCTCTGCCTGACAGCGGCGTCCACTGAATCACCCTGATTGTTATTCCAAAACAGCATCAGGGTTTGATTTGTTCTGTGGTCTGGAAAGCAATATATGGATGCCGCAACAGCGACGGGGAACGCATTAAAACCTGAATAGATCAAGACGGCAGAGAGCCGGGGGGCCTCGGGGGGCAAGAAGGATGCTGTAAATCACCGTCTGCACCTTCCTAACCAAAGGTCATTCCTGAGGTCCGCAGGTAGAGACAGAGATAGTGACGTGTACCTCTGGGAAGTTGGCATGACAACAACTCTTTAGGTCAAGCCTGGTTTAACATATTTTATATTATATATTATATCTGTCTTGTTTTATATTCTGCACATTGTCATGTAAATTAATTTTACTTCGAAATAGCGGAAAGTAATTTCCGCAGCGCAATATTTGTCATGATTCTGGTTAGGAGGCTTAATGTAGTTGACCTCATTCGTCAGCTGCGGTGACACTGCAGTAAAAGGTTTCGCTGTTTGGTGGTAGTTTAGGAAATGACCAAAAGGATGCACTGCAGCCGGATTATAAATAGGTCTCCAGATCATTTCGCAGGGCGCAGCACCCGCTGGATGCTCGGACGATTTGATGCGCACATTTTCATGTGTTTTCCTCCACTTTGGTATTTCCTTTAAATAAGAGATGTTATGTACGGTCATCTTTCGTTTAAGCTTTGCAGCTAGTGTGTTCCACTAGGTAGCTTATTAATGCAATATCTGTTTCACTCGCAGCATCGTGTAAGATGAAAATGAAAGAAAATTATTAAAGAGGAACTGCATGAAGAAACAGTGTGTGGCTCTGTGAGATTTCAGTTTCCCGGCTCTTAAATCCAAAGCAACATTTATTGAGTACAGAACCTAAAACAAGAATCAAGAAAGCAACATTTCTTCAAACTACAAAGTAAGTGCCATTTTAAGCACTACTAAAGTGTCACCTATTCAAGATGTAGTCTGAATAGGTGTGTTTTTAGTTTGCGACTCAAACGTGTGTCATGGAAGATGTGAAAAAGAGATATTTGCATCTTTATCTTCCCATCCACCTGGAAACTGCATGCAGTGGAGCTGTGTAGAGTTGAACATCTTTCTAGGAAGAAAAATGAGGTGTTGTAACTCAAGTAATGTTAAACCAAGACGTGTCTATAAACTCTGGAGATTAATGTTTAACAGCGAGCAGATGATGTTTATACATCATCTATTGTTTTGGACTGTGTAACTTTGCTCCCTCTCATGGACATCTGACTTTTAACATAAATGACTTTCTCCCGTCTGCAGATGGGTCAGGTGACTCTATCCGCATTGTGAAATGGACAGAATGTGGCCCATATGTTCATTGTCAGTGGTTTTCCTCTCCTATGTTCATACACAGCACGATGCGCAATGTCAATGAGCACAGACACAGTCCTTTGAATGGAACTCTGATGAAGATCAAAACGCGCCAGTGTACATCAATAAAACACAGAAATTTGCATACAAAAAACATGGATGCAGAAATGATGACAATGTGATTCTAAAAATATTTGTCGTGGTTAGTTACAAAAAACTGCTGTTGGGCTGTTGTAATGAGATTTAGTAATGATGCGTGCTTCCAATATAATACACAATTAGCACATCGACAAAGTTCAGCTTTATCATACAGCACAGCCGGGCTCACTGATTGCTGCTCGTCCACAAATGGGACAAACCGCTAATCAGTGATAAACAAAAAATATTGCGCAGCACGAGCTCGATCGAAACTCACACACAGACAATAGCCGGACGTCCTTGGCATCCTTAAAGGTGCCCTTTGGAGTTGTTATTGTAAACAAACCGAACCTCTTTATTATTTAATTCTGTATTATTCGCCCAACCCCTGTGTGTCTTTAATAAGGAATAAAGTGCCAGTAGGGAGAAAGGCAGAATAGGTACAGGAAGACAGACGGTGAAAGACACGGCTCGTGACTATACAAACTGTATTAAACATTTAAAACCGCAGCCTTCGGGCCTTGGCCTCCTTGTGCTCAGGGAACAGAATCTTTTTACACGTGACTTTCCTCGTGCAACATTTGGAACTCACCGTTGCTTTAGCATCTCCTCGTGCATCACGTTTACCTTAAGAATAGTGGTTTGAGAGATTGTTACTAATGTGTGTACTACTGTATGATGTGTAAGATATTACATAAACAGTACAGGACGTAATGCGTACTAAATACAGTTCATGATTCTCTCACAATGTAATGCACAAAGTAGATGGCAAAGCTGTTCACCGCTGGTGAAAATAATTGTGGGCAGTGGTGAAACAGCTTGATAAAAATCCAGAAGGAGCACAAAGGATACATATTTGTGATTCATAACTGGATTTCATTAATGAATGTGTTGTATTGAGTTTTTTCATTTAGTTTAGTCCGGTTTTTTTTGACTGTGTTCGCCAACATTTCATCAGCCTCGGGGGGAGAAAGACAAAACTGAACTCTGTTGCTCTTTGTCACATGATCATCTATAAAGAACACCTATATGTTGGTACTGCTGTTGATTTATATTTTTTTCTCAGTAAGTCTCAGTGAAATACACATCACTCCCACAGAGCATCAATGTTTGTCACATACAGATAAATATCAACATGTCAACATAAAAAAAGCTGTGGCTTGGCAGAGACAATTAGAAGAAGTTGGGGATAAAGCATCGAAGACAATACTGACCCGAGGCTGTGGGGGAATATGAAGAGACATCCGATGGACTGCGTGTGAAATAACAAGTGACAGATACAAATCACTGGTGCTGCAGCACACAGCATCTGTGGCAGTCATTCCAACAGGCCGATTGATTTGGCCAACATGAAGCCTCGGGGGCTCGGGTTGTCTCACTAAGGGGAGCACATTGCAGAGTCCACTCTGCAATGTGACTCAACAGAAGCAAGTGGATTGAGCAGGAACGCAACATTTTCTTTTCCCTGTTATCAGAGATGCATATACGGATAGAACTCACACGTCTTTTCTGATCAGGTCAAATCAATCGATCCGACAATAACAATCTTTTTCTTGCTCATGTTGTAGTTGACAATTTGTTTAATATTTCATGGCTGATTCTGGGGTAATTAAGACAATAACGTTTTTAGGTTAGTGCTGTATAAGAAAAAAATCATCACTGCCTAAATATGGGTAATACGTCATTTTGGAGCATTCATTTTTATGAAACCATGCTGTGTTTCTTTGTCAAACAACATTGAGGGACAAACCGACTAGCCGCGCCATGGTCAGCCGGTCCAAAGCAACATCTGAGTGTGAGGAGAAACCTTGAACAGTTTGCTGGTATAAAGCGAGAACTGTGAGGGAGATCTGAGGGAAAGGGAAACTTGCACACCCAATTCGCTACATTAGTTTCATTGTCTAGCTGTGAGGTGTCACTTTTTAACATGGATTCAACATGCACAGACACATTATGTTTGTAGTAAATTCTCACTCGACACCCACGTAAAATCATCAAAACAGGATTTTTAACGTTTGCAAACAGGACACAGAGTTGAAAAGTCATGTGCCAAGCCTACTCACAGGTCTTCAATCATTTTTGGAGCAGGAATATATAGTTGGAAGATAAGTGAGCCTAGTGCAATAATCTCACTTGGTCCTTATGAGGCAGCTCTAAAATACTATAAAGCACACAACATCTGAGCGTGTAATCTTATTGTTACACACATTTACACACAAGTGTTTTCTATCTATGAGCGCGGTGATGCACAGTGTCTCCGGGCTGCAGACAGTTGAATGGGTTCTCTAGCTGACAGCAGCAGAGGGCTTTATCTCATTTAGATGTTGCCAACACACGGACTGGTTTACCTTTGCTACTGAAAAAGTAGGTCAAAGAACCATGTCATGGTGCCAATGTTTCATATCCCTAAACACTTAAATGAACATGACAACCTGATTTATTGGAGACTGATTTCACTTCTTTAAGGGAAACCTACCTCAGTCATTAATATGCAGGAGATGTTCATTATGTAATAATCATGACATCACTCCTTATGTCGGTTTGCACATCCTATCTGACAACACAGAGGTAGAACGAAGGCAGCTCATGGTTATTTAATATGCTTCCCACAATGGTATCTTGACCATATAATCATTCACTCAGTGAACGCAGTGTAACGCAAAATTACATTTTAACTGCATTCAAATTTAAAATAAATTTGCAAATGTCATTTTTGTGCATTGTGCATTGCTTTGGTTCCACATAGTACACATTGTTACGCAGTAACTCGTGACATGTAGTTTGTATAATGTTACCAGAACAAATTAAGATATGATTTTTCTTTTTGGCCAGCATGAAATGCAATATGTAAAACGAACCTTGAGTAAATTAATAAGTTACCTTTTAAGAAATACATTGCAAAGCAGTGGTGAATACTGTCCCTGGAGATCATCAAAGAAGTAAATGACAGAAAGGGCCAACCCTGCAGGGGAGAAACCTGCATTTGTATCTGGTCCTGCAGACATGGAGGGGTCCAGTGACAGGCTCTTCTGCTGCAAATGGCTGCGCCACAGAGTTCCGTTGGCCCACAGGGAAGAACTGTACCACATCCTGAGGATGACAGTCCCTCTGGTAAGGTTGGATTCTGTTTACATACCTTCCTCTGGCTCTTAGGGATTGTGTGTGAAAACCTGTTTTATACAACAGAAGTGTTTGGCTGGAAATGTCAAGCAAAAAGAAACTTGTGTCTTGATATTTACACCCAACAGTCAACCCAAAGGCAGCGCCTGCCTCGTTTCCCCCAGCGGCTGCAACCTGTGATCGATCATTTGCAAAGCGAGTCAAGCCAATTAATTGGCGTCTCTAGTCATTTACAACGTGTCGTCTATGAGCTGGTAACTGCAACAGCTGCCTCATTGTCGATGCTTGTCTTTCTAGCTGCTCTCTCGCATCCTCAATTACCTGCTCCCCTTTGTGGTCACCATGTTCTGCGGGCGTCTGGGAAACGAAGTGATGGCTGGCTACGGATTAGCTTCTGCTGTAAGTGGTCATCTTCATGCCTCCACAGACCTGTGCACGTAGGGAAGAAAGGAGGAGATGCAATTTATATCACAGTGCTTCATATTTGTTTCATATTCCTTTCCAGACCATTAATATTACGACTGCGGCAACGGGATGTGGTCTGGGACTGGCTTGCGATACTTTGGTGTCTCAGGTTTGCCCTGTGCCTTTTTTGCCGCCCCCCCCCCCCCTTTGATTCAAGGTCCCCCCACTGTTCTTTCAATACTCCCTGTTCTACAACGATGAGCGCGGACTGTGCTGTTGCCTGCAGACATTCGGTGGTAAGAACCTGCTGCGGGTGGGAGTGATCCTTCAACGGGGCACCATCATCCTGCTGCTGTTCTGTCTGCCCTGCTGGGGTCTGCTCCTCAATGCCCAGGCCATTTTGTTGTGTCTGGGCCAGAACCCCGAGGTGTCCAGGTAACTAACAGTATGTAAAAGCTCAGCCTGTCTGTCCATGAATGGCTCTAAAACACCCCAACATCCGAATCCCCGCAGGATTATGAGCAAATATAAATTGGTATATTTATATTGTTTTTCCTGAAAGGCCAAACTTACAGGCGGGGGACATACAATAGCTTGAAATGACGACATTGATCTGTGTGTACTATAAAATAATAAGTGAATTGGACCCGACTACATCCTTTTGATTTCAGAATAGCCCAGCTGTATATTACAGCCTTCCTTCCTGCCGTACCAGTGAGTAGTGACTTTTCTTTTGCCTTTTTAAACAAATTCAAAGCCAGATTTTATGGAAATGTTTTTGAAAAAGCCACTACCCATCAAAGGTGTGTTTTAAAATCTATTTTTATGTCTTTTAGGCCATGTTTCTCCATCAGCTTCAGGTGTCATATTTGCAGAACCAGGTGCTCTAATATCCTGTATTGTATACAATCCTTTTCTTTCAGGGATTGAAAGCATGTCATCTTAATTAATGCAATAAGTGGTACTCATCATCACCTGGTGTTTGTGTACTCAGGGTATAATACTGCCACAAATGTACGCTGCTGCCGTGGCAAACATAGCAAATGTCGTGACAAACTACATCTTTCTTTACTGGCTGGATCTGGGTGTTGGGTAAGTGTACTCATTCACCTTTTTGAATCCGAGTAAATCCCACACACACACACACACACACACACAGAGACTGATATCAACTTGTCTGTGTCCGTGTCTCACAGCGGATCAGCAGCAGCCAATACTCTGTCTCAGATTTACATCTGCACATTTATGTTCGCTTACATTTGGTGGAAGAAGCTCCATGTAAAAACATGGGGAGGTGAGAGATTTCATATTTATGGTTTGTCTCTGCTTCTATGCATCACTCTCTTCAGCCTCCATCTTTTTTTAGTCTACGTGAGGTTCTCTCTCCCTCTGCAGGCTGGTCTCGGGAATCACTGCAGGAGTGGGGCTCCTACATGAAACTGGCTTTTCCCAGTACATTAATGACGTGTTTCGAGTGGTGGGTTTATGAGTTTGGCGGGTTCTTTGCAGGTAATCCTGATATTTTCATACATTAACACCAAACCATGTTGTCAATTGCTACCCATCTAATTATTTATTTAATCACAACAACACTCTTTCTCGGTCTCCGACAATCAGGAATGCTGAGTGAAGACGAGCTGGCCGCCCAGCATGTTGTGATAATGGTGGCTTTCATAACCTACATGGTACTAGCAATAAGTCATGGTGTGATATTCTCAATGTGTTTAAGCAAAAAAAAGAATTTAAGTCTAAACCCTTTTACGTGCAGGCTCTAAATCCGTGTTCATTCTTTCTTTTGCTGTTTGTGTAAAATGATGAATCCACAGTTCCCTCTTGGTATTCAAGCTGCAGCATGCGCCCGTGTGGGTAATGCTCTCGGTGCAGGAGACACAGGCAGGGCCATCCTCACCTGCAAGATGTCCTTTGCTCTTGCAGGTCAGTACTAGACACGTTCTGTTGAGGTTCTGTATTAATAAATCAGCAACTAATGTTTTATTTCATTACTTTTTCTAGGTATCTTTGCAGTTGTTGAAGGTATTTTGCTCGGCTCTACTAAAACAGTGATCGGCTACCTCTTCACCTCTGACGAGTAAGACTTTTCACTAATTGGACGTTAAAGTTGTCACAGAACAAAAGGCTGCACACAAAGACACAGTCTTGATTGTCCTTTCAGGAAGATCATTGGTCTGGTCTCCCATTTGATGAACGCTTACTGTTTCCTCCAATTCTTTGATGGTCTTGTGGTGAGTCTAACAGAAAGCAAAATACCTTCCAATGCCAAAATCAAGTTATATATGTCTATCTAAAAAAGAAAAAAAAATCTCATTCTAGTGTGTGTGCACGGGCATCTTCTTGGGAACGGGAAAACAGAAGATACCAGCTGTGGCCAATTTTATTGGATACTACTGCGTAGGACTCACAATGAGCGTAGTTTTAACGTTTGTTGCCAAACTGAGAATTTTGGGTAATTGACCATGACTGCACAGGATGATCCAAGTTCTCATAAGTGAGGCCAGCTGTGTCCATGACGGACTGACTTGTCTTTTTCGCTGCAGGTTTTTGGCTGGGTTTGCTCATTTGTGTTGTTCTGCAGTCCACCTTCTACATCACCGTCATCTTCAAGCTCGACTGGATCAGAATGACGGAGGAGGTATGCTGCTGGCCAATCGATCAACGGGGATCCCGCAGGGCCTAGAGACGTTTTGATATTCCAGCCAGAATCGGGTTAATTTCTATAGCATCAGCTTCTCAGGCAAATCGGGCAAATTTCTTCTCAAATGTCTTTTTGGTGAATCGATAAGAACATTGTCAGTTGAGATCTTGTTTATGCTTGTTTGCAGGCTGTAAAACGGGCTCAGAAAAAGACACACGTGACATTATTAAGCCCAGCTGATGACCAGACAGCAAGTAATGGGAAAGTATGTGGCTTTTTATTCTCAACACTCATTTGTTTAATACATTGGATTCCCAACCGATCACGTGCCAACGTTTATCATACTTTTCGCTGCCTTGGTTCTCCGTGTGACTCAACAAAAGCAACTAATATATGATACTTTTTCTCTTCAAGTCAGGGGAAGGCGACTTATTCGTGGGCCCGGAGGGGCACAACGGGGACGCGGACACGCAGCGTGGTCAGGTGGTCCCGCTGAAAGGCGGCCGTCTCTCTACCACCCAGCTCGTCCTCAGGAGGGGCCTCACCGCGTTCGCAGCGGTTGGACTTCTGGCGGTGGGAGCGACGGTGCACTTCCTGGTGCCGCTGCCCGAGAGCCAGGCTTCAGAGGCCAACTTCACTTTGGACTGGATTAACACGACGTATACTCCTCATCCAAATCTTTCCACCGAACTGGTCCCAATTATGGCATAAGATGGTGGATGATTAAGTTGTTGCTGTTCAATGTACCTGAAGCCCATGATCCTGTTTCATATTTCATTCTTTATTTGATCATAGATGATTCCATTTTTGAATCGAGTCATTTCATTTCAAACTGAGATGCGGCTCTGCATGATAAATACTTTTATCATGCTATTTTTTTCCCAAATCTTTAGAGCATTTTTGAGTTCAAGCCTCGTCTGATGGCAAAATAAATCATTTGGTTTTTAGATATGTGAAGATGTTTTATTTTGTTGAATGAGAATGTTAAAAGTGTATCTTTACTGTTTTACTTACAGTGGCTGTAAACAACTGTATGCAATGTAGAAAGCGTAGAATTTAGCAGAGCTCTGGATTAAGTGTGGAAGAAAAATTGTCCTCACACACTACACGAAGTGTATTATTTTTTACACACCACAAAAAACACACACTCGCTTAACTAAATTAATAATCAAACAACTTAAGTTTAATGGGGACCATTAGTCATGCCACAAACACGTACTTGCTAATCAAACAAACGATAAAACTGTAATTTCCTTCCAGTCGGTCCCTCTATTCGTTGTCGTACTCTTGTGGTCCATCAGGAGCCCTCTGGCTTTTTCTCCTGTTCCAGACATCTGACCTCCTGCGCTCCTCTTTCCTCCACTTCTACAGTTAAATCAAGCCTATTTCATTCACACTTGTTTGCCTTTGTTACTGGATGAATTTCTGATTCTTCTCCATGTAATTGCTAAACTGGCTTCAACAATAAAACAATAAATAAACACTTGAGTTCATACAAGGATGGGTTTACTATATGTTGATGGATACTTTTCCAATGGGTCCTGTTTCTTCAATTCTAATTACATCCATCAATACACAGTCTTAAAAGTTCATGTTTCCTTTGAGGCGTTTCCATGAGCATTGATTTTGATCGATAAATATATTGTACTTAAACTGACATCAGTAACTAAACCAAAGCTTTATTTCTCATACTATTTATAGCAAGTAGGTTGAATGTTACACTCTAAGAAATTTTACCGTAAATTAACGGTATTTTACTGGCAGCAAGGACGCCAGGAATTTACCATTATTTTACGGTATAATACCGTAAATGGTTTTTACACTATGTTACCGTAACATGGATTTCTGTATGTTACCGTAAACTTGAACAAATTTTACTGTGAATTAACTGCAATTTACTGGCAGTCGACGCTAGTAACTTAGTTTTATTTACAGTTCCCTACTGTACTTTACGGTATGTTGTCGTATATTGGATTACAGTTTGTTACCATACGATTACTGTTTTTGTGTTATAAATACCAGAATGTTACCGTTTACTTTTGAATTTGATTCCCCACAAATTAAAGAAAGACAACCGAACTCATTTCGGTCACAGTGGTTGGAGTTTATTAGATGCCTTTAAGACAAAAATATTAGGCATTTGGAAACAAGAACAAAACATAAAATTTGCCACATGTATACAATAATAAAAAAATGAATCATAAAATCATTAGGAACAAGGTAAACTAACTGCAACAATACGCTATGGAACCCTTTCAATTGACCGCGGCAAATGGCTGGCGTCCTTAATCCCTCTGTAAAACAAACCAAAATTAAATATTTAGAAACACTGTCATGGGTAAAATATTAAAATTACAAAGTTGAGGAAGTCAACAAGATGTAAGGAAGGAGAATGTTAATCATGCTAGGCAAATAACACTTACGAACGTTACCTGGAGAGACGAAACAATGAGAAACTCCTCCGATGTTGAACTGCACTGACGGTGTTCTGGATGAACTGAGATTAAGCGTCTGACGTCACGTTCAGGAGCAGTCGGTCACGATTAACACTCAAATCACTTTTAGGTAATGAACATTTTGAATAATACAAATATTTATAATCTTTACATTTCGGCCATTGAAACGACAGTGAAGGTGGCGCTTGGGATAGGGAGGGTGTGCTGTGCAGCACGAGGTTGGCGGTTTGAATCCTGGCTGCTCCCTGTGCCAAGTTGTCTCAAGTGTCACTGAGCAAGACACCTAACCCCCAAATAATCCACATAAAATCATGTCAAACCATGGGTGTTTGGATAAAAGTGACAGCCGCATGTATAGTAATGTCCTGTAAGTCAAAGTCATCATTGTATCTATGAGATACTATCTCATTATGATGACTTACAGGACCTGTTTTTCAGTGGCTGACATGGGCTTCCACACATTAACCTACAACAGATGTAGATGGATTGTGATTCACTGCACTCGCATGTGTGTTCCCACCACTTCATAAAATATATGTAACATGCAGTTGAATTACGGTAGTCTGCTATTATTGTAAATTGACAGCTTTAACTGTTTATTCATGACATTGGCCGTTAATTTACAAACAAGGGATGGAAATTTAACTGTATGTTACAGTTATTATGACATACTGTAAGATACTGTTAGAAATGCACCATATATTTACAGCAATTTGATACAGTGTAGAAAATATGTGAAAAAGATGAATTAAGTCAGATGTGCCATTTTTTAAAATGTTTTTGTCTTTGGGGTGATAGAAATACCTAATTTACCATTTTTATCATTAACCTGATTTATAGGTTATTCTTTTTTAAATTATACACCACTCAAGATCACAGCATTCATTGTTTTTTAAGTCATGAATTTTTTGTCTTTGTTGTGATTGCAAGTTTTTTTTCCTCCTTGTTTTCCACAATCTACATTGCTTCAGCTGGCCTTGGCTTCATTCCAGGGCAGCTAAGTAAATATTTCCATCCTTTCCCACATTATTTCCGTGACCGTGAAATAAAAGACGGACGTTGCGAGACGAAGGATCTGCTTTAGCATTTTGTCCTGCAGACATGGAGGGGTCCAGTGACAGGTTCTTCTGCTGCAAATGGCTGCGCCACAAAGTTCCGTTGGCCCACAGGGAGGAACTGTACCACATCCTGAGGATGACAGGCCCTCTGGTAAGGTTGGATTCTGTTTACATACCTTCCTCTGGCTTTAGGGATTGTGTGGACTGAGGTTGTCTCTGCTGACGACATGATTTATACAACAGAAGATTGATGACAGTTATATTTTCACAAAGGAAAGATGTCAGGTAAACAGACTTCAAAGTAGGCTTTTTAGAAATCAATAGACGCAACACAGCTTTTGGCAGGTAGTGCTGCCAGTGTCACCGACTCTCTTTGTGAATGCAAAGAGAGTCATGCCAACTAATTGTGACATCTCTAGTCATTTACAACGTGTCGTCTGTGAGCTGGTAACTGCAACAGCTGCCTCATTGTCGATGCTTGTCTTTCTAGCTGCTCTCTCGCATCCTCAATTACCTGCTCCCCTTTGTGGTCACCATGTTCTGCGGGCGTCTGGGAAACGAAGTGATGGCTGGCTACGGATTAGCTTCTGCTGTAAGTGGTCATCTTCATGCCTCCACAGAATTGTGCACGTAGGGAAGAAAGTAGGAGATGCAATTTAACGAAAGAAAATGAAATACTGAAGCTATGAACTCACCTTCGCAAGATTTTAACATCTTCTGACAGGCCCAAATATGTACTGGTGAAATCATATGGATAGACAATAGAGTGTTTGTTTCTTATTCCTTCCAGACCATTAATGTCACCACTGCAGCTACTGGTTACGGTCTGGCACTGGCATGCGATACTTTGGTGTCTCAGGTTCGGAAAGGACTTTTGATACCATGATACGGAACGTTCAAATTGTTTATCATCCCTTCTTGTTAAAAAATGTCCATTATGTGGCGTGCAGACATTCGGTGGTAAGAACCTGCTGCGGGTGGGAGTGATCCTACAACGGGGCATCATCATCCTGCTGCTGTTCTGTCTGCCCTGCTGGGGTCTGCTCCTCAATGCCCAGGCCATCCTGTTGTGCCTGGGCCAGAACCCCGAGGTGGCCAGGTACAGCCGCAAACATGTACCGATGCCATTGCTAACATTACGTGTGAGTGTGCTTGAGTTTGGGACATTGAGACGCAATGTTAATGAAAAATAAATCTCTCCACTCAACTCAAATCCAGTCCTCGACATATTCACTTAGTTGCTCTCATTGCGCTTCAGTATTTTTATCCCCATTTAATTATGACAATCTGGGTCAGAATCTTTTTTTTAGTGGTTACATTAAAGTTATGACAAATTGTCTGCTTCTAAATGGCCGTGGAAGTAGATTAAACAGAATGAACAGTATACATTATCATAAGTTGAGAAAGTGCTTCTTTGTCTTGATTTCAGAATAGCCCAGCTGTATATCACAGCCTTCCTTCCTGCCGTGCCGGTGAGTTCTACCTTCTTTTTCACCTTCCAGCAACAATTCAACATGTTTTCTATATTTGCTTTGCAGTATTTCTGCTCAAAAAGCTGAAAAAATGTAAATTCCCTTCTTTATAGGCGATGTTTCTACAGCATCTGCAGGTGTCTTACCTGCAAAACCAGGTTATTTTAGTAAATGTTCTAAATCATATTCAGTCTAACTTAATAAGTGGTACTCATCATCACCTGGTGTTTGTGTACTCAGGGTATAATACTGCCACAAATGTACTCGGCTGCCGTGGCAAACATAGCAAATGTCGTGACAAACTGCATCTTTCTTTACTGGCTGGATCTGGGTGTTGGGTAAGTGTACTCATCCACCTTTTTGAATCCAAGTAAATCCCCCCCCCCCCCACACACACTCACACACACACAGACTGATGTCAACTTGTCTGTGTCCGTGTCTCACAGCGGATCAGCAGCAGCCAATACTCTGTCTCAGATTTACATCTGCACGTTTCTGTTCTCTTACATTTGGTGGAAGAAGCTCCATGTAAAAACATGGGGAGGTGAGAGACACTTATATTTAGCAGATACTTATTGTGGCTCTATGATATCATGGAAAACTTCATCTTCCAATAGTTTTTCTGCACCTTCATGAGGTTCTCTCTCCCTCTGCAGGCTGGTCTGCAGAATCCCTGCAGGAGTGGGGCTCCTACATGAAACTGGCTTTTCCCAGTACATTAATGAAGTGCTTTGAGTGGTGGGTTTATGAGCTTGGGGGCTTCTTTGCAGGTAATTTATGTTATATATATAATGTTAAGACATTTGTTTTGAAAATTGGTAAAACAGATAGAAACTTTTTTGTTGTGACTCTCGGCTTTGTCTCTGTTGATCAGGAATGCTGAGTGAAGATGAACTGGCAGCCCAACATGCTGTGATAATGGTGGCTTTCATAACCTACATGGTACTAAAAACAGAGCAATGTCTTCTCCCGTTGGAACTTCTCTAAACGCGTCCCTTTACTTCTCAAACACTCTCTAGAGTTGACTAATTTTCATACTTTTACTAAGAAATGATGAATCCACAGTTCCCTCTTGGTATTCAAGCTGCAGCATGCGCCCGTGTGGGTAATGCTCTCGGTGCAGGAGACACAGGCAGGGCCATCCTCACCTGCAAGATGTCCTTTGCTCTTGCAGGTCAGTTCTAAACACGTTCTGTTGATGTGGCCTGCATTAATACATTTGCATGTAACGTTTCATTTCTTCACTTTCCCCTTTTACTAGGCATTATTGCAGTTATTGAAGGTCTTCTGCTTGGCTCTACTAAATCAGTTATTGGCTTTATCTTTACCCCTGATGAGTAAGTCTCTGCATCTGCACTTTATTTCAGTAACTCTGATCCAAAGATTGGCCTGGAAACACAGATGTTAATTCTAAAACCTTATTTCAGGAAGATCACAGGTCTGGTTTCATACTTGATGAACGCATACTGTTTCCTTCAGTTCTTTGATGCATTTATGGTGAGTACAACAGTTTGTCTTGTAAGTAGAGCAAATACATTTGTATGTTGAATGAGACAAATTTCTAAATGTTGCCAATGGAGTGAATAATCTCTTTACATCCCAGTGTGTGTGCTCAGGGATCTTCTTGGGCACGGGCAAACAGAAGATACCAGCTGTGGGCAATTTTATTGGATTCTACTGCATAGGACTCCCACTGAGTGTCACTTTAACGTTTGTTACAAAACTGAGAATTTTAGGTAATTGTATCAAGTGACATGTTTTGTTTTTTTTAGGGGGGGAAGTCTGCTTTGCACTAAACTGAATAATTGCAGGATTTTGGCTGGGACTGCTTGTTGGACTCATTTTACTTTGCTCCTTTTACATCACTATCATCTCCAGGCTCAACTGGGAGGAAATAACACAGGAGGTATGCTCAGCGGGGCGTCAGCATCTGGACTTTCAAGAGCTTTTTGTTTCATGTAAACATCTGAGAAGTTCGACGCTGGTTCAGTTTCTGTTTGTATTTGTTTGCAGGCTTTAAAACGAGCACAAAAAAAACCTCCCATGACATTGTTAAGCACAGCTGCAATGTCAGACGCTCAGGGTAACGCCGCTGTTGACCCAAGAGAGAGCCTTGGGAACGCAAGTAGCCTGCCAAACTTAACATTAACAACATCTTGAAATACTTTCAGAGCGTATTAATCCATCTTCTAAATTGGAACTTGTACTTTTTAAATTGTTGTCAAGTTTTTTTTTTCCATCCTTTGACATTGACTTCATGATGTCTTAACAAAACAAAGTCATGGACAATGTCTGTCCCTCTCTCTCCCCAGTCAGTGGAATACCACACGTCCATGGGCACAGAGTGCCATGATGGGGACTCGGACACACAGTGTGATCAGGTGGTCCGGCTGAAGGGCGGCCATCTGTCCACGGGCCAGCTGATCCTCAGGAGGGGCCTCACCGCGTTCGCAGCAGTTGGACTCCTGGCGGTGGGAGCGGCTGTGCACTTCCTTGTGCCCCGGCAGCAGACCAACTTCACCTTGGACTGGAATAACACGACACATACTCATCAAATTCTCTCCACTGCACAGGTCCCAAATTAACCGTCAAATTAACTCAAATTTAGACTAGAAATAAGTCACACTGCCAGCTGCTGTTTAAATTGAGTACTGCAAAGCAAAGTAATGCCTAATATTTACCATATTTTAAGTTGAACCAGATTGCCGTGTTGAGGACGATAAACATATTTAGTGCAACATGGTACTTTTTCCCAGGGACTTGCACTGGTAAGTGTGTAGTTGAGGTTTGTTTGTAAGAGCCAGTTGAACGAAAATCTGTTAAGTTATGTTTAGATAAAAATAAAAAAAATGTTTTAAATGACACTACAGTAGAAAAAAGGGCAAGTACATACGTTTTAAAATCCTGTGATCAGTCCATCCCTTAAATAAGTTTGAATTTTTCTATTATTCTATTCTAAACAGGAAAAATATTGTTGTTGCTTTAAAAATTCAAGATACCCACAATGTATATTTTTAATGAATTAAATACAAAGGTTGTCAAACTGTCTTTAGTTTGACTCATTATCATTGACAGATTGTTGTTGCGAACACTATAATCAATTGAAGACCACAATTTCCCATTCTTTTGCATGCATACCCGGCTTTGTGCCTCTGTATCACATTGTGCACTGGTGCCCAAGGAGTTACTTCACTCAACACAACAGATTTTTCTAGTGTTCACGTGAACACGTTTATGATCAGCAGGTTAAGAATGATTCCAGCAGCCAGGATGGCCAACATGAGAGCAAGAGTCAGGCCTCTACGCAGAACCAGAGCCCTGTGAGAGAACTCCTTCTGCTCCACTGTTTCTGCTGCTTTCCCCGCTGTGTCAATCAGGCCCACGTGGTCCTTTTGTTTTACTGGGTTCCATGTTTTCTCTGGTGGGATCCCTGGAACATCTGGTTGGGGACCTGGATACATACAAACACATACATATAGATCATCCTCATTGAATTCAATGAGGAAGTGTGTCCAAACTGGATGGTACTGTATACATACACATACACACTATATATTATATAGTCGAGGCTGGCTTGAGCTGTAAAGGATACATGTATTTTTTTTTTCTTACCAGTAGAAAATATTTTACTTACTTGTGCCACTCAAGCTCTCACACACTCCCGCTCTGATTTGAGCCTGGAAGAAAAATGTCAATGTCTTGACATGTATCCATAAAGAAGTAGAATCAGGCAATTTGCAAAGGTAAAGATGTCCCTCTGAATACAAACCTCAATTGCTGCTTTCATCCAGTTCATTCTTACCAGGTAGAGAATGACGAATGTGGACTGCAGAAACCCACAAGCAAACATCCCGGTCCACAGACCTGAGAGAAAAAGAAAAATACTTTTACATCTTTGGCCTTAAGTGTAGCGTGTGATGCTGTCAGATCTCGCACAAAAGAAAAATAAAATACTAGCTGTACAACAATGTGGCAAAAACAAACTGCTTGCGGCAAGAGAACAAGCAGTAATTCTTACCCGTGATTCCCATTTTGGCTGCAAACATGAGCGGCACTCCAACGGGAAAAGCAACACCATAATATCCCAAAATGTTGACAATAGCCCCGATCCTCTGTTTACCAGCTCCTCTTATAATTCCTCCCGCGGCCGCCTAGTCACACAAACACAGTAAAGAAATGGATTTGGAAGTTTTTCAACGGATCTGATCTAAATGGAACACTTCAGTGATACTTACTGATATTGCATCCAGGATAACGAAAGGTGCGTATAAAACCATGACATCAGCAACCCTTTCCTGTATTTTTCTGTCAGTAAAGAGACTCAAAATTAACAGTTTGACAGAGGTTTAAAAACAAAAACAAAATACCATTAGATTTGGGTGTTAAATTTATTGAGAAACCTATTTTCTTTGATCAAAGAGAAGTCAGTAGTTGCAAGGAATTGCGGTGATGCTGAGCGTAACATTTCCTATGAGTTAATGTTTCCTACAAGTTAATGTTTAAACAAATGTGTAGGCAAAGTTCACTGTAATGCAGGTCGTGGAACAGATTTCCTCTCACAGGCGTAACATCATCTCAAGATAAAGACATACTCACTTGTCATAAGTAAAGACATAAGAGATGTGGTCCTTCAAGCTCCCCACGAGAATGGACAAACATATAGAGGCCGACACTGTGGTAAAAAGTAACAGACTTCATTTTCTGCAGGTTGCATCATGCACAAGGTGTTGAATGTTTGTTTTGTTTTACAACCAGTCTCCTAGAACTTTTTAGTTCTAAGCAAATCATGTTCGGAATAGAAACGGTGTGTACTGACTTGCACAGAACATGGTGAGTTTAGCTGACAGCTTAGCCTGCTCCGTGTCTCCAGCTCCCAAGGCATTTCCAACCCTTACATTGCCTGCTATACTGAAGCCCATAGGGAACTACGAGCAGAAATGCAACATCCACACGCAGGTACACAGAGGGGCCGAATAGGGGGACAACCATTTGATGGATTGGACATTTTTGGAAGCAAAAAAGATTACCATGTATGCAACATTAGCAAGTCCATATACAACCGATTGAGTTCCAAGCTCCACCTCACTTATCAGACCTGTCGGAAACAAACGAGTAATTAAGATTCCAGACCAGAAACACTTTAAACAACAAGTCAAGTGGACCTTGACTTTACCTGCCAGAAAGCCTCCAATCTCATAAGTCCACCACTCAACACACATCATGAGCATGCTAGGGACGGCCAAGTGGATGTACGAGCCCCAGTCCTGCAGGCACTCTTTAGACCAGCCTGCATGGGAAAATAACAAAGCAATGAATCATTATTTCCCTCTCAAACGTATGACATACGGGTTCGATTAGATCGTGACCATGTCTCCACAATGGGATTTGTATCATCTCCAAGAAGCTGTGCTGTGAACATATCATAGGAGGATTGGGCTCATGATTTGAAATCTACCAAAACATCCTCCAGTGTCTTAAAGCACGAGAAGCAAGGAAGAGAAGGAAAAAAGGAGCTTTTTCGTGCATTTATAGTGACACAAGCCTCAGCTTCTGAACTAAACCATTGTTTTTGCACGCAGCTTTATAAACATGGAAGTTGCATTATATTGCTGTGGAAGGAAGGGTAGCTTTCTTCATCACTGCAATAACTCATTAACACCAGCATGAAGGAAAGAGCCCGAGTGTATAAGTGAATGCAGGTTCACTGTCCGCCCATGCAAATGTACTTCTCACCTCCCCAGGTGGCCTTGTGAAGGCCTTTCCACATTATATAAGAATAGAGAACGACGACCATGGCGAACTGGGAAACGCTGTTGGCAACAGCAGAACCTCTGTGAAAAAAAAGAAAGAAAAAAAAAGCAATTTGCAAACAATAGATGTATACTGAAAGAGGCAACATGGAACGATACTCACGCTACTCCCAGATGCAACACGTAAAGGAAGATGTAGTTGATGAGGGCGTTAAGAAGGTTGACTACAACGCCTGTGATTACCTGCGGCCATATGATGCCCTGAAAGAGGAACGCCACATATATTATTAATTATTAGACACAAGCAACAATAGGGGATCAACCGAGTAACAGACAGAGGACGTACGACTAGATACATCTTTACCTGTTAAACCTTTAGCAGATGTAATACAAAAATGTAAAAAAAAGGGTGCCATTCTTTAGTGTTGTTGAGCCCTTTGGGTGCAGAATGTACTGTACAGTTTCTGGACTCAGCACCTGAACAGGAGAGATGTGCTTTTGTTCGACAAACTGAGAGGTTCGCAAATGCAAAATCCAATCAAAACTTTAGGTCCGGACGGAGCTTTGTGCAAACAATCACATCAGTTTTCTCATACTGAATTTGTAAGAGTACTTCTGTTCAATCTCACATCTACATTGTCCCTACTTCAGCTCTTCAGGAAGTTACTTTATGTTTAATGATAAAATGACCGTACCTGGTTTTGCAGATATCTTGTTTCTAATGAATACATGAATGTAGCCTAAACCAGACAACAAAGAAAAAAAATAACAATGTTAATGTTAATTGGTTTCTCCTTTCTAAAAATTGCTTGTTTTTGTTATTCAAATACTTACAGGAAGTGCCGGCATGAAGATATTCACGTACATCTGAGCCAACCTAAAAAAAAGATTTTTAAACAAATCATAAATATATCCGATAAATCCTCAAAGCAAAAGAAGGTACAGTTGTGAGACAGCTGACCTTGCCACCTCTGGCTCCTGTCTGACCGCCAGCAGAATGGGCTCAGTGTTAACCAGGATCGCCCAACAGGGGAAACACGCCAGTAACAGGATGAGGATGGCCCGTTGCAGAATGACCCCGACTCGCATCAGGTTATTGCCTCCAAAGGTCTAAAAACAAGAGAGCTTTTTTTTTATTTATTCAATCCTTGTATTACCTGATACCGAGTGGAAGGCACATACCTGTGAAATCAGAGTATCACACGCCGAAGCCAAACCAGATCCGATAGATATACCCGTGACATTAATAACCTGAGGATGCAACACAAACGTTGAGGAATTGGGATCGGACTTGGACTTTCGCTGGAGGAACGTCCCCCGTCCTGGACTTACTGCTATGGCCAAAGACACCGCTGCCAGCTCCGTCCTCCCCAGATGGCCACAGAAAACAGTACTGACAAAACTCACAGCAAACACCATGAGCTGGGCTATGATCTGACAGGGATCAATCAAACAGAATAAACAGATTGAATTACAAGCATTAGTTTCGGGCCTAAATGTGGCCCGCGCAGTACTGATTGGTTCAAGGTTCAGAAGTAATCCCAGCAGCCATGACAGCTGACAATTAATCAAGAGTGCATTAAAATACAGGGCCACTTACCACCGGTCCGGCCAGCTTGGACAAGGCTTTTATCTCGGCCTTGAAACCAACGGGGACCAAGCCCCGGATCCGCTTGAGCGAACAGCGATGGCTGCCCGGAGCCGGCGGGCCGCTCAGCGGGCCGCTGTCCATGGAGGCGCCGGCTGCGGCGCCCTGATCCCCGGGTGTGTGCGTGTGCGCGCGTCGGTGTCAGCGCCTCTGCGTCGAGGCGGTGCGATCGAAGCGAAGAAGGTTCCCCGTGCGGCGCGTTGAGCGCTAATGATCTGTCGCGACCTGCGGGTCAGCAGGTGAGGCAGGAGGGGTGAGGCAGGTGGAGGGTGAGGAGAAGGACAAAAAAATACTGTGGTGGAGTCCGATAGTTTTTTTTTTAGACGCCTTCACCGGGAACACAGGAAGACACCGGGACGATTACATCCTGTTCTCCGATCTGTAGGCGACTTTATGACTTTAAGGCTTTTTATGGCTTAAGGCTTTTTATGTGGAACATGTGCGTGTGATCGGCATCGTAGGCTATTTATTTTTTCTTTCAATGTCTGCTTGTGAAACGCTCGTTTTGAGTACGTGGATGAGCTTTATTAAAATCACACCAGATTTGCTTTTAGATGCACCACATGAGACTAATAGACCATCAGACAATCGAGTGTATTAAAATGACACAGAAATTGACTTTCGGATTCGACAACAAACACAAGCACGTTTTAAAGAAACCCAGTCGGCTCAATTGCTGGCTATCAGTGTCATTAGTGCAACGGAGATTTCACCCTATTGTCTAATTAATAATGATTAAAAAAAAAGTACAAGTACAAGTAATAGCCTACTAGCAGGGGTTATTTATGTATGTATCAAAGCGAGCAACAAATAACAAAATATAATGCTAAATACACGCAAATACCCCCCTTAAGATACAACCACACATGAAAAACCTCTAAACGAGGTCTGTCGATTGCAAGTAGTTTACGGATCGGATTTAAAAGGTTCTAATTGTCTTTGACTTCATGTTTATTCCTTGAAACGAGCTGAAAACAATGTGACACAGCAGTTTTTGTTTCACGCCCCCGGCTGCTCGCGACCTTTAGCCCGGCGAGGCTGAAATATTAACTTTCATTTTCGCCAAGTCCAATGATCACAAGGTGAGTGCACGCCTGCTGAAACAATAGTTGACAGAGTAAAAATTCTAAAAGTTGAATCAAACTAAGCCTTCCAACACAGCTCAACACTTAAGATCGTGTCAATAATACATTTAATATTCAGAATCTCAAATTCAGTTGCAGGCATTTCCTAGATATTTTATAATATTTTTCCAACTGTTGCATTGAACTAACATCTTTCTATTTTTATTCTAAACGTGCCCATGTGTTGTAAGAGGCCTGGTAGCCCCAAAGCGATCCGCATCTCTGTTGTCCTTCAAAGACCCCTGTGAAGTAACGTCCTGACACGTTGTTGTAAGTGCTAAATCTCACCAGCAGATGGAGCCATTTCCCTGAAACACGTGCAAACCGAGTGTAGCTGTGCATCCCGAGGTCTTTGTTGACCAAATCACATCACAAATGATTAAACCTAAATGACTCATCATTCATTATGTTGATTATCCCTTAATGTCTTCATTCTCCACTTTCTAATCATTATTAGATAGTTATAGATTTAAAATGCCATTAAAACATTTTTTTTGAATCCACTGTTTTATTAAAATGTACACTGTTGGATTTATGGGGCACACATATGCTGCTAATGATTTTGACACCTTGGAAACGGCTAATAATTTATAGGTTGATAATGAGTCAGCAGACATTACAAACAAGTTCCATCAAATGACTGCATAATCACCTATTATTGTACTTTATATGACTTTACTTTGTGAAGTTAGACGTTTTAATTTAAAAACATTCAATTACAGTTTGCAAAAATTAGATGTTATCTTTTTAAATTGATAAATAAGAGGTATTGAGATTAACTTTGTTTTAGCTTTGTTTTTATCCCTCCTCCCTGAGTGGTCTAATTATATTAGCATTGCGAAATCCAGCGGGTTCTCAAAAGCGGTCTCAGAAAGTTGAATCCACGGAATTTCATAGTGCTAGAGAAAAACCCCATTATCTAATTGCAGGGGGGCTCGGAAATAAGCTAAGGGGAGATCAATGTCACTGCTGATTAGCATCTGCCATGTAAATAAATGTAATTGGTCTTCAAAATGTCTTTTGCACGCACACAATGTGTTTTTGTACGTTTTTTAGGACGACAAGTTCAAGCCAGGTTCTAAATCCACCAATGTACAGTCCTGTAAATGACGGTTCCACACAAGGCGGACCCCTGATGAAAAACCCTGTGATTCACTATGACGTCATCTGGTGGACTCAGTTGTCCGTTTTTGTGGCCACCGCGGCATGAAAACAATCAAAAAGATCCAGGTTTAAGAAGGTATGCATGGTATGCAAGCACGTGCTCTTTGGTCACCTAAATGTGCTCTAATTTACACGGAAGAATAAAAATACATGCAACCTCAAAACAGTTAGCTACTTATATGAATTCAAGACTGTTTTGATGAAACTGTACTGTTTGAACTGACTGTATTGAAAACTTCAGAGAGGAAGACAATTGTAGGGTTGCATCACTTTAGCCTGTTATTACACCTAAAAATATATTTCCAATTAAAGTGGTGGAAAGAATACATGAAATGTGGTCACACAGTCTGATGAGTACATCTCGATCCCTTTTTTTGAACATGTGTGGTAGCCGCAAAACAAGTGTCTAAGAGGGCTGTGTTCCCTGTGAAGGGAAGGGTTCTGGATGCACTTCATGGTAAGGATATACCCAAAGAGTACAAAGAAAGGCCCTCTGTCCTCTTCTGGATCTTTTAAGTTCTGGCCCGGGCTCTTGTCCACGAGTTAACTGGATACGTTGCAAACCGAAAACCATCTCTACACACAAGTCTTTATGTAGCAGGAAGGATTGATTGTATCAAACAGGCTGCATATTGTCTTCGTGTGTAACTGATATAGAAAAGCTGGAAGGCCAGTGTGGCTTTAAAAATACCATCCGAAAAATGCTCTCAAATTCATTGGGTTGATAAGTCACAAAATCAGCTTTTTGAGCTCATATGTGCCTGAAGAATTTGTCCTCTTACTTCACTTCTGTAAAGGCTCAGTTTAATACATTGTACAAGAAACAGTTTGTAGCGCTTAAAAGGAATCTTTTGGTGGAAATAGAATATGATAGAACATATTTGAAATGAAAGGATCTGTTTGTTTGCATTGCTTTATAATCACCTGCAAATAGAAAGTGTGTTACCTTCGAATTAGCAAGTCCTCCAAATGTATAAGAGACAAAAAAAAACAAACCTAACTCAATTTTGCACTGATGCCTCTATGTGAAATTTTGGTGGATGCGCATAAAACCCTAGCAAATAGAACACCTTGAATGTTCAATATTTGAAGCCTTGCGTCTATATATGAGCACTAATCGAGGCAGTGATACGTGAGGAAGGGTTTTTCAATTGGATAATGAATGGGTGGCTGAGAGGCAGCAAAGGAAGAGAAACGCACTGTAATTACATGAGCTTTTCCCCCCATTGGGACCCAAGATCATAGTGATCTAAAGGCACCCAACCGCTTATTAACCACTTTCAAACCGTCTAACATTTTAATTGTCCGACAGAACTGAGGTCAAAACGTTGTTGTGATCCTCTCTTCTACCCCCCCTGCTACCTTTGCTGCAGTACAACATGTTTTCCTCTTTCACGCAATACCACCAACACGGTTAGCAGCAGCCGTGTATGCAAAGTTACGGGATTGATGGTCTTTTGTTTTGCTGTAAAACACTGTCCTTATCATGGTGATAGTGGTTAGGCTTGTAATAAAGTGCTTTGTGGTATTGAAATGCAGACATATGAAATCTCTTCTTAGAGCTCATAATGTTTATGACGCCGGACAATATGACCACCTTGACCCTTGTCTCACGCAACGTCTCGGCAAGAGGACAATGACGCAGAGCTCCTTCCTTCACGTATTAGGTGTGGCCTTTCAGTGCAGGAGTTATGCGGCTTTGCGCCCTGTGTTTACAGGATTAAATCAGCTTCATGCGCGAGACGAGAGGTCACTAAGCGAGAGGCGTGGTACAGCTAATAGTCAGGCGTAGTTGAGAAAGAGACGACCGGTGAGGAAAGCGGCATTGTTTTGTTATGGACTCAGCAGTTTTGTTTCCACTGGCTTCATTAGACTCTTTGGTTTGGTGAAAAGGCCAAACTCTGAGTGGAAACTGTCAAATCAGTGGTATTTTAAAAATATTGTGTGTATGGATAACTCACTAAATAGCATTGAATATGGAAAATAAATTACGTTTTGTAGCACTGTGTGTGGAGGCAACGCAACGAGGAACACACTTGAAAACGCACTGTATTAAAACTTCTTTTATTTTTTAGTTTGTCAAAGGTCAATTTAACATTATGACTTTCCTCCACTGGCTACTTAGGCAAAGAATATAATATATTGTCCAAAGTACATGTTTACAAAAAGCATAACAGCATTTAAGAAAGGTGAAATAGTTTAAGCTCCTCTCCTTATTTAGTCAATTTCTACCATGAAAATAAAAATATAATTTGGCTTTAAGTAGCTATAGCATTTCCCTGTCAGTATCAAATTTCAATTTTCTGTCCTACTGTGCATATTAGCCCATTATATATAAATACTGTATTACCAAAACCAACCATTTGTTATAATCTATTAAAAAATATATTCTTGCAAACACATATGTGATGGCGGTTTAACTAGCACTGGGAGAAATAGCAACAACATAATGTAAAAACAGTCAATCAGTCTAGAATTCAACTTTTTATTTTGTTTTTTTTCAGTGAAAGTACAGATTTTTGATACAAAAATGTATCAAACGGTAAAAGTACTGAATAAGCAGCTTAATTGCCCTCGTCAGTGTTATATTAATGTCATTGAACTATACTGATATATTAACGAATAAAATAGTGTTGGTTGAGATAGGGCTATTTCATATGTAGTTTAATCTGTTATAAAAAAATAAAAAAACATTTTCCTCACAAATGTGTGAAGTACAACTTCCTCAATATTGTGCATGACTTGAGTGAATGTGCAAAGACACCTTCTTATACCACATGCTTATTGCTATTTAGATGTTAAAATGAAGAAAAAAAAGGAAAAACCTTCACCGTATGAAAACAAGAATGTAATAAACAGAGTTTAATACTTTATTTTCCATCATAAATCTTATGCATATTATATCTTGTCTATTTAATATTTGTTTTCATCCTTTTTTGTCATGAATAAGGGTAATTCTTTTGCATTTTGTCCCGATGCTTTTAATGATTAATGATTTATCTGCCTTGTTGCTGAATATGCAAATAAACTTATCTTGCCTTAGAAATAGCCGTCCCTTATTTCACTATTTGAGGGTATAAATACCCACAGTGTGATTTCTAGGACACTATGTTATAGCATAAAATAGAGTATAACTGTAACTTAATTACGATATAATGTAAATAAAGAAAGCTTTTTAATGTAATTCCTCTTCATATTCCTCACCACTTTCTTTCACAAGCAAGTCTCAGCTGTCAAAACAAGCCTTGAGGGTCTAGTATTTCACCAGCAATTGGACGCGCACACTGTGTGGTCCTGTGCCGTCGCTCCCACCAGAGGTCTTTGTCTGGCACCTGTGGATGAGGAGGGCAAGGTGTGCGAGGATCCACTCCCGTGGCAGCACCAGGCTCACACCCCGGTCCCGTTGGCCCAGGCAGGGAAGGATTCCAGGTCAAACATGGCCTTTCCCCAGCTATTGATGGCCAGTGTGATGCAAAGGATGCCAATGATGTTCATGACTATTCCTGTCCTGGCCTGATGGAGAAGAAGAGCAACAGTTCAGACATCTTTTGAGAAAATAAGCTTGTTAACGCTTATTCACTTTCTTTCTGAGTTAGATTAGATCGACACCATCCTTGTGTAATTCCGTTAAATAGGAAGGTATACAGCCAGAAGCTGGTTAGCTTAGCTTAGCATAAAAGGAACCTGCACATCAGAGCCGCACTACTAAACACGCTATATATATATATATATATATATATGTCTTTTTTAGGGGGTTATTTGCCAAACTATATTTTCCCAATGACAAGTGAAACAAGTCAAATGTTCCTGCTGCATCTTCACATTTACCACTAGCAGATAAACGTGTGTTGAGACAAAATCAACAATCAATTGCAAACTGACATTATGATATGATTTCAGCTTGAGGAAACAAATGTTCGCATCCAGGTGTTTATGACGCACGGCAACGCAGACTGAGCAAACGGTCCGGCGCCCAAATTTCACACCTTGAGAAGACTTTTTGGCAGTAAAGCCAAAAGGCGATGATATCCTTACATTTGCCACAGTCCCCCTAAACTGACAACTTTGCATGTTCAAGATCTCATTTAGTGAACTAACACAACAAACCGCTGCCATACTCACCATGTCAGCAACCTTGAGGTATCCATAAGAGAAGACTATAGCATTCGGGGGCGTAGCAACAGGCAGCATGAAGGCAAAAGAGGCACTCAGGGTACAAGGCACCATGACGTACAGGGGGTTGATCCCAATAGACTGAGACTGCAATAATCACACAGAACGACAGGGATGAAAAGAGCCGTCATCACAAAATCCTCCACTCCATTCAGCTATCTTTCTTCACCCGCAACACTGACTTATAATTCAGAGGTAAATGTGTGCAATTCTGTGCAGAGTGAGAACTCTCATTCGCTGGGTGTAATTAGGATGTCATTCCTGCGAGCTCGGAGCTGAGTCGTGATATCTAGACTAGAGGCGCTCTACGTGTGCGATGGTAATGAAGCACAACAAAGATGCAGCAAACATCACTTTGTGTAATTTGCTTCTGAATTACATTTGCTGCGGCACAGTAGCCTAAACCTGCACAGTCAATTCTGGCATTCAAAATAAGGAAAAGGTGAAAAAAAAACATATAATTAGTCTTCTAAAAACTACAGGCTGTATATCAGGTAACAACAATGACAGCACATTGTCGCGTCTGAAAGCTTTTGATCGAATCAAATAATGAACATTAGCCTGACGGGATGACACATGAAGTGACATTACACAAGCCATGATTACCAGAAAGTGTCATCTCCTCACTTTTTCTCTCTGTTATCACACAGGAGTTGGACGTCCCCCCCTCTACCCTACTGGGCTTCGCCCTCAACAAAGATCTATCTGAATACCCCAGCTTGGCAGCGGCTTTGGTAACCCAGCCACGGCGTTCTCTCGAGTGTTGGACTAGCGGTGCACAGTGATGCCATTCTTCAGCAGCAGCGGGGCGGGCGCTGCTACAAGCCACTGGGCTGCATTGGTGTGTTTGGCAGGCTCATTAATAGGAGGAGGGGCCTGGGGAAGGGGACCAAACACATTCAGCCGGAATGACCAACTCGATGGGTGACCAAATGAAGGAAGAAATAGGCCGAAACAGCTCAGAGTGGGAGTCGTTTCAATGCAGGTCTCCAAATGAGGAAATCGTTTCAAAAGAAATTAACACGTAGCATTTCACATAATTGAGCCAGTGTGTTCAGAAGTAACAAACTCTCTCCTGCAGAGTGAGACCCTGAAAGCCTCTGCTTTAAAAAGCAAACAAACAACATTCCACCGTCTTCCTGAGAACGTACCATTGAGGCTAAGACAGGTAGGAAGAGCGTAGCAGTGGCCACATTACTGGTGCACTCAGTGAAGGTAGCAATCAGCAGGCATAAGATGATAGCAATTGCCCAGGGAGGGATGCTTTGCAAGGGAGTCATTTGATCTCCTATCCACTTTGAGAGTCCTGATTCCTAAAGAGAGAAAAATATAAAAACATGAGCATATTTCTGGGAAAGTACATGTTTCCTATACATCTGGGTCGACATTTGCTAATTTACCGTCATTAAACTCTGTTTCAGGTCGGCTCTTCATGTAGAGCATCCTTTGAAATATTATTCAGGGCTATTTGAGGCAGAAATGAGTCTAACCAAAGCAAAACAATCCAGGAACATTTGATCTAGCACCAGTAAGATGTTAGCAAAGCTTCCACCTAAAACAGCATTAGGAGGGTACAACATAAATAATGAGGCTGATTTGGATAGTAATGGAAACAGGCTGGATTACATGCTGCATCGTTCCCTGTGAATCCCTTACGCATAGGAAGGCCATAGGGATCAAAGGTGGGAATCAACAACAAATTCAGAGAGGCTTTTACATTATGTCAATTCTTTGACAACTCGAAAATAAGCCCACACTTACTTCACTGCCCTTGGCCAGAGCAAAACCTCCGCCCAGAAGAAGCACGATGCCCCACGGTAGCTTCTTTTGTGCAACTTTCCAGGTGAGCAGAGGTGGAGTTGGGCCAACAGTTTGATGGGGTACTTAAAAAAGAAAAAAATCAATATCAAATTCAAGACTTTGATATAGCTGCATAATACTAAATATATCCAGAAAGATGGCTCACCTGTGTCAAAACTGTGAGTCCTCCACGAGCAGAATCGTGGCGGTTTAGAGGGAAGGATAAAGAGAAGGGCGGCAATGAAGATTGCCACTGTGGCATCTGTCACATACCTACGAAGTGTTGAGAGAATAAACAATCTTAGAAAGTGTCTTTAAAGCAAACAATACAAAAGTCCTAAACTAGATTGACGAATGAGTTTGTTATCATTATATACAAACTCTGCTTTGGAGTTGAAGATATGTGACGCCCAGCCGTCGACAAAGCCCGGCTCCCGCGTGAACCACATCACCACGAGCAGAACGAAGACGCCGAGGACGCTGATCTCTCCGAAGGACATGGGCCCCAGCCGCCGGTGCTCTTCGCGGATCACATTATAGGCAGCGATGTCCTTCTCTGTCTTCACGGCCCCACAGCCCCACGTCTTCTTGAAGCTAGAGGGATCGCACGGCAAAGAAAACCGTCACAATCAATCACGCTCCTTATGCAGGAAGACTTTTTTGATGTTGAAGTCCGTGTCACTGTTATTAGGCTTTGACCGTCACCAAACCCACTTGAATCCCATGAAGACAAACTGCAGCCAGAGCCAGGCCAGTGTGAGCATGAGGATCATGTTAGGGAAGGCAAAGCCAAACCAGGAGGCAAAGTTAATCACATCCCCGTTTTCAGGAAACAGCCTAAAACAAAAACAGTTTTATTTTAATAGAACATTTGATAGAACACTAATAGAAAACTGACTAAAAAAAGCTTTAAAAGAAAAGCACTCACTGGTTCATCTGGCCCTTGAGCACCAGATTGGGACCCGTTCCTGTCAGTGTGGCGGTGCCTCCGATGCTGGCAGCGTAACAAATACACAGGGTCATCCCTTTACACATTTTCCGCTTTTCTGCTGCCTCTTTTTGCATAGCTGCCTCAACTGTCTCATCCAAGAAAGTCACCACCAGTGGGCCTTCAAAGAAAGGGTCACTTATGAAAAGAGCGACAAATGACCTTGTTTTACAAGTGGTGCGGTGGGCAATCGAAACGCATGGCTTACCTTGGCCCTCACTCGGTTTCTCCGTCTGTGGAGGCTGTTTACCGTCGGCCTCCGGGGGCTGGACCTGCTCCGCGGAGCTGAGGATCTGAGGTATCTCTTCCTCACTGGTGTTGAGCTGCTGCAGCACCGCTTGGACAATGGGCACCATCATGGCTGTGGTAGCTGTGTTACTGATCCACATGGACAAGAAGGCCGTCACACCCATGAAGCCCAACATCAATCTGCCCGGGAAGATGAAAAACAAAACAAAGCAAAAATATTGACACCTTTCGTGGCCTTGGAACGGAAGAGGTCTCCCAGGCGGCTTTACAACGATCAACAATAAAGAGTAGAATAACTTTATGATGCCCATAACCAACCTGAACATAGTTTCCTTATTGACTGTATATGAGGTCCTTTCATTTGATTGTTGATTAGATATTCTTTGGAAATGTCGTGAGAGCATTTGAGCTACTCACAGCGCTGGTCGCACACCAACCAGGAGCAGCACCCGCAAGGCGATGCGCTTGTGCAGATTCCAGTGCTCCACAGCTACTGCGACCAACAGTCCCCCCACAAACAACATGTTGGTGTCTTTCAGGTACTGCATACACACCTGGGTCAAACCGACAGGAGAGGCGCATGAAAAGGAAACCCATCCCCACGGAGACTGATTTGACACCCTGCTGCAGTTATTTTCACTCACATCTTTGGATTGCATGATGCCGAACGCCGGGAAAAGGATGGCCGGGAGCAGAGCCGTCACGGCCAGTGGTAGGACCTCTGTGCACCAGTACACCGCCATCAGGATTATCACATAGGCACATTTGGCTTCCTGCGTAAAGGACATGTGATGACATCGCCGGAAAATGCACAAACACAAAGAGTTGTAAAGTCCAAAAAAAGCGTCAGGGGTCAGCGAGTGTTACATCAGTTTTAATGGCACGTTGTTGTGTCTCAAAGGTCAAAGATAATTCTCTTTTTTGTCCAGTGTTTCTGTTCACCTACATGTGAACTTCCGAGGCAAACACTCTTTCGGTTATTAGAACAAGTCATATTCATCGTTTTATGTTTCAATGTTCTGCAGTATCATTACGACAGCTCAGATAATGCATTTTCTGTTCTTGCCCCCCTCCCCATCACAACGCATGTCCCCGCAACGTGGACAGATCACACTGTGTGTTCCCACGCTGCACATGAACCCTTCATGATAACAGCAAAGAGTTAAAATAACAAGACTTCACAGTGCCCCTGCCCCGGGCAACACCGGACAGTTCTCATGCAATTTGCCTCGCAAGTGCAAGTGCATCAACAGGTGCAGAGAGAGAGAGAGAGAGAGAGAGAGAGAGAGAGAGAGAGAGAGAGACTGCGAATCTGATTCAGTCATTGAAACTGAATCTGCAGGAAGGGAAGTTTTCGGATGAATTTACTTGTTTTAAAACGGCGTGCACGCGCAGCGGAACGTCTCCTTAATTGCGCTAAATTAAAAGGGAGCGGATTGGAGTAGCCGGGTGCTTTTGCCAAGTGTTATACAACACTGCCATTATTTGGTGAAAGGATCCCCGGGAGTTGTCGCGTTTATCCACTTTTTTTTGACAATTTATCAAACGTTAAACATTTAAATGCATTGCGCTACATACCGATGTGCCGATCACTAGAGGCAGTGGAAGGAGGAGGAACGGCGCGGAGAAGAGGATGAGCTCATTCTTAACGGAGCGCAGATATTTGAAGAAGGCCATCCTGCGGGAACACGGAGAAAAGGAGGCTTTCGCACCATGGATCGCGCTTTTGACTAGTGGACGAGAGGAGGAGGGAGACGGGGCAGAGGGGTAGTACAACAGTGCATGAAGGAAAGAGCGAGGGAGGGAGGGAGGTTGAGGCAGGGAAGGAGGGAGGGAGGGAGGGAGAGGTGGACAAAGGACCTCTGACTGATTGGCTATTCTTCCAATGAACACAAAATAATCAGCATCAACTGCTGATAAAATAGTCCCAGAACCTGAGGTTCCTTCATACCGACAGGTGCTGTCTTATATCATCGTGGGGATCGGATCATTTGCGAAGTGAAAAGCAAGTCGTGGCGGATAAAGAGCCTCTGCGGGCACCAAATGTGTTGGTTTCTGGTTCATGTTTGAATGGAGAGGAGATGAATTGCTGAGGCCTCGCATCAGAACAGAGCACATGGCACAGGTTGGCCGGGGGAGAAGATGTGCAAATCCCTGTGTTTACGAACTGTATCTCACAGCTTTGTCGCGTTATATGCGAGATCCATATAATGGTGAATCAATCGACTGAACACGGGGGGTGGGTGGGGTATTTGATTCATTGCTTGGAAGATGTACAGTACCAGTCAATAGTTTGGACACACCTTGTCATTCACAGACTTCTGACTGGTGTTGTTTCAAACACTGGCATGATGCAAGTAAGGCCTAAACATATGGCCAGGTCTATGTATACACGTTCCATTATGTAACCTAAACACACAAGACACACACCAGTACTCGTGTATTCCAACTGTTTCTGCGAGATAAGCTGACAGTCTCCTCAGCATGTTGTTGCCTCGGCGCTCAGAGCCCCCACCTTAAAAATGTGTTGCAACCAAGGAGCTGTCAAACCAAGTGACTTGTATACTGTGCACTAAATTAAGTAAAAACAGGTTCTTCTGTGTGTTTCTGTTGACCTGAATACATCAGCACATCTACTCTTCACGAGAAAAAAACCCTGTCTGTTTCTCCCACAACACATAAACATATCACGGTGAATTTGTTCTTTTCTATCAGACTTAACATCAGGCTACTAACCTGCGAAAGAGTGAAAGTCACACTAACGTGAAAGTTACACTCATGTGAAAGTCACACGAGTAAATAATGTGAAGTTGAACTATTTTGGGGATGTTTGCAAAATGCACCACTTCTGCAGAAATATCATCCGGCTGGTGAGATTGACTTTTTTTGTGTGTATCGATCAAATAATGGAAACTTTTATCAGATACTTACAGAGAACATTTCTAGCCAAATGACTTGAATGATCAGACAGGCGATGATTTGCGAGATTTGTGTGCATTTGGTAAAATCATGTTCTGCCACATAATGTATTTCCCCCTCATGATGCCAAAGGAAAGACTGGCTTTCTCAAATGTATTGAAATGACCTATAAATGAATGATTGCTTTATCAGCAACTCTGTATTTCAACATTAGAGTCATGTGGATTTCTGTATTTCCGTCTTGGTCGGTTTTTCATTTCTTGGCAAGAGATGCATCGTTCTCTTTGGTCAACATTCCGGTATTTACTAGCCCCCCGACAGAGAGGATTCTTGTTTTTGTGGTGCTGCTTAACTAATAGCTTGAAGGCTTTCTGGTAGAAAGAAGAAAGGTCTTGCCACTTGTGCCACCTCAGATTGCCATTTCAGAATTTTATTCTGATCTTTTTGGCAGGTCAAATTGGTCATGTACGTAAGAATACCAGCACAAATGTATTATATATACATATATATATATTTTAGGGTTTTCTAAATGTTTTTGTGTCACCAATTCCATTTGTATGAAGAAGTAAGGAATAGCTAGATATGTTCTGAGGAGTTATAAAGTGACATCTGACTGCACCATCCCAACCAAAAAACAATGATTTTGACTGAAATCTGTTATTCTAAAAATCCAAATCACTAAAAGACCATCAGACCCACAGAAAATACAACCCTGTTGGCAGCAGTAACAACTTCTCTCCAGATTTTGATAATGATCAACAAATAAAACAATGTATTTATGATGCAAAAGTATCAATACTATGAATAGCAAGGATATTAAGTATTGACATGCAATACATTATGCGTCTTTGGTCATCCCTCTTTTAATTTATTGCAAGTATAGGCCATTTGTGAAGAATACCAGCGTACTTTGGGGCATGAAACCCATTCTGCCTGGCACTACTATTAGACGAAAAGCAGAGATAAGATGAGAACATAATGCTGAGCCAAGGAATGTCCTGTTCTTTGGCTGTATTTTGTCCGTCAAAGTACTGACAGTAACTATGCTGCATGGGTGGTATGCTGAGATGAGAGAAGCTTGAAATTTGTGTACCTGTGTTTGTGAGTTTACGACAGAGAGTGGGTTTAAAAATTCCTGCCTTGTTTTTACAAATTTTCAAGAAAATCTGTCTGGACCTTGAACATAACTGCTTTGATTCTGTCCATCATTTTATCAATTGTTTTTTCATTTTAATCGGTTTTGCCTGCTATTTTTGCCACCTCAAAGAATATGCACATAATATATATATACATAATATATATACTCTCTTCTGATTAATAGAGCACAGTGATAACACATCTGTTCTATTCAGTCTCTGATAAACCTTATTTGCACGTTCACGTTAAATGAAGGGTCCAACTTCAAATGACTTCCATGCAAGTACACACACATCGCCCCCGTGTGGAAATGGGTCTGACTACGATACAGACTCAGGAACTGCAGCTACACCTTTAGGAACTGTCAAATTGGGAAAACGTCTATAAAAAGCCTAAAAATCTATGTGGTGTCTTGAACCAAAAGGTGAGATAATTTCATGGAATCTTAAAAGACAATTAACGGCAGGCCGTGTTATTAGTACATTAACTCATCTGATCTGTTATGCCATGAAGATGAGATGTATTGGAGCCCTTTCTTCACTCTTCAAACTCACTGTTACCTTAGATATATAGTCCAATAAAATAAAATTAAATCCCCCTACATCGATGCATCTATCTTGCCACTACGGTTGTTACAGTATATGTAGCACAGTCGACTATTATGCTTTATCAAGTGGCCACAAAAACAATTTCTGGTATTAATCAAATTCATATTTGCAGGTATTTGGGGAAGTGGCCCTGGGGAGAAAAGAGGAGAACATCAACATTTAATCCAAAATAGAGGGTTACCATTGTGAGAAACAGGAGAGGGCAAAGGGGAGCAGGATTACAGAGCACAGCTGTGAGTGGTGGAAGATGATGTTTAGTCAGTTAACTGAACACTGCAGGAGCACATGAATAACTCCAGAGGATGGCAGTAATGCCAAACTAAGGATGGCAGCTCTGCCTTTATACGTTAAAGAGGAAGAGGCGCTGCCTCTCAGCCTCAGCAGCAGGAGTCACATGAGAGGGGGCCGGTGTTGTGTCACGTGAGGTGTCTCTTCCGAAAACATGGCAACAACTAACTAGCACGGAACGAAACAGCATCCGACCGACTGTCGTCCGTCCGCTAACGCGCTTCATTAAGCATCGGAAAACATGGTGGACGTAAACGTCGCCTCGCGCATTTGTTCTCGTCTCATAACGTTTCTCTAGTCCCACTTCGCGATGGCCGAAACCGCCCAAGAACCGTTAGCTTAATGCTAGCTAGCTGTCGGCCGCCACAAACGGTAAGAGGAAGCGAAATGTGAAACGCTGATTTTGAATGCCACTGCCCTGTAATAACATTGGAGTTACGTTTAACCAGTATAGCCGGTCTTTATTAGCTCCGCGTCACTGGTTTTGGTAAGAAACCTAACGCTATATGGGGGCTTTTTGCTAGCTCTAGTGGGATCTCGTTAAACTCTTTAACGTTACGTTAAGCTAGCCAGCTAGCTGACGTTAACTTCTCCCGATCGTCTTCCTTCAGGCTGCCAACTCACTTTGGCCTTTTCAAAACATATAACTCGCATTGGCTAAGTCACTTTGATATGTGCCGTTTGATAGATACAATTGGTATTAAGTAAAGTACTTTATTGGATGGTAGTTATCTCTTCCAGACAGTCCACCGACTCCCGTCAAGAAAATCGATTCAAACTGTTATTCACCTCTGGTTGCCGGCGGCTAGTTCGCCATTGACGTTAAGTAAGACTGAACGGTTTAATCCGTTAGTTGTCACTCGGGTGTGACGTAGAACATGTGTCGATGGTGGGGAGCAGGAGGCAGTCATGTGAGCGCGGCTAAACTTGAAGTGGTGCACAATCAACCACGTCACTCCTTTACTGTCATCACAGCATTGTGCAGCAATGCCAGCGTTAAAGCACTGTACGATGAGCTCATTTTGATCATTTCCACAGAGGGACCGGTGGAAGGGGAGACGAGTTCTGCCCTTGGTGACTCTGAGATCGTCCCTCATGAATGTCTGAGAGGAATCCTCGTGGGAGACAGCGAGGTGAACGCAGCAGGACACTTTGCTACTGTTAACAAGCATCGTAAACTCACCATGGATTGGCTGATGGACACCGTCGAGAAGGACTTGGGGGTTGACCGGCGGCAGCAGGGCCCAGGTCCCCGTGCCAGGGAGCTCATCGCCCTCGTTCCCACGCGCTGGGTGACCAGCCTGAGGGAGATGAGGCTCATGCGCTGTGCACGCGTTGATGGTGTCAGCGAGCCGGAAATCCGCACCTTCCTTCAGTGTTCTCAGGCAAAGTTGCCCCCCGGCTGGACGCGAGTCTGCATTCAGGGACTGAGGAAAAGCAAGCTGGGCTACAGGTTGGCCAGGGACCCGTGCCATCAGCAGACGGAGTTCACGTCAGGAGACTCTTATGTCAAAACCATGCAGTATGTGTCGCAACATAATGTCAGGTAGGATGCACACTTTGATATTCTTTTATTCTGTTCATATTCTAAAATGTATCTGAGCCTACATTTGTGCGGACACACATTTACATTTTTTTAAAACATTTTTTTTACATTTTAATTTCAGCCATCCAAAGAACTAAAATTAGCTTGTAAAATGGATCAATTTCCAGGTATTGTACTTTGAATCACGCAAAACGTGACCTTTGGCATGACCCATCCGTTGTTTTGACTAAATTCTTACATTTAATAGTAAATAATTGCTAAAAAAGTAATGATGTTATATATCACATGTGTAAATTCTTTTATCAGGATACCTATAAGTTCAAAATTGAATGTGGTTTGTTTTTGTATTTAGATGAGCTTCATCCAATTGGATTGCTCCCCTCTTTGGTTAGGACAATATTTCGCTTCATCGTGCACACTTAATAATGTAAAGAGGTTCACTCATGCTTTTAGTTTTTGGAAGTTTCTATGGTCAGAAAGTCCATTTGAACGATTAACTTTGTCAATTTAATTCTGATGGATCTCTTAACTTTAACTGCTAACAAGACATTTAACACATGTGAAGTTTATATTATTGAAATGGTGGATGATAAATGCAACCATTGAATATATTTCAGATGGTAAACCTCCAATCAATCGGCCCTTTTGTCTTTTCCCCTTTTCAGGAATCTGTGGCGTGATGCTCATTCTAAACATGTGCAAGCCTATTCAGGAGCCAATGAGCAGATGCATGTTGCAGCTGTGGATGCAGTGCGTCAGGCGTTACAGAAGCTCTTCAATTCACCGTTCATCTCAACTGACAGAATGTCACCATCTCTTTCCCCGGCTAGAGAGAAGGAGAAAGAAAACAACTTGATGTCCGGTCCATTGTGCTTTTCCAAGTCCCAGCCGGAGCATCCGTGTCCCAACGTTCTGCCTGCAGATTGTCTGCTGGAGACAGCGGAGATGCTCTACGTTATTCTACCCTACACTCAGTATTCGCTCCATGATATTATCTCCTTCAGCCCGGCCAAGCTCGCAAACAGCCATGCCAAAGTGTTGTTCATCCTCTACCAGGTACTAATAGCCCTGCAGGGATGTCATGCGTCAGGTCTGTCTTGTGGAGAGCTCTCACTGATGGACATAGCTGTAGATGAGCAGCTCTGCAGCCGTCTCAAGCTCAACCTAGCCCATTACGAGGAACTGGGTCCAGAAGGGGATGCAAACAGCGATGTTACTGGCAAACGAGTGCCAAAACCTGTCCTGCCAAGGAGCAAGTCATGTGTGAGCCAAGGGAACAAAAGACTTTGCAAAGACTGCTTTGATGAGCTTAAGAAGTTGGTTCTGGACTGGGTCCACGGGCGAGTCAGTAACTTCCGCTACCTGATGGAACTGAACAGGTTAGCAGGACGGCGTGAAGGTGACCCTAATTATCACCCAGTGCTGCCATGGGTGGTTGATTTCACTGTGCCATTAGGAAAATTCCGAGACCTCAGGAGGTCAAAGTTCAGGCTCAACAAAGGGGATAAGCAGCTGGACTTCACATATGAGATGACCAAAGAGGCTTTGGCCGCTGCAGTGGGTAATGGGGTGGGTGGAGGTGGTGTAGGTGGGGACCTCGGTGGCTCCGGAGGTGCCGGTGGTGCTGGACCTTCTGACCATCTCCATGTGCCTCATCACATATCTGACGTTCTCTCAGACATAACCTACTACGTCTACAAAGCGCGACAAACGCCCAAGTCGGTGTTGTGCAGCCACGTTCGCTCCCAGTGGGAGCCCAACGAATACCCAGCCAGCATGGAGCGCATGCAGAGCTGGACCCCCGATGAGTGCATTCCTGAGTTCTACACAGATCCCTCCATTTTCCGCTCAATCCACCCCGACATGCCAGACCTGGAAGTGCCTTCCTGGTGCAAGTCGTGCGCGGAGTTTATTGAGGTGCATCGGCGCCTTCTGGAGAGCAGAGACGTGTCCCAATACTTGCATCACTGGATTGATCTCACATTTGGCTACAAGCTGTCTGGTAAAGAAGCTGTCAAGGCCAAGAACGTCTGCCTGCACTTGGTTGACAACCACACCAATCTGACCACCTATGGTGTAGTGCAGCTGTTCGACCAGCCCCACCCACCACGCCTATCGCCATGTCAGTACGCCCCAGCAGAACCTCCAGTCCTTGGCCTTGCTTCTCTTAATGTGCCTTCGCTAACCATCCCTCAAATCGACGCCGTAGCGGATTCTGTGGATGGACTGGTGCCGGAGTCAACAGGGTGCGAGTCAAGTGGCTGGACCGTGGTAGACCGGGATGAAGATCTGGAACAAGGGACGGAAGCTCTGGACTCGTTAGCGTCTGCCGGCTCATCCGGCTCTGCTTCCTGCGCCGTGCCAATGCCCGGCGTCGGTGCGGCTGGAGGAAAGATGGGAGGAGAGCACACAGGACATATTGCATCGCAGTCCCCGAGTTCATTCCCCGGGGAATTCACAGGCGCCGTGGGCTCTGGTTTACGGAGTGCCATGTTGCAGAGAGGTGGGCCAACCAACAGAAGGCACGCGGAGGGCACGGTGTCTGGCACCAATGCAGAGGAAGCGAAGATCCTCCTCCCCGAAGGCTTCCACCCGCTGCAGCCTTTGGATGAGCTGGAGAGGTTGAACAACTTCCTGGTGAAGAGTCTGCGCGCCGATGTGGGGCTTCCTGACTGCATGAGGGACGGCGTCACCGCCGAATCGCTCCCCTCTCTCGCGCGGCTCTATCAACGGGACATGCAGGCCCTCGGCGTCGTCATCGCCGAGATGTTCTACCCCGCTAAGCTGAGGGGACTGAAACCCGGCACCCCCCTGAGACAGCGTTTCCAGGCGGTGATGAAGCTGTGCTCGGCCAGCCTCCGGGACGTGCCGCTGTCATTGCATTACGCCCTAAAGACGCTGCTGCTAATTGAGAAGCACGCTGGAACGGCACAAACGGAAGATCCAGATTGCCCCCGCCCACTCCTTTTCAAATATGAACCCATCTGGGATGGTCTTCCTCCCCCGAATCCCTGCCAGCTACTGAACTCAATCATCTCGCCCTTTCCTTTCCCTCCCTACTTTGCACCTCTTCATAGTTTTATCTTTTCCTACCACGCCACCATGGAGACCACGTGCAGTCTTCAAGGTAGAGAGGTTGTCTTCCAGCTGTGGCAGCAGCTGGAGACACTGTTGCGGGGGAACATCACGGCTGAGGGCCTCGAGATCCTATTACCCTTCATTCTGGCCCTCATGCTCGAGGAGTCCACTGCGGTCTACGCTGCCTGGTACCTTTTCGAGCCCATCTCTCGAGTGCTGGGTCCCAGAAATGCGAACAAGTACTTGCTGAAGCCACTTGTTACCGTTTATGAAAACCCTCACTGCCTGCGTGGACGCTTCTATCTCTACACGGACTGTTTCATCCTGCAGCTAATAGTGAGGCTCGGCCTGCAGGCCTTTTTGTCCAGCCTGCTCCCCCATGTGCTGCAGGTCCTCACTGGCTTCGAGAGCTGCATCTCCGGCTCTAGCGGGGAGGCTTGCAAAGGGCTGCGGGACGCCACGTGTAACCTTAGAGAAGAAGAGGAAGAGGACTTTCAGTGTGGCGAGGGACGGCCGTCTTCCGGGTCTGTCAGCGCGAATATGGGAGGTGGCAGCGGGGCCGGCGGAGGAGTCGGCGGGGTGGGGGAGACTGGGATGGTTGATTACTCCTCTGGCGTCAGTCTCAATGACCAAGTGTTCATGTCAGAGGCGGAGGACTTTCAGAACGGGTTCTACGTCAACAATGCAGCGGGGTCGGCTGCTGGGAAACATCAGAGCCAGAACTCTGCCTCCAGGGATCAGGACCAGGAGTCTCTGAGCGTGGGGAAGCTAAGCGACAAAAGCAGCACAAGTGAGCTCTCATTGGGCGATGGGGATTCAATGCGGGATCGAGCTAGTCTCAAATCGTCCAACAGCAGCCAGGACCTGAAACAGGCAAGTGAGGGAGAGGAGGGAGGAGAACTGGAGGAGGAGGAGGTGGGGATGGAGGACCCTACCACTGCTGGACCGGGGCTAACTCTCTCTGGCTGCACTGATGCTTCAGGAGCTACAACGGCCACTCTGGAGGGTGACTTTGTGAACGCAATGGCACCGGAAGAGACTGAGAAAGGCATCGTGGGAGAGCAGGAGGAGGAGGACCATGATGCATCTGACGAGTCCGGGGAGAAAGAGCAAAAGATTCTTCTAGGTGAGGGAATGATGAAGGTTTCTGTAATTTATTTGGACCCAGTACATTACTGATGGCTTTTTTTTGTTGTTAATTAAATATTTTCTCTGCACACAGATACAGTCTGCAAAACGGTCCGGTGGCTTTCGGCAACGCTTGGGCCTACGGTGACTTCTCGATACGTCGCCAGGAATTTGCTGCGATTGCTCACAAATTGTTACATCGGTACGTTGTTGCAGAGTGTTCATAAAACCAGTTTAACTGTCTCACTCACCCTGAGAAAAGCCGTAAGGGCAACTCCCTCACCGCTGGTCCTCATCATGTTCTCTGCTTGTAGGACTCGACAAACATCAGTTTGTGTCCGTCGCATCAGAGGAGAGCAGGCGGGAGAGTGTGGGAATGGGCAGCGTTTATGAGAAGAAGCCGGTGGTTGGTGACCAGACAGCCGGACCCGTGTTGGAGTGTCTCATCTACGTAGCTCAGCTTTATGGAGAACCTGTGCTAACTTACCAGTACCTGCCTTATATCGGATATCTGGTAAGTGATATGTACAATAACACAGTACAAAACTGCTTCTGGCCATTGGGCTTGTTTTCTTTCTTTTTTATGACATTTATACCAGCAGACTTTTATATGTTGGTTACAAATATATGTTGTTGTTTTTCTTTTTTCTCCAGGTTGCTCCACCTTCTTCACAGCGTCTTAACACGCGTAAGGAGGCAAGTCTGCTTGGAGCTGTTGCCCTTACGCAGAAGATCATTGTCTTTCTCTCTGATACCACACTTATGGACATGCTGATGAAGATCAACCAGGATGTGCTCCTCCCTCTGCTGGATTTGCTCACCTCCCCTCGCATGGGGTAAAAAACACACATTCAATCATGCACAACACTTTAGATGTATGTTGAGGTGTAACTGAAACACAGCATGTTGAATAGAAGTACTAGGAAGTAGAAGTACTGTAAAATACTGTCTTTATTTATTTGCCTTTCATTCAACTGTTCATAGTTTTGAAAGTTTAATTTTGCGCAACATCTTTGAGTTGTATGTTAGTATACTGCTGCAATAGCTTTGTCATTAGCTCTGTGCTGGTTCTGCTGTGCTCAGGTTCCCCAGCGGGGTGCAGACACGCACCGCCGTCTGCCTCAAGACACTCAGCCTGATGGCTCTCATCTGTCTGCGCATCGGGAGGGAGATGGTGCAGCAGCACATGGCTGACACTCTGCGTCGCTTCTTCGCCGTTTTCTCTCTGCTGCCTTTTTTGAAGGCCCAGGTATGCACGCACACACACACACACACACACACATGCATCAATACTGACAACCATAATGTTGGGGTTTTTTCAGGAAAGCTTTCAACCAGCACGTTGGCAGATGAGAATAAATTTGAGACAGAAACCTTGAATACAAACTGTGACAGACCGAGGGAGAGAAAGCGAGTTTATGCATGTGTGAGAGGACGGGTGGTGGCTCTCCCCTTCACCGACCATTTAGAAGTGGGTTCATGTTATGTTTTTTTAAAACAGAATTCAAAGTTCACCGATGTGGTGATTTATCATTTATGGTGTAGCTGGACAGCGCTCCTTGCAGAGTTGTGGGAGAAGTCACGGTCGTGGACGTCTGCACACCTGAAGAGACGAATGTCACGTATGAGTTGGCGGTGTTGGAGGAGCTACAGACTGTATTCAACGCCGAGATGGCCCATGCCTCCTACATCCCCTTCTACTGCCTCATAGGTATGACACATCTCATCTCCTGCCAAATTCAAAATAGTCGGTATAAGCAAGTGGCATAGAATCTGTTCCTCTTTTTGTGATTTCTTTAGGGGACGTGGCAATACGGAAACTGGTTCCCAACCACGAGCTGGTCTGGCAGTTAGCCCAGTCCTACCACCAGAGTTTGCACCAGGGCAGTTCAGAGACGTCCAAGGTGGAGCCAGCCCCGTCCTCCACCGGCGTCCCCTCTGGTTTTGCCCGACCTGTCGGCTCCAACCCATTCCCTGCACCCTCGTCCACCTCACCGGGAGACGCCCTCCCGGAGTCGGGCACGTTTGGGAGCCACCTGGTAGGAAACCGTATCCAAGTGTCCCAGGACAACGAATATGACCGTAGCCGGAACCTGGGTTTGGCCAACTCTTGGGGACGATCCAGCCACACCAACGCCACCACCAGCACCACTAGCACCACCACCGCCTCCAGCCTCACCACTCCATCCTTTGGCACGGCTTCCGTCTCTTCCTCCTCCTCCTCCTGGGTGAAGGGCCCCACTCCAGAGGACAGTGCACTGAAGCAAGAGCTCCCTCGCAGTGGCCGCTCCCTGCAGGGCAACTGGCTGGCCTACTGGCAGTACGAGATTGGCCTCAACCAGCAGGATCCACATTTCCACTTCCACCAGATACGACTGCAGAGCTTCCTGGGTCACTCGGGCACCATAAAGTGTTTGGCCCCGCTGGCTGGAGAGGATTACTTCCTCTCTGGAAGTAAAGACAAGACGGTGAAGCTGTGGCCCCTCTATAACCACGGCGATGGAACGCAGGAGGTGGAGCCCCGGGTTACGTACAACGACCATCGAAAGTCCATCTTCTACGTCGGACAGCTAGAGGCTTCGCAGGAGGTCGTCAGCTGCGATGGAACGGTGCACCTGTGGGACCAGTACACAGGTAAGAGACCACAAGAGGCTCATTATTAGTATCTCGCATCATCGTAAATAAAGTTTGTTACTTAGTTTGTTTTTTAGTACAGCGGTCCCGCTAACAAGTTGCCCGCGGACCGGTACCGGTGGTTGGGGACTGCTGATTTAGAGGGTGTGACACTTAAATGTGTTGGGGCAAGGGGGGGGGTGAAATAGTCGTATCTATTCCGTGTAACCACGCTCCATCTCTTTTCCTCAGGCAAACAGATCCGCTCGTATGAAGCCGTGGACGGAAAGAATCCCATCACGGCGGTCACCACCATGCCGGCGCCACACTGCAGTGTTGTGTTCGGCAGTGCGGATTCTATCCTCCGCTTCATCGATCCTCGCAAGCCCGGCCTGCAGGTAGCAATCCGCCGCACGACGTCCACCACTTATTGGTGCGCCCGCCGCGGTAAGGATGTCTCCGCTCCAGAGTTATTCCTGACTTGACGGTGACAAATCTCCCCGTATCTCCCCAGCATGAGTTCCGACTGGCATACAACAACGTGAGTGCCGGGCTCATCCGCTACCTGGCGGTGAGCCCTTCAGGGCGCACCGTGGCTGCAGGTTTCTCGTCTGGCTTCATCGTTCTGCTGGATGCACGCACTGGACTTGTTCTAAAGGGATGGCCGGCGCACGAGGGAGATATCCTCCAAATGAAGGTATGCTTTTTCGTTCCCTCGTGCCTGTAAAACCGAATAGGGCCGCCTCCTGGGTTACATTTTTGTCAGTAGTCAACAGCTTTTTGGAAGATTACGTACCGATGGTACTGAACCTGATTCCATGAAGGTGTGGGTGTTGACTGCAATAGTAATGTATGCAATGATCAAGTATACTTCTTTTTGTACTTTGCCTTTTTTTTGTACTTTGGGTATCTTTGCCTTTCATTTGAATGGCAGACCGTAGAGAGAAATGGGGCAGACTGAGGAAGTACAACGTGGCAAGGCACATTCAAAAAATAGGTTTGGACAATGTATAGTGTTGGATTCCCAGCAGACTTTTTAGAAAAGGGCAGTAAAGCAACAACAGAGGTAAAAGTCCAAATTAGTATGATTGTTTAGGTTGGGAGGGATTTTCTAATTCTCAGGAAGAACAAGTCAATATTTTTGCTATGGAAGAGGATACTACAATCAAATAATGCCCACACACCAGCGTGGACCTTTGTTACACCACTTCTTATCGTTCCAACAAGGGGGCGATGTGTAGAATTAACGGTCAAGTTGTTGACTCAAGAAGTGGACTGGTGGACTCTGCGGGGATTCAGTGGGTCACTTAAATGGGCGGTAACTCGCTATGCCGTCGTCCCACTTTGTTTTCTGTCAGAATAACTTGTGGCCAAACAGAAGTGAACACCTTCTCTTACAGTGACTGCCTTACTTTGCTACTCATCTGTGTGGTTTCCAAAAAAGAAAAGCTTTAAGGGGGCGTTGGATGAGCTTTGTACCATCAAATCCAACAGGCCTGTAGGCTTTTACTGTAAGGAAGCTCATTCATTATTTGTTTATTTAAGACGTACAAACCAGTGTATAATGTGCTTTTACCAAATGGCTTTTGAGCAACAACATGGGGGCGCTAGCTGAGAAGTGTGTGTACTTTGTATGTTTTGGTGCATCAGCTGGGCGGTTAATCCCAATTGGGATTCGTGTTAAACGGTTAAAACTTTTGGATCTGCCTTAAATGAATACTGCTGTTGGATGGACATTCAGCCTGTACTTAAATTCAGTCTTCATTTAGTACCATATAGGGTGTAAAAATGCGACCTATTGCATGAAATCAGTACTCTCCCCAAACTATTTGCTGACAATAGTTATACGAGCTTGTAGTATTCCGTGACCACGTCACACTTTCAATTCAGAAGGTGTGGCTGTACTCCTGCATGATAAATACTCAAGAAGATGATCAGCCAAGGGACTTTTTTTTTTTTTTTTTTACCCCCAAGGTAGTGATACTAAGTGGTGCAGAGATGGTGAAAGTTGTACCCGGCAAGTCTGTTGTCAACAGTAAGCAAGGATGAGCAAACTTTATTTAACCCCGAATTAGGTCAAGGATTGTATCTCTAGTTTTAAAGGCACAAGTTTAGGCAAATATGGACACTGGTTAGTCATTAGAAATCTGGGGGGTTCTCATTGGCACATTCGTATTACTCAGACTTCCCCTTCAATTTGTGTGTGTGTGTGTGTGTGTGTGTGTGTGTGTGTGTGTGTGTGTGTGTGTGTGTGTGTGTGTGTGTGTGTGTGTGTGTGTGTGTGTGTGTGTGTGTGTGTGTGTGTGTGTGTGTGTGTGTGTGTGTGTGTGTGTGTGTCTCGAGACAATCAGTAGCTGTTTTCACATCTGTCTGGGAAATGGAAAAGTTTACTTTAAAATATGTTTTAATACAAGATTATTCTGACCAAAACAATTGATTTTAATGTTATTTTTATCATCTTTTCAGCTTGCCTTTTGTTAAGAAACAAATCTTTGTATTGGAACACACTTTTTTTTTTTTTGGCAAACTTTATGAAGAGCAAACGATATTAAATTATTCACTATTCATTCAATTCATTTTCTTTACACAATCAACTTATCGTGAATATATCATCCCATTGCACATGTTTTAGTTTCAGAAGCCTCCACTTAACAAGTATCCTATTTAGTTAAATCATTCTTTTCACATATTTTCTTTCATTTCAGTGCGTTTACAAGGAAATTGTAACTGCATGCCTGCTTTACAATCTTGAAAAATAAATGCAAACGTAAGCTGTCTGCGATTTCTGGGATTGGACATCAACAGTGATGAGTGACTTCTTTTCTTTAACTTTTCAGGCTGCAGAAGGAAACTTGGTGGTCAGCTCCTCCACTGATCACACCCTCGCCGTGTGGAAAGACCTGGAGCACAAGCCTCTTCGCCAGTACAAGTCGCAGTCCGACCCCATCCACGCTTTCGACCTTTACGGTTCCGAGATCGTGACCGGAACGGTGGCCAACAAGATCGGGGTGTACTCCATGGCAGACATCTCCCTGAGTCCCGTCAGCAGCACCAAGCTGAGTTCGGAGAACTTCCGCGGCACTCTGACCAGCCTGGCGGTCCTGCCCACCAAGAGGCTGCTGCTGCTGGGCTCTGAGAACGGCGCCATCCGGCTGCTGGCTTAGGCAGGATCAACGGCTCGCGCCTATGCTAAACACTTGTTGACCCTGAGAGTGTCTTTATTCCTGAAGAAGCCAGGTGTCTGAGCTTTCTCTGTCCCCTGTCCTGTGCTTGAGGTCAAATGTGTTGGTAGAGCACGTACTTTAAATGGCTTTATGTATGAAGAAGCACAAATAACGGCATCGGTTGCCACCGAATCTGACAGCGAAAACGATGCGTGTGTGATATTCACTATGTACAGTAAATCCACTGTTTTTTTTTTTTTCTTAAAAAGCCTATAGATGTATAGAAATTATATTATAGAAACGTCATATTTTGACAGGTCATTTATTCCTTTGACTAGGTCAGTTACTCTGTTGAACAGAACTAATCAGAAGACGCGCTCAGGAAAGGGGAAACCTAACACAGTTCTCATGTAGTGTTTACGCTTTCCAAATAGATGCATAAAAAAAACACCAAAAAAAAAAAATACTTTGACCTCAACTCTCATTTCCTTCACTGTTAGAACCCATGAGTACCCAAATGCACTGATTGAACTATGCAGTATTTGTAGATCAAATCACTTGTTTGTGTTAGCAATACTCCGTGTTTCTCAGTAGATTGTTTGTGCGCCATGAACAATAAAAGTACACCCGCTGCTCTGCCGGCGGTCCTGGTGCAGCGTGGAGACGCTTTCAACTGTCGACGCTCAAAGAACTCGCTTACTGATGCAAAGCCTTTATCCTCCTGCACAAGTATGGCCTAAATCGTGACATTTAGATCCTCCCTCAGTTTTTTTTATTTTTTATTTTTTTATCGACTAATGAATTACTTGAACCAGGTTTTGAGATTCTTGATTTAGCGGTCAGAGCCTGTAGCAACGTTCCAGTGGGAAGGTATCGAAGCAGGTGCCACTCTGACTGCTTATGTCACATTAGACTCACTACCTTCTGATTGCTCATTACTATAGCTAACAAAAACAACAGTCAATGCCAAGATACACTGTTTTATATTTAGTCATTTATATTAAACGGCAGATCTATATGGAGAGATCATGTTGTAATCAAATAAGTATTTGTTTTACTTTACTCTTTAGCGTGTAATGCTATGTCCGTATAGTTGTATGCTCACAAAGATCTTAATGAATCGGAGTCTTCAAAGGACGTTGGTGTCGCGTAATCAAATCTCTTCCTTTTGTATGATTTCATTGCTTTCATGTTGTAAAATGCAGTTTGCCTACTTTTCTGTAATCTGCCATGTATACCACACCTTTTGATATTTAGTGTTTTTTGTAAGTAAAAGTTCAATGATCATAAAAGAACAAACCTTGTTTTGAAAAGAAGCTTTGTACTTGCATATTGATAATTGGTTGCAACGGCTGCAGCTATTTGAACATTTTAAGAAAGGTCCTGGTAAAACGCTTATTTATTAACTGGACTAATAAAATGATTGCTTCCATGTTTTTTGTTTGTCTTTCATTTTTGTTGGGATTCCCCTTGATTCATTTTGACTTCTAGCTTTGTTTACTGCTCTAGAGCTCCAAAGAGAACAAAAGTTCCCTCTTGTATTTGCAGACAGAGATATTTTTTTTATAATGCTGAAATGTGTGAAATGCGTCTGTCTTGAATAAGTTATTTGCCACAATAAGAAGAATCAGTTACTAGATTTAGCAGAGCAATTATGTATTTTCTGTAAAGTTAATGATACATCAAAGCCAGAGGGTTCTGAGAAACGTGGGCTTGTGATCCCTGAAATCAAATAAGTACCCGTGGAGTGAGCGCCCTGTATTTGTTTGCCCACGCCGTGTCGGCAGCGTTGGCCACACTTTAATCTGATGTAATCTGACGTATATTCGCTCCCAAGATGAAATGGTCACGGTATTGTCATCTTTCTGTTGAAATAGAGACTAGCTAAGCACCTTGATCTTCACTATTTGGCCCTGGAAGAGTCTTAGTTGCTGCATTACAAATAGAGGCTTAAATGAGGCCCCAATCAATGTAAGTTGATGTTTAACTGTTGGGGCAAGAGCCAATCTTTGACTCTCAGGAATTCTGCCATCCACAGTCACTTAGTCGCTCCTTTTTTGGACAAGGCTGCACGTTTATTTTTTCTAATTTAACTTTAAGGTAAGATCAAATTCATTGTAAAAAAAAAACGTATTTTGATAGTATTGTGCCTTTAATGACTTGTTTGGAATATGTTTAATATTGCTCAGCTATTTGTGGGTCTTAATATGTGTGAAGGGGATTATGGCTAAACGGCCGTTGGTGCTTTCGACTCATTTATTCTTCTATATTTAGACATGTAAAGTTGATTTGAACGCCACAATGCAGCAATATTCGAAATGTCCCGCCGATTACCGACTTTTACAAAACGGCAAATAAGCGTATTGGGGTTTGGTGGTAAACATCTTGGTGCAGGTCCCAAATCTTTGGTGTTGCTTCCGTTTTCCCGGTATATTTCCAGATGATCCGGGTTTGTTTAAGAGATATGGGTACCAAGCTGAAGTGTAAGAAACCTGCTGACAGAAAGGCAAAAGGTAGCAGTGGTGTGTTCAGGAGTATTAAATATGAACTGTATATGTGTTTTTACTTAAAAGTGACCCTGGCCATGTGCTTCTTTCAGCCAACGTGATTTCTCTCTCTCACAGTTACATTGTAAGGACATGGACCTTCGTCTGACACTCCTGTTGATCGGTCTCTGCAGCCAAGGAGTCACTGTAGGGCATTGCAATGACTGATTTTTCATTCTGAAGACCACGCTAGATGATCATAATCTGTGCCGATTGCATAACGGTTGTATAAATTGTTGTCGTACTGCTCACTTCCTTCTCAACAGAATGCTGAATTGGCAGTAAAGGATTCGGTGCCTCTTATCCCCTTGATGCCCAGTCACCCCGTAGAGGTTAGAGAAACACAAAAAAACAAAAAGTAGTTTGAACTCTTTTTTTTTCCTCTGATCATTTCCTCTGTTCATTTAAAAGTAGATATATGATTAACGTGACACTTGCTTTAACATCTTCTACTTTTCCTGCTTTCAGAAAGTAGAAAATGGAAGCGCAGCACAGCCAAGTGCTGCGAACACCCCAGAAGCAACTCTACTTGCGCCAGCCATAACTAATAAGCCCGATGGGAGCTCATCGGAGGGAGACCGGGAGGACAACTGTCCGTCCCTCGGACGGAGCCAAGAGTCCCGGGACGCCATCGCTGCAGCCGTCCAGAGACTGGGTGTGCAGCTGCTGCAGAACCTGGAGACGACACCAGAACAGCCAAACGTCATCATATCTCCTTTGAGCATTTCGGTAGCGCTCTCCCAACTGGCTCTGGGTAGGAATATCCTCCTGCAGCATCTACATGGACCGAAAACATCCCTTCATACGCGCACTTACTGCATGTGATGAATTGTCGTCTGGAGACCGTCGCCCTTCTCCATCTAAATATCTTCCTCTTTCCTCTTCTTCTCCAGGCGCAGTAAATGAGACGGAGGAGCTGCTGATGCATCACCTACATGAAAACACTCTCCCCTGCTACCATCAGTCTCTGCATAATGTCTTAGCGCAGCTCAGAGACAATGAACTGCAAATTGCCACACGCATCTTCCTGCGTCAAGGTCACTTCTTAGAAATAGCTTCGTACCATCCAAAAAAAAGAGAAAGTGGACACAACACAGCTGCTGTTTGTAGATGACGTCCATTTAATATCATGTATGATGTGTTGTAGGGTTTAAGCCAAAGCAAAACTTTGTCGATGAGTCGAAGAGGTTGTATGACTCGGAACCAGCAGTTTTTGAGACCCTGCACCAGATAAACGATTGGGTCGAGAATGCAACAAACGGAAAGGTGACCGACTTCCTTCCCGCTTTACCACCAAATCTGCTCCTCATGCTCATCAATGCTGTCAACTTCAAAGGTAAAATGGCACTGAAATTGAGAGTTGTGATTTCTTAAAATGCCAGTGGAAATAACCGATGAAGTCGCACAACGTTTTTTTTTTTTCGTGATACCCACAGGAGAGTGGAAAGCTCGATTTGACCCGCGCTTCACCTCTAAAGGTGTGTTCTACCTTGACAACGAGCGCATGGTTGATGTTGAAGTGATGGAAGATGCCAAACACCCCTTGAGTTTATTTATGGATAATGAACTGGAGGCTCAGGTGCAATACAGTTTTGTTATCTACGCAGATGGGAAAGAAAAACATATATGCCTAACGTAACCTATATATTTTACAACATCATTTCTTCTTCACGTGCAGGTAGCGTCTTTCCCGTTCCTAAAGTCAATGAGCTTGTTGGTAGTCATGCCCACGTCCGGCCAGGTGAATGTGTCTTCGCTTGCCGCAAAGCTGAATATCTCAGACTTGTATCACCGTCTGCCTAAGGAGAGAGCTGTTCAAGTTAAAGTCCCCAAATTCAAACTGGAGTATGCTCAAGAACTAAAAGATGTCTTTATTAAATTGGGTAAGAGGTTGTTCGATCTTCATCTTATTGAATTAATTTTCACCAGACATGCAAATTATTATGGTTCAATGGAATTTTCGTTTTTATTTAATCTGTCCTCTGTCCTCTGTGCTCTTTGTCAGGCCTCGGAGATGTGTTTTCCAGTCCCAACTTGGCTGACATGGCAGACGGCCCCCTGCTGGTCTCCAGTGTGATGCACAAGTCTATTATGGAGATAAACGAGGAGGGTGCGGAGGCTGCTGCAGCCACCACTGTAGTCATCTCCCGCTCATCAAACCCTGTTTTCCACCTCACCAAACCATTCTTCTTTGCCGTCATGGACGATACAACCCAAGTGCCCATTTTCATGGGCGTCATTAACAACCCAAATCCCGATGTTCCTATTTTCAAGAGAGAAGTTGGAAGCAAAGATTTAGCGGGATTCCAGGTTGACAAAAGTTATGTTGGCTCATTTAGCGGTGCACCTAAGTAAGGACTACTTATTCTGCTGTCCCAGGGAAAAAACAAAACAAGATCTCTCATGATTGTGTAGATTAAATGTACAATATGAATAAACTGAATCTAAATGTGTGTGTAAAAACAGATGCTTCATGTGTGTCTATGCTCATCAATGAATTCACACTGTAGAACCATGTAGAAACCCCAAAACACTTTTAGCAGTTTCGGTGCATTCAATACCATGTCCAGGGCCTCGCTCAAATGTCCCATTATCCAGCTCAAATTAACGAGATGATTGATGTCAGGCGATCTCGGTTCCTCAAAGGCTGATCTACGTTCATACAGTGTCTGCCCAACAGAAGGCTTCATGGAATGCATCATCATCTAAGTAGATAAAAACAAGCCAAAAGAGTCTAATTGATGAATGAATAGTTATGTATCCGCTTCATATGTAGGCCTATGTGTAAGTGTGAATGGAACTAAGAATTTTATTACGTGTGTGTGTGTGTGTGTGAATATGTGTAGGGCGGATCAGGATATTGTTCATGATCAGACATTTGGTCAATTGAAGCAGTGAAATGTAGAACATCAATGTTTGAATGATAAAAAGGTTACGACGTTTGTTTATTGTTGTCTTATATGTAAACTGATGCATTGAGTACCTTTGCAAGAAATTATTATTTGGGGATCCCACCCTACCATTTTTCTCTTTGATTAAGCAAGGTGTTGTTTAAAGTGGTGCCATAGTGGATTATATTATATTTATTATTAAAATAATATACATATACCATTTTGAATGTAGAATTAAAACAGTTTGTGATAAAATAATTGAACAAGCTCAATTAACCTACGAGCACTATGTGAATGCGTTATCGTCGAAGATAAAATCTCCTAGTTTCCTATGTCCTTGAATGCATCGTAGTCACTGCCTGACGTCACGCATTGTCAACCGCTGACATTCGTGCTGCTGTTCTCCGGTCAGTTTTAATCCGTTTACCAAGTCGCCGTATTAACGTTGTCGACGGACTGAAAACTGAGCAGAGATCCGTAAACGGAAACGGAAGCTGTACAAGCTTCGCGCGTTCGTCCAAGACTTTGGCGCCAACGGCACAACGGAACGAGCACTGCCAGCGTCACGAGCACCCGGTCGGCTGTCTAGCAAACGTTTTGGCAAAGTCATATTTTTCCGCGACTTGTTCCCTTTCTCGTTGACATGGCGAGGCTCTCAGAGGGTGCGATAGAGGTAAAGTTGAGCTTTTCACTCCAACGTCAAGTAAACCGAGTTAAAACTGTTAAACTATGAGCTGTCGAAGTTAAAGGTGGTTCGGTTCGGCGCGGTCCTCGTTCACCGGGAGAAGCGTTAGCAGTTAGCTGTTTGTAACCCTAGTAGGAACACCATCATGCAGTTTTCTCTTAAATAAAAATGTGCGTGTCCCATTTTGTGTTTGAGTGTGAAATGGAGAAAAGCAGTAATACCGCGTATCTGCTGCGAATGTCACAATGGACACCACATATGTAAAACTTACACTAATATTTATTGGCCTTCCTTCATCCCTCGTTGGGGAGACTTAACCAGTTAGACATGTAAGTAATCGAGATTGCCACGTTAAATGAGTTGTTTCCTTCCAGGCTCTATCAAAGGGCGACCCTGTTGCCGACGCAGTGCTTCAGTTGGTGGTGAGTAACACAACAACCCACTCAATGTTTCCTTAATAGCCCTGTTAAGCCACGTCGTCTCCACATTACTTCTACATTCAGCTGATTGCATGCTTGATTCAGATCAGATGCAAACCAAAGACATGCCAAACAATGCACTAACTTCATTTCAGACCCACGGCCTGTGACTACAATAAAAGCAGTTGGCAGCTTTTTCCACACGTGTTCAATAACTGATCCTAACATGATGCAGCTCGCTAAACAAGAAGTAAAGGTTTTTTTATAACAAAAGAAAGTCAAGGGCCTTGCATGAGCCTCTATTTTTAAATGCACCGTACATCAAGCTAAACTAAATGATGCTGCATTGACACAGTTAGACATGTTTTAGATATAAAACCTTTTTTAATGGTATTTATATATGGTATTTATATTTAACTATCACTTGCATGTCATCTCTCAGAATATTCGCAAGATTGACAGTGGAAACGGTGCGATCCGGTTTCGGGTGATGATGAGTGATGGACTGAACAGCATGTCCTGTAAGTTTTAAAAACAATTCTATACGTAGCCAATTAGGATCCATAACAGACAATGTATGTTAAACATGTTATTGCGAATTATTATTTTAGTCTGACTGCTTTAAATGATACATCTTGTGATTGAATACTGCTAACCACATTACCATTTATAAACCGACAGAAAAGACTTTCTTACAATGATTACATTTTTGTCTTTTTGTTTGCTTTGTGTTTATCTTCTGCCTGTTGATTTCTGAATGTGCCATCTAACTAAAGTTTGACTTTGACTTGTCAAGAACCCCTCTGTGGAATGAACCCGGGCCGCTCGTCTAATTTGCTTCTCTTGCTTTTCGACCCCTCTGCAGCCTTCATGCTCTCAACGCAGCTGAACTTCATGGCTGAGGAGAACGTATTGGCCCCTAACTGCATCTGCATTCTGAAGAAGCATGTGACCAATATACTGAAGGATAAACGGTATGCAGATGTTCTTGAAAATACATTTTGTCATTTGTATGGCTTTGTGTCTATGATAGTGAGCACAATTATCTTCCAATTATCAAACGCTATTTTTTCTCATTACAGACGGGTGGTGGTCATTTTAGAAATTGAAGTCATCAAGCCTGCTCAAATGGTTGATGGAAGAATAGGTGATCCCATTGCCCTCACAGAGGGTAAGCAATCCAATTATTATTATAACATCTGGTACTTAATAAACACATCTTGTAATGAAGGACTGGTTAGTCAGTGTATTTATGAAGTGAAACGGCTGTGCACATTTAGCCTGGTCTTAAAGACCCATAAATGCAGGTAAATACTAACGTTGAATCTTCCCCACAGGTACAAAAGGCCAGCAGCAGTCTGCCCCAAACCCTGAAAACCGCCAACCACTACAGCAGCAGCAGAATAGAAATGAAGGTGAGTGCAAGTGTTTATTTAGACTGCATTATTTAAAATGGGTAAACCTTCAAATTAAAATTGAGGAAAGCGGACATAGCCAGTGAATATTCACCAGATGGCAGCATTCCTCTGCTGCTTTCTGTTTTGAGTCACTCTGAGATGTACAGGACACAAGTCATTATTAAGACCATTTTAATTTTAAACAATCTCAAGCCGTTGAGGGTTTTTTCACCATGTTATTGACGCTCACAATGCTGAGCTGACGTTTTTCACGTGAATGCTTGATATCATAGTGTCCTAGTGTTTATCTTTTTGGCAGCCCAGTAGAATACATGAACAAATACACTCCACGTCGTCTGATTCTGGGTATTTCAGGGGTGTCAAAAGTATTCACATTCATTACTCAAGTAGAAGTATAGATGCTAGGGTTTAAGAAGATTTCTGTTGAAGTATCAAGTTAATGTAAGGAGTAGAAAGTACAGATATTAGCGTGAAAATGTCAGTAGAAGTAAAAAGTCGCCTGGAAAATAAATACTCCAGTCAAAGATAGATACTCAATTTCTACTTAAGTAATGTAACAAAGTATTTGTACTTGAGCAAACAGTTTTATTTTTCAAATTTGTGCATATCCGCGATAAGCAGCGGATCACAGCATTGCAAATAACTTGAATCGGGAAAGATGTCGAGAGCTTTTTGCTGTCTTCTAGTGCTTTCGTAGCAGGTATTCATCCTTTTTAATCTGCCGTGTGAAAATGAGGTTTGTGGCGAGCACCGTCCTCATCAGCACAGTCATTGTTCATTTCTCTGTGTGTTCTGGTTGATCTGGGAGGCTTAATTACCAGAAGTGCAGGGGCTGGCAAAGTGGCAGGACTTAAGTGGACACTTTGAAACTCTAATCCTCTGCGTGAGACGCACACGAATAAAATGTGCAGCGCTTGTTTAAACGGCAAATCTCAAAGTCAGGCGGCCCGGCTCTCCGGGGGAAGAGCAGATCCTGTTTGTTACAGAATTTCACACTCTGCCCTGAATCTGTGAAATGCGCATCATCCTTCACCAGAAATGCCGAACAACACATCTCCGCCAGCGTGGCGTGACAAGATTTCTGTCTCCGGTTTGAGGCTTTCCTCTCCCTGGAAGAACCAGCAGTCTTGGCTTTGCCTTAAGTTGGTCCTTCGATGGTTAAACTTCCCTCGTTGAAGTGAGATAACTACGCCAATCGAGCCGTTGCAATCCTATGAAATTGGATCGGTGTATGATGAATAATGAATGTGCACCTTTCTTGACTTCTCTCCTGCTCTTTGCTGATCATTTATTTCTCTCTTCGTTCCTTCCCCAGGGCTCAAAGGGTTCAGTAGGGACTTTGGGAAGAAGACCCCGTCTGCTATGCCCAGTACTCCAGGGGGCAGCTCCAAAGTTGTGCCCATCGCCAGCCTCAACCCCTATCAGTCCAAGTGAGTGTGCCTCGCAGTCGGCTGGAGATTTCATGTCAAAGGGTGTATGTGTATTAAATGCACGCACTTATGATGAAACCACACAATTGGAAATGAGTGAGTAACCGAAAGCCATTAAAAAAAACAAAACAGAAAAGTCATGTGAAGTGATGCGTGTTAAAGCTAGACATTAAAAGACTAACAGGGAGGCATGTTATCATGTGCAACTACATAATTAAAAGCAGCAGTGGAAAATGCCCAATCGACACTTTGAAGATAACCATTCAAATAATTAAAAAAAGTAGTTTTTTGCAACGCTGTTATAAAAAACGACTTGAATATCAATATCACCGAGGCATCCTCAAGTCCAATGATGCGTCTGCACTTTTAGTTGACCACCGTGGCGCTAGTCTAAAAAGTGCGCAGGCAACAAGCACAGATTATTAAACGGTTGAGTTGATGAATAAATGCATGAGGCGCTCCAGAAAGTAACCTCACTCTTTTGTTTTCCGGTAGGTGGACCATCCGCGCCCGCGTCACCAACAAGACCAGCATCCGCACGTGGAGCAACTCTCGTGGAGATGGCAAACTCTTCTCCATGGAGATCTTGGACGAGAGTGTGAGCATCGTTGTGGTCCCGCTT